GATTATAAACGAGGAACTTACCTCTGTACCGGTTTTATACTTAACAGAATGACTAATAGAGATTGAAGTATCGCAATTTTTTGAATAGATTTACTTACCATATTGCCACTTATTATATTGAAGGCTAAGTATCGCATTAATTATATGACTATGAAACTTTTATACCTTGACAATTTATTAACTTTCTTTAAAATCTTAAGCAAGTTTCTTGTAAGCATTTCTGTAGCTCAATAAGAAGTACCAATAAAATAGAATCTTGTCTAAATTCTCAATTTCGTAATTGTGTATTAGGTAATAATTTAATAGTATCGCGAATACTGTAGAAGTCTATAAGTGAAGATGTTAAAGAGACTAAAGCCAGACATATTCTTTTCTGTATCTTTTCTGCTCTATGGCTTTAAATCTCTTACGACTTCTTCGTTCAAAGGTTCAGTCAATGTATTTATCTCAATAAACTAAACTATAAGCTAGAACTTGTTGTAAATTCACAGCTGAGATATACATCATCCATTAGCATTGTTAAGATAATATTGAAATGGACTGTTCGTATGCTGTTTTTTATTAAAGATTATACTGTAAATTTCGTCACATCTGGGCGCACTCTATACATTTAATAGCAGTAATTTTATGTGAAATACCGTACGTGGTTCTAGAAATAACTGAATTAACAGCCTACTTACGATTAACGATTTTACTGTGGTTGCATTTAGTTAACCAAGTCATAGAATATTTATTGACAGTATGATATTACATTATTTCAAGATGGATACAGCTACGATATCCTCAAATATGGGTGCTTTACTACATTTATTATCCCTAATATTCTCATATTCCTCAAAATTATAGCATCATTTATTATATTCTTTATCAGTCTTAAACTCTAAAATTTAAACTAGTCTTGAAAGTCTATCTGCGTTTCCATGTTCATTTCCAGAGTGAGGATGTATCTTCATTCGAAATCGACCGAGGTACATTATCATCCAAATATATTTCGTGATATTTTTTTATTATTGTAATTTGATAAGTTTTGATTAAACATATGATTATTTTACTATGACGACTACGAACTACAAATTAAGCTAGAAAGTTCTAATTACTGTCATAAGTTCAACATCAAAATAATTGCAGCCTCTACGCTATACGATTACTGTAGTATTGACGGTAGATTAAAGTGTCTATACAACCATCACCTCTTGCTATGTTCCTTATGTGTAAGTTATCTATTGCAACTGAATAATGCCCAAAGTATATTTACATGTGCATAAGCTTACCGAGAATATCAAGTATATTTTAAATAATAGTGTAATAGGTTAAAATGTAAAACTCTCAGTACATTTCAAATACTAAGATCTAAATAGCTAAGATGTTTCTTCATTAAATAAATAGATACGAGCTGTAGTGCTATATCTCTAAAACAGTCTTTATGCTAGATATAGATATCTTTTACATTTCTCTTAACTAGATTGATTTACTGCAATGGCTGCGACTCTACCGTCGTTTTACTAGACCAAGTAATTGCACACATGTATTCTATGCTGATGCTAATGCTTCACGTCCATGCTTGCCAGTAAAGTCGACAACTGGTCCTTTAGGACAGATTTTAGTAGGCTTCTGTTTTTTGTCGCTCACCTACAATACATCAGATAAATAAAAGTTTATACAGTGCTACGTAGCTTTAATCAGAGTAAACTAATAAACTTAAAAGAGTAGAAGTTAAAACCAATACAATAATAAATTTAAATTTTTATCGTAAAATAAGTTAAATTGCAATATCCACAATTTCTAATAATTTCAAGTGTACAAAGCAATGTAAATAAGATATTCACTTACATAGTGTAGCTTCATAATATGCTCAATATTAACCGTTTCTCCAAAGCCTGGAGATTGATAAAGATCTCGCAAATAGCCCCAAATGTTTGGATAATCAGCAATACGTTTTGTATTACACTACCATTTCATCACAGAAGAAACTCAATCAATTATAATTCACAATCAAGAAATAGTGTTAAAGTAACTGAGCCTGCCAAATTTTATCGTAAGACTATTTACATTTATTGTATAAATCTTAGGTTGGTATTATTTTCATAGCATTATTGTATATTTAGCACAAAGTTAGAACGCTCAGAACTGATAACTAACCTTATACACCACGTAATATGCCACATCGAAACGAACTAATGCTACAAATAACTTGACATCTGCGTGCGTTATAGTCTTTCCTGTTAGGTAACGACGATTAGAAAGGTGTTTTTCTAATCGATCGAGATTCTCGAATAGAGTATCGACAGATTGATTATAACTTTCTTGATCAGTGGCATCACGAACACGAAAGACTCTGGAAATAATGTTTCTAGTCATTCATGAACAATGATAAGGGCAAAAATAGAATTAGTCATGATAAAGATCGTGATCTATCTATCAATGAAGTAATAATGAGTGTAAGTAACTGATCCAATATACTGTACTGTGTAGCAAGTTTACGATCAGTTTACGACTATGTTCGTATCGTCGACATCCAATTTAGATCACATTAATAGCACTTTGCTGGAAGTACACTAAGTATCACTTACGGTGTTATCCAGCCTAATAATTCCTTGGCCGTTTCTTCATGCTCTTTAGAATATAAATTTAAATCCTTTTGCTCTTGAGTAGAGCAAAATTCATTAAATTCGCTGTTTAGAATTTCCATGATTTCGGCAGATTCGTTATTAACGATGACCTTGTTAACCTTGTCGTAAAGTACGGGTACAGTAATTCTACCGCTATACTTTGTATTAGTCTGTTCGTAAGCCTCTCTTAAAAATTTGAAGCCATTAACTGTATCTTTAGTACACGTATCTACTGTCTCGTCGAAAAACCAACCGTTTTCATGAATATACCAGTGTGTAATATCCATCGTAATGATATCTTCTAAACCTTTCAACGTTCTCATGATCATGACTCGTTGTGCATAAGGACAACCTGGGTTAACATACAAATGGTATCTACCTTTCTGTGCTGGAAATTGGCCAGATCCATCCTTAGAAACACGACCGTTAAAACTTGTAATTTTCTTAACACTGTCACTTCCTTGGTCAGACATTTTTCAATTCGAATTGAAAGCAATGCTATTCTATAAAAATAATACAGAAATCGAGAAGGTGATTTACATTGTATTAGATGTACGTATATTTAAAATATCGTGCTGTACTAAACTTAAGTAATGCTTACGTAATACCTCACGTAAACGATAAAAATCAACTTTGATCGAGTAGTTTCGTCCAAATGGCACCAAAGAATTAAAATGATGCACGGTAATGGTTTGTAAAATAACTTCAGTTACTTTACTGCTATTGGAGAGAATAGTGCAGTACTACTTATCAAAATACAGAATGCTTGGTAACTGTCCTCTTGGTTTTTTGTTAATCTAATACACGGAGCAATACCATTACAAAGTTTAATAATTAATTATGCACATATAATTATAGTCTTGGCGGTAAGTATGAAAGAAGTAAAATGACAGTGGGCGTTGTGGCGATGCTATAGTACAGCAAGTATTTGTAGGAGTTTACAGTACTATTAATATGTGTGAGTTAAATAGTAATAACTAGAAATTTTACAAACCTAGTACCAATACTATAAGGCGTAGTAACATTACAAATTCTGAAGTTGGACAATAGTGAAATGTTTAAATCTCATACGTAAATTACTCTTTTCATGTCATTATATACGTATAGTGGAAAATGCTGCCTCGAGCGATGTGACTTTAGTTTTGATAATTTATCTATGATGCGGTTATTAAAATTCAGATTTTTAATCGTTAAAAAATAAAATTTATATCAACTGGTCGTCTACTGAAATTTTTACGAGTCGAACAACGCTTCTAAGTAAATATAGGGTTAAACTAAACACTACAGCGAATATCGCGAGTATTAGACATAGCCTAAATAAATAAGTCTTATATTATTGAATTTTTTCCCTTTCAATACATCTAATGACTTATTTAAACTTTATAAATTTTCAAGATTTGAACATTATCTCAGAAATTACTCAACTTCAAGAATTAGTCTGAACACAGGGAGGAAGATATAAAATTTAGCGGGCAATTATGGTGTCACACACCACTAGTGACAAAGTAGTCTACACACGCCAATCCTTGTGGAGAACGCCACTTACTAACTTAAAGAGGCGAGATTAGCTATATCATCAAATAATTCAGTTCCAAGGACTGAATACTATGGTATAATTATAGCGTCACAGATAGTGTAGACGAGACAGTCAGAGATTTAATATCATTTATTACTGAAGAAATCTTGGCACCCAAGATTATAATCTTTACAATTAAATATCAATTGATAAACTAGTTGACTATCTAACCGACTAACTAACTAAAAAGGGATCTTCAGGCACCAGCCTTTTATAGTCTCGTCAGAAACTCCTGATGCACATAAAATAAAACTATCCTTTTAAAGTTATATTAAACAGATTGTATGAAGAAATGATAATTAATACAACGTCAATCCACACAAACAATATTTAATATTACTCAATAATTAGGACGAACTTACGCATCGTAACATATGGGCAAATGGTTACTTATTACTGATGCTGAAAGCGTAAGGTCGAATTAAACTACGTGTAAATATAACAGATTGATTTGGGATAAACATAGGTGTATTTTGTTAGATACTTTCCGATAGCTACTGTTTTAAACAGTACTTGGCATACATATATTTAAAAAATAAATTTCAAATTTATTATTTTGATACTAAAATTTCAAGTGATAATGTTGGCAAGTAATAATTAGTACGTAGAAATTTTAATATACAAATTGCATTGGGAGAAGTCGTGTAAGCTAGCCTTTGCCTATTTGCAATATCGAAGAGAGACTGAGTATATAGAAGGAATGCAAAGGTATTACAGTGTTCTGTATTGTTAAAGCCACTATCATTATGAGCTAGCTAGCTGTTAATCGCAGCCATCATTAAGTTTCTGCTGATGTTCTTCGAAATCTTCAACCTATAAACCGTAGGAGTTACCTACTGTATTAAAGCTTGTAATATGAATTATTCTCAAAATTTGCATAACATAGATTATTGAATTAATAAGGAGGAACTTGCCCCGTACCAGTTTTGAACTCAACAAAATGATCAATAAGCATTTCTGTAGCTCAAGGAGACGTACCAATAAAATAGAATAGTTACTAAATTTTCGTTTTCATATTTGTGCAGCAGGTAACAATTTAATGATATCGCGAATACTGCAGAAGTCTATAAGTGAAGATGCTAACGAAATTAAAGTCAGATATATTCTTTTCTACTTATGACTTTGAATCTCTTACGACCTCTTCGTTCAAAGGCTCAGTCAATGCATTTATCACAATAAACTAAACCATAAGCTAGAACTCGTTGTAAATTTACAGCTGAATTACGCAATATCGATTAGCATTGTTGAGATAACATTAGCAAGCATTGTTCGTATACTGTTAGTTATTAAAGGTTACGATATAAGAAAATAAAGACAAAATCGAAACCATTAGATATTTCAAGTTATGCAATCTAAAGATTTTGCAGTTACAGTAATTAGATCGCTACCGTTTAATTACTTGCTAAGATGATAAAATTTATTAAGCAGAATTAGAGTTGCTCTTACTTCGAAACTGCAAGTTAAAACTTCAAAAAATAATTGAAAATGCTACCTTAATTTTATACTTTAAACACTAATAACCAATCTTGGTATGCCTGGTATGCCATTGATTAGTAAACATTAGATACATGCTAAATAGAAACATTTATTGATATTGATAGCTATAGCTTATACTTTTTATACTCTTAACATCCAATCTACACTAAAGGATTATCAATACTAATACGTTTATTTCAAACTGTAAGCTAATTCTTTCCAGATGATTTAAGTACTTGTCTTAAGTATTTTACAAAGTTTGCTATTGCAAGTTGATTTAGAATGCAATGAATAAAGGTATACTAACATCCGAAATGTCAAACACTTACTACAAAATAATAAGTGCTGTAAATTCTAATGCATTGCTTAGAAGATGGAATTTTTACCCCTAATTAGTATAATTTATCACGCCCGTGATAAGTGTTAAAATCAATTTCAGGTCCTTTAGCAACTACGCCATTCGGATTTATATTCTCCATGCTCATCTAGATAAAAATTATAAGGTTATTGTAAGAATGAATCATCGGTATAATACTTACTAGTAACTGTGTAGTGCTCGATATACGTATCCAAGCTACACGGTGTATTCGAAATTTTGCCTATGAACTATCTATAAATCTTTAATATTTGCGAGTTATTACCATATAGCTCTTCTTAATGTGTTCCATATGAACCGTACTACCAAATTCAGGGATTTGATATAAGTCACGTAAATAGCCCCATATATTGGGATAATCAATGATGCGCCTAATATTGCACTAAATATTTAGGAATAAAATGGAAAACGAATCGTATCAATGGAGAAGATCTGATAGTAGAACAACTATTCATCCAAAATTCTAGATTCTTAGCTATTGTCTGTAGTCATAAAAAAATTGCAATCTGCTATTTTAATCTAAACTACTATTATAGTATCCTCTATCTACTCCACTCTTCATGTACAGAAGAATCTTACCTTAAAATGTTGCACATAAACAGTGTCAAATCGAACTAATGAAGGAAATATTCGAATATCAGCTTCCGTTATTTGATCACCAGTCAGATAGCGACGTTTCGATAGTATGGCTTCGACTTTGTTTAACCCATCGAAAACATCGTCAACAGCATTATCATAGGCTTCTTGTGTTGTTGCAAAACCGGCACGATAAACACCGTTGTTGATCTGGCTTTATATAGGAGGTAAACAAATTTTTGCAAGTGTAATCAGATAAGATTTTTTCTGTTAAACTAAGTGATATCAGTAGAAACCATAAATTACAAGCCAGCAATATATTCTTATAGCTTAATTTCCGCAAATCTCCTCTAACTACAGGCTAGTGAAGTTTCGCAAAGGTGTCATTGCCTCATAAGCGTATATATATAACTTAATCAATTTCTATTTGGCAATAACAGTCACCAATCTGCTCTATGGCATAATTACAGTGGTGTTGACTAGCTATTAATGCATTACTATGAACAAGAGCTGATAAAAGTGGATCATGTGTTATGATCTTGTAAAGGTAAAGAATAACATTGCATTACGAAAGAGATACTATCAAAGTTGTCTATCGAAAATTATTCACAAGATACCTGTAAATCCAACCATTTAGGGCATTAATTTCCTGCCTTACTTCTTGTGGATATAAATCCAAATCACGTTGTTGAGATGTTGCACATAATGCGTTAAATTCCGAATTTAATATGCGAATAATTTCACTAGACTCGTTGTTGACTATAGTTTTGGCGATCTTATCATAAAGAATCGGAATAGTCACTCGGCCTGTATAAAGCGGATCGGCTAATTTGTAGATTTCCTCAACGTACTCCTTACCATTTACGGTATCTGCTGTACATCCAGGTTTCTCCGGACTAAATCTCCAGCCCGCTGATGTTCGAAGCCAGTCAACTATATCGACCGTTATGATATTTTCGAGGCCTTTCAATTTTCTGGTGATTAAGGTGCGATGAGCCCATGGGCAACTGAGAGACACATACAAATGATAGCGATTCTTTTCGGCAGGAAAAGGACTACTACCATCAGCCTTTACCCAATTACGAAACGATGAAGTAGCACGAATAAATTCGCCTTTATCATTGGATAACTTGGAATCATTTGCCATGAGTAATTTATTTCTTAAGCCTTAAGCAGGTAAGCTATTCAATTCAAGCCTCCTATCCGATGCTACTTACTTTACGTTCTAGAATGTATTATTAGACTTTAGGGTGTCTACTTAAGTGACCAGGAATAGAGATTTCTATCCGTAAAATCTGATGTCAATTACTCACCACCAACCACTTTACGAACTGTGATGTCCGTTTTCAAACTTTAAATTATAGCAATAAACTGTATACCAGCCTTTTTTATGTAATATCAGTATATTCCATAGTCGTCATTTCCTATGCGCAGGTACTTCACACCCACGTTGTTCATGTGACCAGAAAGCAAAAATTGTAAATAAATTGAATGAAATCCATTAATGTTTACTAACCGATCAATATCTAAAAATTTCTAATACTCAGCCAAGAGACTAAAGATACATGTAGCGTAGCTATCAATGATTCAGCAGTAGACTGCCTTATACGGTATACATGCTAATGTGACACCAAGTGTATGATTTAAATAATTTTTGGTCTACAAACTGCTACTCGTTTTCTAGTTGTCTACAGTTTGTGCTACTCCAGCGATGGCATTGCATGATGAATGAATTTACATACGATCATGAACCACTAATAATATCTACTATAGATTTGCATAGGATGAATAAAAGATGAGGATATCATGAAATGATAACTAGGGCATAAAAGTAGAAAAGCTGACATCAAAGGCCTGCAAAATCTGTTGAGCTTATGGATGTCTGGTTGGCATCATATAGCATGATGTGACAGGAGATGAGCTGATAACAATCAATGATAAACCGAGTTAATTCATAGCTCGTTTTGCCAAATTTCGCCAATGCTAATTTAAAGCTTTCTGACCTTACTACTACATAAGTATTTCATAGTTTAGCCTCTGCTCTACCGTTTCTATTTCATTTCTGTCCTACTAATTAATTTGCATGGTAATTGAATAATAAATAGTGGGATACTGCAGTATTGCAAGGAAGAGTAGAATTACACATATTATTGGTAAATATAAGTAGATAACTGCAACTGCTATCTTTTCGTTATTGCCTATTTTGTAGTTTGCATTATTCTCACAATGGCCAGTCATAGTTCATAGTTTACATATCGCGTTTTGACTGTCCAATATTATTCGTTATTGGTAAAATTGGTAAGTGATTCGATTGATACTTATTTAAGTCGACTATTTTGTCACTTTTTCATGTTTTAATTTTCTTTCGAAATAGTTTTTAGAAAATGATTAGGTTAATATCAACGATATTCTTTGCTCAGCAGGTCCATTTATTGTTATACATTCCATAATATTAGTAGGCAACGAATCTCTGTTAGTACCAATTCTTTAATGATAGCAAGCTATTCCATCGAATTATGGTAAATGAAATGACTATAAAAAAATGGCATTGGAAGGGATCAATATTGTTTTGCTATTTCATTGCATATATGCAGCGTGAACCAGCAGCAAATACGGGTTCTAATGGAAATCCCTGAATGAAATTAATCAGCTTAAAATATAACATTCTAGTCTTATTTTATCATGGATAGCAGTAATTACTTGTATGTGTGCTACGGATTGGGTTATTTAAGTAGCTAGAACCATTTTTGAGTATAAAACGTAGTCGATATTGAAATAGAAAATAGGCCACTTCAATTTTATTTTGTTAGTATACATGGCAGGGGTAAGTTAGAGGTATTTCGCAAATTCAGTAATTAATTGTATAAAAAATTAAACAGATAAGTAAGTTAGGTTTTACGATAATTGCGTAAACACCAGTTACAAGAGTTACAGAAATTAAGCGATACGAAATGATTTCGTTGACTACAGATATGAATGAATACCTCCAAAATATAGGTTAATATAAACCACTGAATAGTACCTATAGATGGCATAACGCTACAGCTATACTGTTTCATCAATTTCACCAAAACATGAATAAGTTCGAGATTGAATAGTAAATAGAAAATTATAAGGCTTGAAAGTATTTAGTTAATAAAGTCAATGAATTATGAATAAACGTACTAGAAAAAATATACTAAGTACGTTATCGTTAGGATAACTTAGATACATGAAAACATACAGCTAAAGGAAACGTTTAATGCTAAACTTTTTAAGCGGATTCGAAATGTTTTCTCAAAATAGGATATTTACCCTACATGGAGCTAATGTTGCTTATTGATCCAATTTCTTTCGATCATGAGGTAAATTGAAATCAATAGCTGGTCCTTTAGCAACAATAGCGCGGGGATTAATGCTGTCATGGCTGACCTAAAGTAACATCCAAGTAGTGAGTTAGCCTTTGATCTCAAATATTTTATTTACATTTAGGTTATTCTAAACTTAATTTTATTTATGGTAATTATTCTACGTAAGGATCATTGGGTGCATGTATCGTAGTAGGCTAACCAATTTTTATGCAATTTGATTATTCTTATTTCTACAGTTTATGTTGAATGCATATGGACACGGTAATTTGAATAACTATTTCTCTTAAATTCTTACCATATAGTGCTTTTTCATATGTTCAAAATTGATGGTATCGCTTATTCCTGGTGTCTGATATATATCACGCACATAGCCCCAGATATTAGGATAGTCAATAATGCGTTTGAGGTTGCACTATAAAATCAATTATTAAAGATTTTTAATTAAGCTACTTGTAAGCTTTTAACCTATGAAAAATTTACGATGCAAGTAGACTACCCAACTCTTCTAATAAAACTTATACCACATCATCTTTAATCATCAAAATGCGTTTAGCGTAGATGGAATAGTTCATGTACTCGTAGATATGATAACTTAGCTACTGATATTTGATCCTGTAGTTAATTGTATATTATTTTTATATTACTTTCATCCAGATGTATAGTAGTAATTGTATGATCTTGATCATTTAATATGTACGTGACATTTTATCCCTGGACTACTTTACGTTAGATTTCTCACTTTATATTAAGGCATAACCTTGTGAAACATTCTACATTATATTAATGGCAGGAAAGCATTTTATCCTAGAGTATTCAAATCCTTACTGCTATTTAGAGCAATCACTATACTGATGAAAATAGAGAAAATTGGTTTAAACTATGTCTTCAATATTAGACATATTACCAACAGAATTTTTTAATTTAAATCAAGGATGATTTGCATTTTAAACTTTTGACATCTTAAAATTTCAGACCTACCTTAAAATGTAGCACGTAGACTAAATCGAACCGAATCAATGTAACAAATAATCGAACATCAGCTTCCGTTATTTCTTTTCCTGTAAGGTAACGATTTTTAGCAAGAATTCCTTCGACTTTGTCTAATCCTTCAAAGACTTCAATTACTGCTCGGTCATAAGCAGGTTGTTTCCTGGCAAAGCCAGCACGATAAACCCCATTATTGATTTGCCTAAGGATCGTAAGCAACGCAATACGGTATTAAAAATCTAACGACGATTAACGAAGCAGTTTCAAAGATTATTGCTTATGATTCTTCTACATAAGCGAGATTGTAATAGCGTTATGAAACATCCGAGTATGTAAGATCAAGCTCGCTTTGAAGATACGATCACTGTTTTTAAACTTTAATAAGTAATTACGATTATTAATGATACATGTAAGACTCAAACTCAGCATAGGTTTCTGTTTAATTCTCAATTTTAAAACATGTCGTTACTCAGTTAGTATAAGGTTACTGTAATTTACAGCAACAATTATATAACGTATCCTGCAATAACTTTTCTTACGCGTATATCCAGCTATTCAATTCATCAATCTCTGAAGCTAAGTGAGAGGGACGTAGATCCAACTCGCGTTGTTCCGGTGTAGCACAAAATTCATTAAATTCGCTGTTTAGCATGGATATTATCTCACTAGATTCGTTGTTAACAACAATATTTTTGACTTTATCAAATAGGACAGGTACAGTAACACGTCCATTATAGTCAGGATCGGATAGATGATACACTTGACTTAAATATTCAAAGTTATTGACTCTGTCCGTTGTACAACCGGGTCTGTCGGGATTGAATTTCCAACCACCTTCAGCAAGATGCCAATCGACAACATCAACAGTAATAACGTTTTCTAAGCCTTTCAATTTTCTATAGAGTAGTGTTCGATGAGCCCAAGGACAACCAAAAGAGATATACAAGTGATACCGGCCACTTTCCGCTGGAAAAAATCCACTTCCATCAGCTTTGACTCTATTGCGAAATGTTGAGACTGCACGAATATACTCCCCATCAGCATTAATATTCGATGTCCAACTTAATTGAACATCTTTCGGTTTAACTTTTGAATCACTTGACATTATTAAGAAAGGAACGGCAATGAAGTGTAAATGCAATAGCGACTGCGGGTAAATGTACCACTAGTTTGTAAGATTTCTATCGATAAACGACTCTCAAAACGCCAATTACTTGATGTTATAGAAAGTTACCGGTCAATTCCTGTCTTTTTATAATAATTACTATTAAAAACATAATAATATTGACCTTAACAGATGTTTACGTCTATTCTCTATTGCCATTTTAAACACTATCCTATAGTCAGTATCGGAATAGAAGCTAATATTAAATGAGATATGCTATTACATGCATAAATTAGTATATAGCCCGAAGGATAATGCAAGCACATAATGAGACAGCAAAGTTGGAGCAGACTAATATAATTAATGTTAATATCATTCTAAAATTGATCAATTGTTTTATTATTTATATACTTATTATTGCACATTTTATATGACAGCGATCGAATTTGGTCTTTAGTCCAAATAGATGTTTAATTGGCTGCTATAGTGTATTATTGTACCGAACCTCTGCCACATCTCGCTAGAATTTCCTGATCATAATACTTGACGTCAATATCCTAATTATAGTGCATTTTAAATACTAAGACCCAGTATGGATAATATCTTGTATGATATGCCTCTAAGCGGATGTTCATCAAGATTTTTGTAGTTTTCAATAGAAGACTTATCCGCATCATTTGGCCATTTTAAGATAAAAATTAGATATTAATTTATTATAATTAGAACAGCGGTAAGTTGTTTGAAAGAAAGCACAACAGGAGGAGTAAATCAGTGGCTTTCATTTGATGGCTTTTATCGTCTTATTTATGAGGGGACTTTTACCAGATGCTAAATAGAGAATAGGAATAGCTTGTTCTTGAATAACGGCACAATGGCAATTTAATTATTTATCGGTGCTAGATCAAGTGGAGAAATAATGTAGTGTACAACTGCCATGGACTACTTGATATACTGTATTATCTAGTATTCCATGGCATTGCACGGTGAACGTACAATATACCCATATACAGCACCATATTGGTAAGGCTTTTATGATATCGACCTTATCCAATGATCGTCTACTCTTTATTGCGACTAATACGATATACTCCATTATTTTAAGAGTCTTAGAAGAAGATTGACTTTTCAAGCTAGCTTCTCTCTATCTTTTTTAACCGGTTTGACTTAACTTCACTATCAATATTTTTAACCCTGACAAGTACGGCTATTTTAGAATTGGTTACAATATTGGGAGTTTTAGTAGATTACCGAAAGGAAATATATTATAATTATCCAAAACTACAGCTGTCTGAAAGTATATGGACTTGATTATTTCTACAAATGATTTGAAAGTTTAATAACTAGGCTATTGATAGAAGGACAGTATGATATGATTCACCATTAGTCACTAGTAATTCTGTACCAGTACGTTTGAAAGCATCGTACCCTGTCTAATAAGTAATTGGATTAGTTGATGGGGAGTAATAATGACTGATTCATCCATGATCAAGTTTTCAGATAATAATTTAACTGCTTAATTATAAATTTGTTTTTTCGTGGATCTATTTGCCGGGCATGCAATAACAACTTGATCAAACATCTTTGTTAGTCTAACCTATAAAGCAGAATTTAAATGGCTGTGAAAGAAAGCGATAAAAGACTATGTAATTCAGATTATTTGTGTTTGTGGTATGATCGTCTTTACCGAGATCTACCATTTAATTATAATCTTGTTTGCAGAAACAAGAACATCACCCAAATTATTTTCATCAGGAACCGTTCTTTTATTAGATAATCTGATATAGCTTTTAATAAGCATACGCATTTTCACAACAATTAAATTTGTCAAATAATTTGCCGATCTTCATTGTCGTCTTTCAAAAATTATGCATTATTTATAGTTTTTCATGATTATAATTTACAGTTAATCATTACTGTATTACAAGATTAAGGACTGTCATTTTTTATAGATAACTTTAAATTTAGTAAAATGATATAAATTAAAATAGAAAATTTCTGATTAAAAATTCCTTTTAGCGTCTTTCCAATCGTAGGGTAATAATTACGTTTCTACATCAACTTGCAATAGAGTTCGATTTTATCTTGAGCGCTAAATCACGTCGATATTAATATAAAAGATTACTATTTCATTAGTGTGCATTAGGTTTACTATATGTAACATACAGTATTTACTGTAGGTATCAAACTATAACCATCTGGGCATTAAAAATTGAAATTCAATTAGTATGTAAACTACAACATCGATTTCAAGGCACATGGAGTAGATTACAGCTTTTACTGCTATATTTTTAGTACTTTATACACTTCCATTACCTATGAAATTCAATTTATCAAGTGTAGTATGAGATTTTAAATATGTATAAATAAAAATGTGTGTACAGGTTTGCCTACAAAGTTTGAAATTAATTGTTGGCGTACTAAATCATAAGATTCTTTCCGTAGCAATAACTCTTCAACCCCTATGATGAAGCATTTCTGAATAAATTTCGGTATGCATTGAAGCTAGTGGTCTTATTTGCTTTGAAGTCTGGTAAGAAATAATAGCGAATTCATTCATACGTTGTTTACGCCAAAATTTTAGATTCTGACTGTTTCATCCTTATAATGTAAATAAGTCGATATATCTGTAAATGGAAGAATAGAAATATTGTTACGTATATTAACAAAGCATCTACGGAAAATTATGTAGTCCTGGGAGAAATTTTAATATAAATATCATAAAAAGTAAAAGCCAGTTGCTGTGAAAATCATTATTCTGATACATACTTTGTTTGCAAAGGCTTTTGTGATTTATTCTTTGCACGCCTTTGGCTTCTCTTAAATTTAATTCTAGCCATTTCTTCTGCTTTCTTTTCCTGAGCTTTCCTTCGAAGCCATCTTAATATATTTAGAATAGTATGCCAAGAATTAAAACTGATGCTATTGAACGATTTACATGCAATAATTTTATTGATGTCCTATAGTATGATCGAAAACGGAGTATCACGTATTATTTTCACTTACAATGTAAAGGCTTTTTCACACTGTCGTTTACTATGCTCAATTTTATAAGCGTCTTCTTCTTGCCTTTGTTGATCTTCAAGCTTTCGAGCTTGTTTAACTCTATCTGCTTTATCACGTAACCAGGCTTGATATACTTCTCGACACCTTTCAGCTTGCAATTCTTTCTTTTTTCTTTCTTTTTCAGGGTCTAAATTATTTTCTTGTAATCTTCTCTCAAAGGCTTCCTCTCTTTTTGACTGCAGCCATGCCCTAAAGGCTGCTTCTGCATCTTCACGCGCTTTCCTTTTTGTTTCTTCTTCTTTTAGCTTTCTTTCAGCCTCCATTTCAGCTAACAATCTCTTTTTCTTGGCTAACAATTGCTTTTGATAAGGAGTTAGTCCGTAACTTGACTGTATGTAGTCGTATTCATTATTACGTCTTATGGTAGCCGGAGCAGTGCGTGGCCTAATTATTTTTTTTCTTATCGGCTTTGGTGAAGAAGGGCTCGACGTATTTATCGATTTATTGTTAGTATCGTTATTACTTTGCTTAGTAATTGCTGGACCATTCAATATTTCAGCAATTGTTTCTTTTAATGAATTAGTTTCGGGTTGGCTTGCTGTTTCTTGTATACTAAAATCATCTTGTTGTGCTTGCATATCCTTATCGCCTATTAATTCAAATTGGCCTCCTCTTTCTATCAAGACCGAATCGCTTTCCTGTAAATTTGATTCTTGAAGTGGTGTATCTTCTATCGTTGAGGATGCTTCATTTGATGATTCTGAAATTTCACTGCTTTCCTCTTTCTTATTTTCCTCATCACTTGCTATTTGTAAATTATTAATTTGAGAAGTGACAATAGTTGATTCTATCGGATTAGGTGCAATGTGGTAGTCTAATTCTTGGCCTATTATAGTCTTGAAAATCTGTTCACTTGCAGTAGACGAAATCTCATTTTGATTTTGAGGCTCATTCTTGCTAGGAGGCTGTATATCAATAGTTTTGAGTGCTTCTTCTTCATCATTCTCCATTATGGTGTCAGTGATAAACTTTTTAACACTGTCATTATTCTTTTCCATTTCTCTCCAATTTTCCCATTGCATAGGCTTATGTAGCGAATTTTCAATTTTGTTTGGCTCCATTTCGCTTTGATTTGATTCGTTTGGCTTATCTTTATCATCGAAGTTATTAGCGTTCTCTTTTTCTCTCCAATTACTCCAACTCTGTGAATGTTTCATTCCATCACTATCGAATGCTTCGCTTTTGCTCTCTGTTTTTTCTCTGTCTCTCCAATTGCCCCATTTAATATCTCTTTCACTTTTCCTCCGATTTGATGCAGGCTGATTGTTCTCATCTTCGTTGTACAATTTCGCTTCTTGCTCTCTCCAATTGCCCCATTTAATATCTCTTTCACTTTTCCTCCGATCTGATCGTGGCTGATTGTTATCATCATCGTTGTGCAAGTCCGCTTCTTGCTCTCTCCAATTTGACCATGTATCCGAAGAAGCGCTCGATTTATTCTTTCTATTACTACTTATAGACAAGATGTTATTCTCATTCTTCCATTTGTTATAAGCGTTTTCGCGTTGCTTGAAATCATTTGATGGTCTTGAGGACTTCTCATCCCCATTCAAGAGATAATCATCAGCATGGCTATCATTCAAGAAATTATCTTTTTCGCGATCTCTCCAGTTTGGCCATCTATTACCGCTTTCAAAGTTCAATCGACTTCCGTCATCAGGGCTATCCGGAAAGTTATACTCTTGTGCACGAATAGCCATATCGTTTCGATTTTGTATTGTAGGATAATTATAAGGATAAAGTTATCTTGTAGTGGCAAACCAAATTTGGCTATCGCTTGAAATGGCAACGGGCATATACGAATCCAAAATGACCTACTTGAAAATGGGGTTGAACTGTTTCAACCGATGGCAACTTTAGAATAAACTATTTATTCAATCTACAACGAATGAGTAGATATGCTTGAACGACTTGGGAAATAGGGGATATAAAATAGTCTGTAAAATCGCACTCTGACTATTGCAAAAGTGAATAGCGATGATATTGACTTTTTGGTGGGTTGTGTGGATCGCGAATTGCTTGTGTGCGAAAGCCTTGTCGAAGTAGTATAATGATCTATTGGGATCGTAACTGCTATAAATTAGCGAAGGATATCTTTACTATGGCCTATTATAATCGATTTCAAATATCTCGTTTATCCTGCAGCGCAGACATTGCATTTCTTCTATACAAGTGTCAGCATCATGTTGTTCCTATTGGAGTAGAAGATGTTGGAACAAAGCTGGTAGGATTAATTGACCACCATTCATCATATTATTATGATATTTCTATGACAACCCCAAGTTGGAATGCGCAGCTGCAGCTTGGAGTCGGTTGTGGACATACAGTACTGTGCACTACAGTACAATGGTACCATAGACTGTAGCATTGTACTGTAGAGGTCGTCATCCTTTACTGTACAGTACAGTACCTTGTGCACGACAGTTACAATGTACAGTACTGTAGGGATTCTCAAAGGTGATACAGTACAGCGCACTTGCGCAGTACTGTCAAGGCTGGACTAGGTGGTCATCCTTTTAAGGATTCTCCAAAGCGATACAGTCATGCGCAGTACTGTCATGGGTGGACTTGGTCGTCTTCTATTACAGTACCTTGTACACGACAGTTACAATGTACAGTACTGTAAGGATTCTCCAAAGCGATCCAGTCATGCGCAGTACTGTCATGGGTGGACTTGGTCGTCATCCATTACAGTACCTTGTACACTATAGTTACAATGTACAGTAATGTACAGTACTGTAGGGATTCTCAAAAGCGATGCAGTCATCCGCACTTGCGCAGTACTGTCATGAGTGGACTACAGTACTGTAGCCATTCTCAAAAGCGATGCAGTCATGTGCACTTGCGCAGTACTGTCATGGGTGGACTAGAGACCCTTAGTGGGTACGTTTGTGAGAGGTGACGCCTACTATCGTACGCTCCAAACAATCGTTGACGGAAAGATGCTGGCCGACGATTGGTTGGTTAGACTGTGGATCGATGTAACAAGAGTCACGTCGGAGCGATGCTTCACTCTCTCCTACGGCCGACGTGTTGTGGTTGTAATTCCGGTCCATTGGAAAATTTCATTAAGAAGAAGAAAAATTATTTTCACTAAGTTGAACTACAACATCGACTGGAAGTAGGACATTTCATTGAATTTAGTGGGCTAATTGAAAGGTAGAACTCCTTGGAAAAAGAGCAAATAGTTCGGAGAATAATCTTTGATTTCGATCGAGTATCAAGATGGCAGTTTCATGGATCATTTGTAGTCTTTTAGTGGTCGCTTATCAAGTCGATGCGGACATGAAAGGTCATTTACAGCCGCTAGGCCAAGCAGGACCACTGATTGAAAGCGCCCAAGTCGATGGTTTCCCTAGTATGAAAACTTTCTTCAATGAATATGTGTGGAAGAGTGTTCCATTAGTGATGAAAGGTGCTGCCAAGACTTTTCCAGCGTTCCAAAGTTGGACTGATGAATATTTCCTTTCCTTTCCGGAAACAGCAAATTGGTCCATGTTTGTTGAGAAACGAAAAAAAGAAATTCGCAATCTTGGTGGCGAAGATGCCACCTTTAAAGAATTTCTTTTACGTTACAACCAAACGGATGAATACCTGATTGCCAATGTTCCCCAATATCTCAAGTAAGATTGCATGATGTTCATGTCCATACGAGTATCTTCAACCTTATCAAATTAAACTGTGCTATAGTTGGAAGTTAGGATTAAACCCATCATTTCATCAATGCAATAACATTCTGTTACTCCTCTCTATACGCTGTGTCCACTTTGAATTTGTATACTTTTGGGTAATGAACAACCAAGATATTAAAATCGTTGATACTCTCCATTTAGGAAAGATATCCATTTGCCTTCCGTTTTGGCGTGTGATGTTATCAAATATGTCGATGAGGTAAGTTCATCGTCCGATTGCTAGAGGACTGTATACAGTAGATTGATAGTGTAAAACAAATTTTCTTTCACTACTTGATTCAATCATGGCGAAAATGATTACGACCTAATCAACACCGAGATCGCATGATTTGAACAGTATCCATCGATGCCAATCACTTTTCTATCTAACATGTGTCAACAAACAACAGTTCTTAATTAACTAATAACGGTCATGATGTTGATTCTAACAACTAGGTGATGTGGTTTAGTAGTGGAGGAACCAAATCTGTTCTCCACAATGACGACGTCGACAATGTCAATTGTTTAATCCGGGGTAAAAAAGAACTTATTTTTATTAACAAAAAATACGAAAAAGAGGTAAGCCATGCGGAAGCTCTATCTTACAGTAAAAATGCTTTTTCAACTGTATAAATTATTATCTATTTTATCCAACTTTTCGCCTCATGTTTCTTCCCAATTTACCTTTTTTTTTCTTCCCCCCCCCCCCCGTCCTCCATCGTAGAGTACTACGAAAGAGGTGCGGACATCCAGTCCATTTTTTTTAATCGATTAATAGCCAATGACTGTCCATGTAACAAAGAAAATTGAATCTAATTTATCCTGCTATACAACTTACTATGATTGTATGTAACATATGCATTAATAAAAGATAAACTAGCAAGATCTTTCAATTGGTAGACGATCAGAACAATATGATTATGTGTAATCTACTGTCTAGGAACGCTGATTAATTCACCAATGACTATTGTTTGCCACTAATGAAGTATTATAATTATCGGGGAATGAATGATTACCATAGATAGATTCGCATCGAGAGCAACATGTCCAAAATTAGATGACAAGGAAACTTGTTGATTAAAATGAGATTATTCGTGTTGCCTCTTGACTCAAGTTTATAGTCTTTCTTGGATTTCTCTCCTCTTCCAATGATAATAAGGCTAGCATCGTTGACTTGATTGACTGACTACGTCAACGAGTAAAACCAAACTGTTAATGGATTAATGTAATGTAATTACCTCTGGGGATTTTCTGCATGTTGCGGACGTGACCCTCTAATGAATGGACCACGGAGTCTATCGTAATACAAGAATTGGCTAGACTGCATTTTCGTAGACTGCTATCATCATCACAATATATTATACAAGTTTATTATCAAAAGTTGACTTTATCATCATAATAAGAGATTGACTATCGCGATTACCAACTATATTCATCGCTATCCATTGACGTAACCAAACAATCAGTCGACGTCTATTAGGACGATTGAACGTGAAAATGTTCAAATCTGTAATGTGTGGTAGATCGATGATAAAAGTCCATTCTCTCAGGATAGGACGAGGAAACGATTTATTCATCAATGTAAACATCGTGACGATCGTTTTATTCCCTTTATTAGGTAGCCATTGATCATGAAGAAGGCAGCTATTCTGGTGTGGATGTGGATAAGTAAGTGACTTCGTGATGCGTAAAAGCTTAAAATTGAGCTCCAAACTTTACAAAAGATATAATAATATAATCATGTTGCTCAACTTGAATTAATCATGCCTTTATTGCAACTTTTACTTGGGTTCAATTTTTATAAATTTCTGCATGTTACAATATTAGGCGTAAATTATGCTTGCTTTCGGTATACCGTAATTCAGTGCAACATAGAGTTGGCCACATAAGCGCACAAAAATAGTCTCATTTCTATTTTAGTTATTCATTAAAGTTCCATAAAACTAACGTCTATCATGAAGCGAACTTCTATTTTATAGCAAAGAATTCATGTTAATGTTTATATCCATACTGGCTGTGATATTGATTTTGCCTCTGTAATATCCTACAACTTGACTGGACACTTTTTATTATTTCGATATGCTTAACAAGCTTATATTGCAATAGAATGTTGTACTGTTCCACCACTCAACTTGCATTATGCTAAACTATCGTGATTAAGAATATTCACGTTCTAATTTGACTGAGAGTACTACTTAATTTATTGTCAAATCAAACCTTCATCTTAACCTCGGATGCAATTAAAAATCATATAATGTTTTTAAACAATATGACTTAAATGGAAGTGATGTTTCGCTTAATATCATTGATATTTTATCAGCAGTTGTATCCTCCAAATAACTATCAGTGAATATTAAGACAAATTTTAAATATTGAATTTTAAAGTAATATTTGCACTAACAAAGAGTTACTATCCAATTTTAGGGTTGACTTGAATAAATATCCTGGATTAGGGAAGGTAGACTATCAAGTTGCCCGCATGGAAGCTGGCGATTGTCTTTTCATACCGTATCACTGGTAAAATTATTCATTCTAAAACGTAGACATTGCAATCTTATTTCTAATTGATTCGATAATACCAGTATACTGTACACTATCTCTATTCACAATTCGCTGTATAGTATAGTAGGAAGATGTAAAGGTGATCCTAGAGACTAAAAGTCCGATGTATTTAGTTAAGAATAAAAAAAATGGACTGTTATCTTTATCTTCATATGAAGCTTGATTTTCAATAATATTACTGTAGTGAAAGTGAGCGGTTTTTAGTACAATTTTTTTATCTAAATATGGGTGATATTAAGAGCCTTTTAAGGGTGCCGTTCTAAAATTTGGATACCATAGAACAATAAATACCGGATACTTCAGTTATTGAAATCTCAATATCAAACACTGATTGACCGACAGCAATGCTAACTTTGATACTTATTGAATCAATTGTACTGTACAGTATTCAAAAGTTATTAATTTGACGATAGGTACTATCCTATGTTACTTCTATGTGCTATGTCAAAATAGTGGTAGAACGATTGATTTAATAGAAATCTATTTTTGCGTCAACTTCAAATGATCATTCGCTTTTAGGTATCACCATGTCCGATCATACGACAGCAATATTGCAGTTAACGTGTGGTTCCAACATTATGAGAAACCTATTGACCTTAGTTCCTGCCCGGCTAATCCACAGCCCAAAGGTCTAGATAATTTTGTTTTCGAAACAGAAGCGAATGAAAATACTCAAAGCGAAAGCGGCGACATAAGTTCTATGAAGTAGGATTTAATGCTATCTTAAGAGATTATCGCACTAGCGTAGAGCAATGATACTTTTTTTTATTTTGTGTATAAAGTCCAACTTTGTAACCTATTTATTTTTTCAGAGGATATATCTTAGACACGTTGGGCGATGTGAAGAAATCAGATTTGAAAGGATTTATTGATTTGATGAAAGAGGTTAGCTCATTGGATAATCACACCTCACTTTTGTAGAAGGATTATGTGCAATTTATGACGCCTTTTTGTATCTTATTCGCATGCATTGTTGTATATATTAATTTCACTTGGAATGATACTTCTTCAGGATAACGAAAATTGGAAATGGAAAGGAGATGCAAGTGATGACGAAATTATTACAAAGGTCTGACAATAATACCTAGATATTACATTTATTTTCGTTTATTTAGCAAACCAGTAAGCGATATCTTACCTCATCATTTTTACGTCAATCTGTTGTAGATGTTTAAGGAAGTTGATACAAACAATGATGGCGAAATCAACATTCAGGAAGCTAATCAGATTTCGAAAGCAGTTCGTATTAAAAACTGTCATTATTAATTCCCGTTACTACTAGTGTTAATTCTTAAATCATCGCGATTGTAATAATTAATGTTTGGTATTTCTACTTATTTAAGGTTGATAAAACTCTAAACGATTTGGTAGCTTCGATTTCTGTGCCAATTTCAGGCCGAGAAGGCGGACCTCCCGAGGACGATAATGAAAACGTTGATTTTGAATATGTCGAAGATGATAATGAACAGCGTGACGAATTGTAGTTGTGTTTTACCTTTGACAAATTTTACTGTCTGGAAGACACTTTTGCGTGCAGTTCACCGTAGCTATACGGCTGTCATTTAATTTTGGCAAGTATTTTATGTTAACTTGCAATTGTTTAAAGTCTTTATTTTTCTAGCTCAGAATTTTAATTTATGGACAGTTAGTACGACATAGAGCATTAGCTATTATGTTGTTTCGCGATATATTTAACTGGTATTCGTATATTTTATACTTTTCACCAATTTTTTAACTTATTTGTACGGTGATTAATCATTTAATAATTTGTTTTTATAAGTAATAAACTATGATTAAAACATCTCTTAAACTGCTGCAGAAAGTTTTCGTCATGAATAAATTTTCTAAGCGTAAGAGCCTTTCAATATTCGGCATGCGACTGAGCGATACTGCTTTCTAATTTTTGACTACCTTTGAATCTCCGAAGTTGCATGCTTAGATAAAACATGTAGAACCTCAGCACCAGAAATAATATTTCGTATTGGATTTAATAAATAGTGCTCTCATATCATTGCAGATCTATCAATATTTGATAAAGCTAAACAATAACACTTCTAACTACGTATAGTTAAGACCCAACCTAATAGCTGTTAACACCATTGATTGATTTGGTAGGTTAAATAATTATGATGCCAGACCATTCGAAATCATCGTATTAAAATATCGCTACCAGCGAAGTGACAGAACGTCAAGTCAGTATGATACAAATGTTAAAGCAAACCATGTTTAATCACATTGTAGACAATTAAGTCAATATTTAGTTTGCGTTGATTATATTTCGCTGGTCTAATTAGGCAATATTTTAGTTGTGATTACCTATTTTAACGTACAAGTTATGTCGGTATAAAATGATGTGTAGAGGATCTATAATTTATGCGATAGCATCGAACAAAAATAAAGCGAATTGATGTCGCTAAGTTTACTCAAAGTACATTGGGACATCGTGAACGATAATAAATAGGCTCTTCTATTTTTGGACTATGTGTAAGTTTAACATCCAAAATGTTTATTTAATTTAAAATATCAATACTATAGATACAACCGTAATGATAACAAAATGTACGACTACGAATATAAAATATTTGATAATTGATAGAAAACTTAGTTAACTTGCATCCAGCCTTTTTTTTTATACAAATATCGTATAGAAGCTGAATTACTACCTGTTGGTAATTTTATTCAGTTTACTTCTTGCATAGGGGGGTAATAATGAATACAATTTTTCCTATATAATAAACGCTTTTGTTCCATTATATTGTAGAGAAATCATTAACTATTGTTTGTTACTACTTTAGTCCTACGGGGAGAGTAAAAAAATAATTAATTTTATTTTATCATCGAGACGTAATCATCAAGCGATATCAACAAGTCAAAATAGTTTACTCCGAAATGAAATCTATAGCGATCCCATATTTAATCATCGTTCTATACCATTTTTATAATTCTGAATATGTTCAAGCCAAGGATACAAAAGGGCTACCCGGTCACTTAAAACCATTAGGACACTCTGGTCGCCATATTGAAATTACAGAAATAAATGGATTCCCCTCACTGAAAACGTTCTTCAAGCAACATGTTTCTCAAAGTAAGCCGTTGGTTATGAGAGGTGCTGCTAAGATTTATCCGGCCTTTTCAAAGTGGTCCGACGATTATTTTCTATCACTACCTGAGACATCTACCGCTGAAATTGATATCCAGCAACGCAAGAAACAAAATTATAGCTTACCATATTTGAGGGCAACGCTTGCAGAATTTCTACATCGGTACAATCACACTGATGAATATATGGTTAGCTATATACCTTCTCACCTAAAGTAAGCAACTCTTCTCTTCTAAAACGATCGAATATGTATATATTCTATGAAAATTGAGACTTGTAAACACTTCCTTATAGTTTAATACTTCAAGATCACGAATTTAAACCTAGATATCGGAACCAAAGTTATCGATTTGTACATATCTCACTAAATGCATCCACTGTAGCCAAAGATGATTAGAGTTTTTAGTAGTCCTTACTGTAGCCTGCTCTACGAGGACTTACGATGTCGTGATACATCATGGCTTCTTTAACAATACCACTTTCTAATAGATATATCTATAAGTTCTTTAATGGCGTATTTTCTTTATATCTGCTCCTATCTATTAGCTGATACGACTATTTAAATTTTGTAATTACTGTGCATAAATACTATCGAGTTGAATCCTTGCTATTACTAATATAAATTCAATCGCAGATGTTGCAGGATTCTTTGCAACAATTACTTCACGAGTAAGCGCAGACATTGAATTACTATTGCAGAACTGCTGTCATCGTATGAAAATAAATTGATGAAAAGATATCAGCATACTCTCTTTACGTGATATGCATATAAAATGAGTTACTACTAGACGTGAGTTAGCATGGTCATCATAAAAGATATTTTCATTCCTTTTTTATTTGGAATGCTGAAAGTCGATGAGCTTTTATGTGAAAATGAATTCTCTACAAAACTTTTTCCTTATTTATTAAATAAAATCATCCCAAGCTAATTTTATTGTTGCGAGCGACTTTCTGTTCCAGCTTAAAAATCTAAACCAGAAAAGGGTTTTATTTTCGCGACTTTTGTACAAAAAATCATCTTTTTATGATATGCAAAGATATGAATATCGTTAGTGACTATACTAATGTGAACATCTAATCAATTATTTTTGTTCATCTGTATCAACGAATAATATTTTGATGCTGTCAAATTCTTATTTAGTATCCATTCTATCACATAGGACAGATTTATATCTACCACCATGCGTTCAATGCGACGATCTTATTCATATTGAACCAGTAAGAGAAAATACTAACAGCTATTAGCACCGGTTAAAGTGCAACCATTACTAGCGTAATTTAATTATATGTAGTATAAGTAGTTTGATTACCACTTTAGGTTATGTGGCTAAGTAATGGGGGAACAAAATCGATACTTCATGCCGATCAAAATCATAATATAAATTGTTTAATTCGTGGTACAAAAGATTTCATCTTGATAAATAAGGACACTCCAGATCAGGTATTAATCACTTAGTTGTATTTGTACAGTTGTAAGCTTAGCTCAAGTTATTAATCATGTTTTTTAATCTATTCTGAAAGACATTTATTGATGCTCCTGGTACTTATTCTTATGTCGATGTTGACAGGTAAGCTATTTGCTTATTTAGCTAATAATGATTTAGCAAATACAGTGCAATTTGATTTTAGAATAGCACTAGTCCAATCTAACCGTATACTGTAAACATGATAAAGTAATTCTAGTATTAATGTAAAAATCTTATAGGGTGGATATGGATAAATATCCGGTATTTTCTTCAATCGATTTCTATGATACACACATTGAAGCAGGAGACTGTATATTTGTTCCAGCTAGTTGGTAAGTAAAGTTTATGCCGCAATTTATTTCCAATAATACTACAAATGTATAAAACTAATGAATCGAAGAGCATTATTGCGATTTCTAAATATTGTATATACGCTATCTACTATGCTATTAGAACGTATATAGAAGAGTCTTAAAGTGGAGTATCTGATCTCAGTCGTTATAATCTATAGTTAAACTTAATAGATGTATCTAAAAGTACTATACAGTTCAATTGTGAAGTATTAACCCGATCGAGTTTACCAACTTTTTAAATAAAGTCTCAAATAAAATTACCAAGGTTTAAAACTAGCCAGCTTCCATTAATATAATAATTATATCAATTCCTCAGTTTAATATATATTAATCATACTAGTAATCCATCAATTTCTGTAACTATACGACTTTTAGTATTAACTTGATCTGCTGTATCCATCCATTATTAGCATTGTGCAAGGCGCAACGTTAGAAATAAGGTTTAAGATCTGTCTGATAAAATGACTGAATTAAGGCACTTATAGCAGCCTTTAGAAGCTAAAACATTATTGTTTATGTCCATTTCACTCATATTAGTTACATTACGACATTTAATAATACTAGGTTTCATCAAGTGCGATCCTATGGTTATAATATTGCTGTAAACATCTGGCTGAAGGGAGAAGATAAATTTTTCGATGTTTCATCTTGTCAAGATGTTACTAAGGCCTATAAAACTTTAGATCAATTCACTTATTCGCTTGTAGAACCACCATCCCACGATGGTCGTGATGAGCTCGATGAAGGTGCAGAAATGTTCAGGCAAGCTGCAACATTCTTTTGATGTCCTATTTACGACATCGCTACGATATCCTTGTTCTGCAATAGTGATTTTAGAAATGAAATTAATAAAAGCTTCTTACGATTGTAACTAAGATGTTTATCATCATTCTATAGCTTATTTTTGCATAAGCAATTGGGAGATGTGAAAAAAATTGATTTAAAGACATATATATATTTATTAAAGGCGGTACGTTTAAGGCTCTTTCGCTATTTTTTACAAAATATAACAACTAAATTTCCGTTTGTATAAACGTTTTTTGTTAACTAGGATGCTAAAACTTTAGAAATTGAAGATAACACTGGCGATCAAAGTCTTGTTAAGGTTGAAAATCTCACTTTCCTTGTTAAGTGTCAAATCGATAATATAATCACAAATAATCTACGGCGGTAATAGACAGGCCTAGACACTGAATCGAGTATTAATTACTAAGCTAGGCTTTCAACATGATTGACATTAATAAAAATGGCTATATCACTCATGAAGAAATTGATGGCATTAGGAAGCAGGTTCGCTGTCATTTCATATCGCATATGTATATATTTTGCTTGATTAAAAAATGATTGCTATCCTACCTTTGATATAAAAGAGTCGTGAAAATCAAGGCGTAATCCTAGAACTGATGAATTCATGGAATGCAGCTGAAACAGAACGATTAAGAGCAAAAGGAGACATAAATAATGGAGGAAGCCAAGAGAATGAAAATCATGAGGAATTATAATTTGAAAATATCATATTTCCTACGCGTAATATAAAGGCTTCTTTTTCACTACTTTAACTCTACTTTTTAAACTAACACTTTATGAATGTCAATCTCTTTGCTGTAAATATTTGTCAAGCACCTGTTTTCATCAAAAATTCTTACTTTCCATTGCCATTACCATTGCCAAGATAGTTTGCCTTGTAGTTACTCGTTTAGCTAAAGTTTTTGTCATTGTTTAAAAGAATTTATTTAAGGGCTTAATAACCTCCAAAATTCAAACTTTGTAAATAATAATTGGTCCCACTTACGAATACAGCACGGAACCAATCTACTTCTTGCAGCGCAATTGAACTTCATTAATGTATGTTTTCTTTTTGCATCTTTATAACGCGCTTAATAAAGATAAGAAATGAAATGAGTAAGATTCAAGGGCAATTTCCATATTTTCTAATAGCGAAACTACAAGCTAATGTTATAGATCCTATAATATGAGTAAACGCTATTCTAGATTGTGAAAATTGTTTGATGCATTTAGAATCAAGCAACATCACTTGCACACTTAGGTAAATAATGTGAAGGTAAACATATTCACGAGACAAATTTTGCATCAAGCAAATTCATTATGAAATCGATATGCTAAGCGAATTAATTCTCAGAGACAGAAACTAATATGAATCCTATGAGATGAGTAAACTTTATATTAATATAATTCTGTGGTATTGGTTGATTAATTATAGTGGAAGTCAATGCAATATATATTATATTCCGTTTATTAATCCTTTTCAACAATCATTATTTATAAATATGTATCAAAATAGTAATTACAATAACTTCTAGTCGGAATTGTTAATAAAAATAAGAGATAATTTTTACCGTACTCATTTAAGATAAATTTAAATTTGATTATCTCAGTACAAAATTATGAGATCAGTAACGCATGGAAGGCATATAGCCTTCGCTACATTTTTATAAGACATCCAACCGGTGATTAATAATTAATTATTTCGATGGCAATCATTTATGTGATAGCATAGCGATCAAATTGTTCTGTACAGTACTTTTTAATCTACCTTAATCTTTAACCAACTACGAGTGCTGTAAAACACTATTAGGATTGGAAAAATAGATAAAGGAATAACAATATCTGGCATTTTTTCATGCAACTTCTGCTTCTTTTTAATTCTTTATCTTAAGATTATTCCTCCTAATGAAGGAGATACAGTTTGGCCGGTTATAAGCAATCTATTTTGGACAAAATGTATAATAATAAATCACTATTCAATTATAATGTCATAAATAGTGAATAAGTTAACTTTAGATTCCAGTTAATTTGTAAAAATTTATTAATAAATTTTGGCAAAAGTCAGTGGCATATAAGATTTATGCCTATCAATCCTTTCCAACGATCTCGACTTGCAGCAAGTATGAAGTAGTCATTGCAACAATTCCCTATCAAAATTTGATCATCAAAGTCTACGTTCATTTTTATCGAACACTTTTTAATATAAATGTTATTATTTCAATATCTAAAGACAAGACCAATGATACATGGAAAACCCTATCGCCATAACATCATTCGATGAATCATTTAGCTAGACGATTATTATTTTAGCACTAATCATTTTAAATGGTGTCCGAGAAAACAAAATTACTTAAACTAATACTTACGGGTGAACTTATCATTTTGTCTACTTTAATCTATAGTTTACTACGAATGCTGTAAGCGTGTTATTGCGATTTGAAACATTGCTCCAAAGAGCAATGTTGCCGTAAATCCTCCATATAACTACTAATTTTATTTAGTAATCCTATTTTGCAACTACTTTATCGAATTTATAAGATGTGGGTTTGACCGGATTATAAGCAATTTATTCTTAATCGAATGCTGTAATAATGAATTAAAAATAAAAAAAATTATAATATCATGAATAGCGAGAATAAGTAAATTAATTCATTGTTTATCATGACAATAGTCTAAGTATAGTTATCAACTATTATTGTTTTAAACTCAATTTAACTCAAATAGATGTAAGTCTGGATCATTTACTTATTTGAAATATTCAAAGCTATAAGCAGGTTGAAATGATCTAAAAACAAACATGAATGTCCGTATCTTGTCGTGGACGATCTTCTTTCTCCTTTCTCGTCATCATCTTAGTGCTGCAACAGATGATTATTCATTGAAGATAGGTCATCTAAAACCGTTCGGAGAAGCTGGATCTAAAGTTGAAGTGCAACAGATTGATGGATTTCCAACTATGAAAACCTTCTTTCAGGATTATTGGGCCAAGAGCAAACCATTCATCATGAAAGGTGCCGCGAAATCCTATCCTGCTTTTACGTTATGGTCTGACGATTACTTTCTATCATTTCCGGAAGCATCAACAGTAAATATTTTTGCCGAAGTGCAAAAGAAGGAAAATCGTACGCTGCAACCTAAATTTCCAACATTCCAAGAATTTATACAACGCTATAATACAACACAAGAATACATGGTTGACAAAGTACCTAAATTCCTTCAGTAAGCTAAAAATAAAGTCTATGTTGGCAATTTTATTCTATTTCTTCATGGAGACATTATTGTTAGTCATGATGCTGTAATCTGTTTCGATGGCCTAAAATTTCAACATTGATAGAGCATTTTCTTCATTATCGATTCAAGTTTATTAGAAATGATACAAAGGAGATAGAAATTTCTACTTCATCGTTGATTAGAACTAACTAATATGTTAAAATATAAATCATAGCAGTACTAAAACTACATTACCGTTGCTTGTAATTGATAGAACCATGACCAAAATAAAGTTCTCTACATTCATCAATAATCCTATCAATCGGTAGTTGACGTTTGGCAATTTATTTCAGCTAGTTCGGATCACTACACTAGAGAAGTAACAGACTTTAATATTAATCGTCAAATTTTTAAACATACAGACAAGCTTATAATATTATCTTATGTACTACTATATTCAGCTACTATTCCAATGTATTTCTTTACGTTCATCAATTATTCTATCAATCGATAGCAAAGTTCGGTAGTTCGCTTTAATTAATAAGGATCACTACACTAAAGTAGCAACAAATTTAATATTGATTGTGAAATTTTAACATAGCGACAAGAATATTATGCTATTAGCTTACACACTGCTAGAATCATTAACCCTAACCTTAACATTATATAATATATAAAAATGAATAATCTGATTGTAAAACTGAATGTCTAATATTTGATTTCAATTTTATATAGGAAGGATCTGTGGATGCCGTCATGCATAGCTTGCGATACGATACCCCATTCTAATCATGTAAGAAATAATTGACTACAAATTCATGTCCAAATTTAACCTTCTTAGTGTTAGTCAGCATGAACTATGAAATGTAATAGCGAATTAGAGCAGTCATGAAAGGTTATCGCATATTTCATTGATAAAATTTCTTCGTCTTGAGTGCACCATGTGAAATATGCTATTCACATAAAGTTCCACTTTTTAAATGATATATCGACATTAGATTTTATTAATAGTAAATGAAATATAAATAAAGAAGTGGTATCGTAGTCGTGACAGGCTAGGACCTTTTCTTTATATTAAAGGAGAGTACGTGAAATTAAAGAATAATAGCTTTAAGAGCTGATATAGCCTAGTAAAACTAACGTAATGCTTTAGTTGGCTAAATTGTAGTTCATATGTCAATTTTAGCATTGGTATTTTATATCTTTTGCATTCGATGTATTCGGTATGTAGTTTATAGTGTTATCTAGGGGCAAAGATATCTTTCTTTCCCTTTATACTAATGATATTCCAATCGATACTTTTGCAAATTTCTGTTCCGAATATTCTATTAGTACTGAACGATAATATATGTATTTATCACGTTGGCTGATATAGTATAATAATATTAAAAGATTGCAATACTATTTACTTTGACGAATAATATTCGTTTCTAAATATCAAGTCTTCTTCCCATATATTGTATTTATAATCTGCTATAAAAATTTAAACGGTAATAGCCTAGTATTCGGTATAGATATGGAGAGTATGGTGGCATAATTACAATTATTTATATGTAATATTAAATCAACAATTTGGCACTAATTTAAACTTGAAAATTCACAACTAGGTGATGTGGTTTAGTAGTGGTGGCACTAAATCTGTGTTACATTTTGATGGCTATGAAAATCTTAATTGCCTACTTCGTGGCAGTAAACAGTTCATTATGATTGACAGAAAATATCCCAATAAGGTAAATAGAAATCACATTGCTTTTAATTAATAGCCTAGTTCACTTTCCAGATTAATTTGATATTTTGTTCTGGGGTTTCAATTTAGTCGTATCAACTACTGTATATTTATAACATTTTAAATTGCTTAAACATGATAATTATAAAGTAGTGTAAGCCCTCTAGAAGTAGGCATCAAAGTAGGATTGTCTATTTAAGTTCGTTTCCGATAATTACAAATTTCTCAAGACTTTAGTTTCGATCAGAATACTTACTCTTGACAGCAATCGTTATTGCATAGGATTTTATAATGGCTAATTACTATTACCTCTTTCTTAACCAGGGTTTCATTGATAAGCCAAGAGGCACTTATTCTACCGTTGATGTCGATAGGTTCGTAATGTTAGTCACGGTTAATCAGCCGTGTTGTGTTCTCAGTTCTGGAATTCTTGCTTCTAGAAGATTAGTATTTTGCACTGAAACGCAACTTTTCAACGCTTTATCATCTTATTCATTATCTAAAAGATGGTATAGATCTTAAAGAGTACTAGCTTGATTGAACTAAAACTCGGTTTCAAGCATTATAAGGACTTGCGAGTAAAGATTTATACTTAAAACTAAAAACTAGCATTTAAATCACTTAATGTAGGGTAGACCTAAATAAATTCCCAACACTTGCTAACGCAGAATACCATTTTGCACACATGGAAGCCGGCGATTGTATCTATATCCCTCTCTACTGGTAACAATTTTAATTTATTTATTTTACTTTAGCTATAAAATAATTGAATGCTAGTATTGTTACATCAAAGTGAATATCAGAAAGCGAATATATAAACGTACTATCTAAATTTACTTTATAATAAATCCGTATCCGATTAGGTCGTAATAGTTATTCCATGCTATATCTTCTAAAGTACTACCGTAATAAATAATATTGGTGATGAAAGTTATTTTCTTTCTACTACAATACTTATTCTTCAATGTCGGGATTAGAAATTATTTCAATTTAAATGAAAGTATATTATTTATGCAATTATGCTAAAATCTATTATTATTAACACATTCGTATATATAGATATCTTCTAACCTAATTCTAAGCTAGTACCAGCCAGTAATACTAAGTAAACCTGAAATAATCAGTTTAATTTAACATTTTTTGCCATAATATTACAATTAAACTTTATTCCATGACACTTTAATCGCAGTAAAGTTTATTTCATCTTTGTAGTTGCAACTAATGACATTCACGTATAGTATTTCTAAGTTTACAGTATACCCTCAAAAACATCATTTTAGTTGGCTTTTTAAATTTTATTCTTAAACATCTTTATTCTCTTCGACGCTAGGTCACATCATGTCAGGTCTTTTGGTCATAATATAGCGGTTAATGTATGGCTTGAGCCAAAAAATGCTACATGTATCGACCTGAGCGGGTGCCAAGAAGGTCTGGTTAATAAAACATTCGATCAATTTTCTTTTAGTCATGAAAGCGAGAGTGCTGACGAATCGGAGAATACTGATGATATTACGCGACTGATGTAAATTATACTGCCAGCATGAATATTGTTTTTAATTTAAATCATTTAATTATTCAATAAATAATCTCTTTAGCTAAGAAACTAACCCATTATTCATGTCGTAGAACTGGTTTGAAAGCATCACTTAATACGGAGAAAGTGGTCACCAAGATTAATTTTTTTATATATTTAGATGAGGTTCATCTCAATACCCATTGATTGTTATATATCCAAGATTAGTTTTGCTTTTTTTACTAGCATTTAAAGTAAATATAATGATATTAAATGGCAGCCTAATTGTTTATTCGATAACTTACAACGAGAAGTAGCTTTAAATTAATCACTACACAAATAAAGAATGATTGCGTGTAACTTAAATCAATCAAATGTCATAGATGTTGGAACTTCCTGAAATAGCAATGCAGGACTCTGTATATTTATCTATGATAAAGGTTCTTATACTCTTGATACATTTAGTCTCTTGATCTATTTCTGCATACCTATGATAAAGCCAAAGATGATTTAGTAGTGGGTACTAATTTGTATCTTTATGTCTAACGTTTCATAATATCGCCATTTTTTATATAGATATTTAAGGTCTTTGATACAAATAATGATGGAAAGATAACTAGCTTAGAGGTGGAAAATATCTCACAGACTGTAAGTTGTCTATTTATACGGCATTCAGAAGATTTGTCAAGTACTGCTATTAAATCATTTCTAATGTGACTGGATTTAGGACATAGACCAATTGAATCAATTTTATGACCATATATCCAGTACCAAATTCGAAGCTATCGCTACAGGAAGAGTTATTGATAGTGGCCAAGATTCAGCTCCAACAGTAAAAGTATCGTCTACCGATCAAGATGAACTATAATTAATTTTTTGCAAATTTAGATTGGCTCTAACATAATCTTCATTAGACCATAATATAATTAAAATTGAGAAGAAGTGAATCATCTATTTCTCAGCCTGCTTTGTTGCTAATTGATTGTCCCTTTAATTTATTCGTGATACTCTATGTAAAATAATAACGAAATACAGTAAGACAGCCTTGAAATTGCTATCATGTTTTGACTATTTATTTCAGCTATGAGAAAATTTCATTATAAGAATTCTCTATTTCTTGCTATAATGTAACTGCTAGACTCAATTTCATCATTTCATTGAGTAGCATGATACCATAGCAGAGGTCATAGAGCCAAGCCTATTCTAATTTATTTATAACATAGGATCTGTCCTTTTGCCCTTAGGATTACTGTTTAATCCTATGAATTGATTATATTTAGTTTTCGTTAATTATTTGTATATATATATGTTTGTACGTGCACATCTTTATCGATGCATAAGAATCTGTCCTTAATTAGAACTTGTCCTCTCTCAATCTTACTGCAATTCAGTAAGGAGGCTGCAGGTTTTTGTTGATATGTTACGGATGATACTATCATTTTAATAAAATTTTAGCTTGCCATCTATCATTTCGTCAGGATTTATAATCTAGCAGGGCTACTTTTAAATCTAGAATTGATTTAGGCTTGATGACACATACTTCTCAAAATAACTCTGGCACCTTTTACTGTCGATTTTAAATCTCAGTTTATGCTCGTACTTTGATATTCTCTATTTCGCTGCAGTTATACGTGACAACTTGTTGTGGTAAAAGAATTCACAATGGCGGTGCCTACAAGGTTAATTGTTAAGCCTGATCTAATTAAACAGTATCTTTATTGACAAGTCTATTGTCTATATTGACAATAATTGGGTTTTAAAGTAGACGATTTGTGATTCAAGTGATTGTTATGCCCATAAGTAAGTCTATTTATGAATAATCTGTAGGAGAAGAGCTTAGTAAATGAGTTCAACAAAGTGGAGATGGCTAATCCATTTTTACTCCGTTTAGCTTTCACCTTTTACCTTGTTATTTTCACGTCTGTAGTTTCTTGTGATGATTATTCAGATAGACAAGGCCATTTAAAACCCCTTGGCCTAGCAGGATCGATTAGTGACATTGAATATTATGGTGGTTTTCCATCGTTACAAACCTTCTTCAAAGAATATTATTACAAAAGTAAACCTTTGGTCATGAAAGGCGCTGCTAAACTATCGCCAGCTTATAATCTGTGGTCTGACGATTACTTTCAATCTATTCCTGATATTTCTGACTCAAAAGTTGCAATAGAGCAACCGAAAGATAAAAGCCTTGCATTAAATGTCACATCAGGGACATTTAAAGAATTTCTCTCGCGATACAAGACAACCAGAGAATATTTAGTGGATAAGGTGCCGTCATTTTTAAGGTAACATTGCCAAGCAATTTGTTACTTCAAAATCTGTCGAAAGTGAAGGATTTCATAACGAAATCTACCGTAATAACTTTAGGCTAATGTGAAGATATTTTGATATGATCTGTGATTTTCAAATAACAGCCAAAATCATGTTATTGGATATATACTATGTATATTAATTTTTAATTTAAATCATTTCTGGATCTATAGGAAGGATGTTTACATGCCTGCATGCATATCTTGCGATGCCATTGACTACATTGAAGATGTATGTATGAAAATAGCATGGATTGATCGTTTAACTGCTTGAATTGAATGAACTTATAGTTTCTACACAGAATTTATAATCTTATTTTATAGAAGCTTAATAATACGTAGAATGTCAACATAAAATATAGAGAACGGTAGTAGATGATTAATATGAAATGGAACTAACAGGCTAGTTAAGCAGTATAGAGCAAAACTTTTGAATCAGTTTAGAGTTTACTTTATTAGGGGATTTAACAAATTTTGTATAAACTCCGTTAACCTTACCTTTATTAAGTGATTTCAGATTAGATCTTGGACAGATTGAATATATTACTCCAGTGTTTTTACCATACTAAATCAGTTAAGATCTGTTTCATTAGATTGATTGATGATAGCAACTAGTCAACTTGATTCAGGTCAATTCAGAGCGATCTTGCTAAATTATTAATTAGACTCATTACATTTCCTAACATTATCTATTTAGTTTAATTGGATCAATGTCTTGCTGGAATCATTTAAAAAGTGTTGAGGCCAGCTTTGGATTCATTAGTCAATAACTACATTAAGATAACAAGTCAATTCGAAATTCTTATAACAATTTGCAGTCTCTTTACCTTGCCAAGCGTATCCATGACTTGTATTTGCTATGCAGAAATAGATATCAATCGGTGCTTTAAACGAAACCATAGGCAGTTTATCTTATCCTAGGCTAATTTTTCATAATGTCTGTTCATCTAATTAGATCCTATGGTTTAGTAATGGCGGCACAAAATCTACTCTTCATACAGATAGTATGGAAAACCTTAATTGTTTATTCCGTGGTTCCAAAGATTTAATCCTATTTGATAAATCGTATCCTGAAAAAGTAAGTCAGAGCTAACAATATTCTTCACAGTTTACTCTATCTGTCTTCTTAAATTATGAAACCTCGAAAGAATGAAGACATTAAATTTAAGACTATATTGTAACTGTAAGTAGTCCCAATTATAGCCAGGAGCCCTACTACTATCTTAATTGAAGATTATGTAACTATGGCCATTTCGACAGTTCCAAGCATATTTACTGTTTATTGAAAGTCCTACTTAATTGAAAAACGATTAATATTTATATATGCGTAAAAGGAGAGGTCTCCTAACCATTTCGAATACATTATTGTTCTATCGCAACCTACAAATTTTACAATGAGATTTTAGACAGGAAATTGATTTAGTAGACCTTGTCTTGAAGACTTTATGCTACGTACTATACTATCCATAATTAAGTTTGTAAATTTTGAAAATTTACTAAGGCTTGAGTTTAAACTATATTGATGTTTTCTAGGATATCATAGACGTTGAACTGGGCCATTATTCCAGCGTCGATGTCGACAGGTAAATTAAATTTGATGAATCGTTTATACTGATACTTAGCAACCATTTACACGGTGATGATTTGATACTACATAAAATGATTCACAAAACCGGTAGCATATAGTTGATGAAGGCCTACAGAATATGCAAAGACTCTATAACAGTATGTGAAATTGATACTCGTATATTAACGTTAAAATACAGAAACACAAATTGTTGTTACTAGCTTTGAGTCCTGCACATATTTACTTTCAAATATAGTGGAAAAAAGTTACAAGCGAGTTTACTGACTTAAATATGGAATAAGAATTGAAGTTAACTTAGACATCATATATGGTCTCGCATGAGATGAGAATTATAGATGACATCGGGTATCAAGTCTGTTTTCCGTCAAGACATTTAAAGAAATTAAATTTTTTAATTATCAGAGAATAACTAACGGTCATAGTAGTTGGCTTTCAATCGAAAGGCAGTATGTCTGTCTACCTATTTTGATAGATTGATACATAAAATACCCATACAATTTAACAGGCTAAAATAATTTCATAATAAGCTTTTTCCAATGTGATCGCTTAATAAAAAGGTACTAGCTAGTGTAAGGCATTCCATCAAAGGCATCCTATGCATTTCTTTAGATTGATAATCCAATCCAAATACTTCAAGACCGGCTATTTATCATTTTACTGCAGTATTCTGTCTTATCTAATTACTCGATAATGTTCATCACCAGTCCTTCATATTAAAATAAATAATTATGGCTGCTTCGATCGAGTAAAAGTTGCTATCTATTTTCTTAGGGTGGATCTGAATAAATTTCCAGTATTAGCAGATGTTCAATATCTGAAAGCTCACATGGAGCCTGGAGATTGTCTCTATATTCCTTATTTATGGTAGCTAAACTAAACGAAGCAGTCATATTAAATCTGTTTAGTTAAGTAAGAATACATTGGTTTGTTGTAGGTATCATCAAGTTCGGTCGTTCAATTATAATTTAGCCGTCAATGTCTGGTTTAAACATTATGATCAACCAATCAACTTGAGCTCCTGTAATAGCAAACCTAACAGAAATGTCCCCCTTGATCAATTTCAATTTATTGGAATGAACAATTATGATGCTTCTCTTGGAAATACTGAAGTGGTTGAAGAAGAATATGAAGTTCGTGAAGACGAAATGCCACAAGAAAACAGCTTTGCGTAAGGGGAATAGGAGTAGATAGACTATATAGTTATACGGTTTTGTATGCAGAAATGGTCAATTGAAAATGTAGGTTAGCCACTAAACTGTATCCTAAAAATTTTAATATACGAGTATAATAAAGGCGTGGAAAGTTGAATTCATCAATGAAAGGATACGCAATTAATTGCTAAACATAATTATTTAGGGATTTCTTCCTGGATTCACTAGGCGATAAAGACGAAATTGGCTTAGATGCTTTTATTACCTACATGCGAAAAGTGAGTAGTCAGTGCCTAATGCTGTGGGATAAAAAGTTTTTACATTTTATTTTCTTCTTGCATCATCCTCGTTATAATCTTATTCCAACGAAATTAGAGCAAACTTGATTGATATCTATCAAATAATCTGTTCAATTATTTCCATTTAGGAGACTGCTCGATTAACTAGTATAAACGATGAAAAGCGATATAAAGAGGTTGCTAAAATTTCTAGCAAGGTTGGATGCATTGCATATAATAATTCACTGTAGACTTGGATAATGCTGAAATAAATGCTGATAAAAGATTTTACTATTGAATACTAGATCTTCAAAAAGCTTGATAAAAATGGCGATAACCAGTTAAGTTTAGAAGAAATAGACAATATATCGAGTCAGGTTCGGGTCATGATTCAAGAAATATGGAGTAACAATTTTAAAATTATTTGCGTAAAATGAACGAGATTCTTCATATCTTTTTGTGTGGAAAAGGATGATGAGGAAATTGGCAAAATGGCATCCAACCTTATAACTGACAACGACGCGAAGCAAATTCTAAAAGACGGAAAATCGAAGGATGATCCAATTGTAATTGATAGTAGACTAATTTCTAATGTAATAATAACTATGGATTCTCTAATAATTCTAAAATTTGTCTTTTGGATGCTAATGCCAATCAAAAAATTTATTTTGCTTTCAATTGAATCTAGATATCAAAACCAGATGGAGAAAATCAAGTCAATAACGATCACTTGCAAGGTCACGAGGAGCTCTAGTCCCTACCATATTAGTGTAAACTAATGTTGCCTTTCATCAACAGGATTACCCAATCTTTTATAGCAATTCTATGACTGCTCATTTCGATAAACTTAAAAAATTTTAAATGCAAATTCAATTGAGTTCCATTTCATATAAAATCTGCGAGACAGCAAGTTTACGTGCCTGTATCTTCTATGAAAATTGGACTCATAGTTGGGCAAATGCATATTATAAAGGTAATTCTATCGCAATTTACGAGGGTAACCTTGATTCTTAATTGTAAAATCGATTTGGCATAATTTATTGTAAATTCTATCAAGCGGCAATGTATGCAATTGTTTTATGTAATTAAATTTCTTCTCGGATAAGTATTATCGTTTTTTGGAAATCAAACATCGACTATCCTGCAATCTTGGAATCTTTGTAAGGATCCCTTTCAAGCATCAATTATTTAATACGATAACTCGAATGATCAATATTCATTTTATATTTATTGAATGCTGAAGAAGTCCTCTTAGCACAGCTATTTTCATGTATTTCATTATAAAAATATATGCTGTAAGATTTCATTCGATCAAGGAAGTAATTAGTCCATTTGAAAGATAAAATTGATCTGGACAATATCAATTTGTTGACCAATAAATGAAAATTTATTTATTTTAAACAAACTATTTTGCTATCATTATCCAATGCAAGAAAGACTATTCAAGTTTATCTCTGTGCAAAATTATAAACTTTATCACTTTCTATTTTTAGTTGTGAATAAACTATTGATTTTAGATACTTCATAAACTACTATCCAATGGAAGCTTTTGAATTGAAATCTTGTAAACCTAAACTAATTTAAAATTAACTAGACTGACTGCCATAAATTAATAATTATCTGCAAGTATAAACAGGCGATGATATAACAGTTATAATAAGCGAACTATCACACTAGCCCTTAATCATAGTTCTGCAGGTAACCATTTTCTATTTCTATTTCAAAATCAGAAGAATCTTGAGAAATTATTTGCTAGTATAGACAGACGACAACTGTAATCATATTGAACGTATAAGAAATAATCTTGATTCGAATAGAACGAATGGAGTTCGAGCCTAGTGCCATACTAAGCGTTTTAAAGGAAATTGCCTAGGAAGAAAACAACCTTCTGAGAGTAGAGACAAGGTGTTAACTTAGCTAATTGTGTCTACTGTACCCTTTAAGAGAAGCATCAGAAAGACGCCGATGCGTACGGCCCTATATTGTTTCCGCTATAGTATTCTCTTGATCTTATTTCATATTAATGATTTAATTAGGAATGAAGACAAAAACATAAATTAGCATGTATTAAAATAAAGCACAATTGTAAATCGCAAGCGATTCACTGGATCACGTAGGAAGGACCTAAGTAGGAGGAAACTAATGAACCATCTTGGAAGTGAAATTAAATCAACATAAAACGCAATATATTTACTTTTTCTTAGATTAAACACCATGAAAATAATCCTTGAAATTCAAATAGTCACCCTTTTAACTTATTGCTTGTTCATTTCCACCATACTGAATGGCGTTTGGGCCGTGGATTACTCTAATCATCCTGGCCATTTAAAACCTATCGGTTTCGCTGGTCCTTCATCCGATATCGAATCTTGTCATGGGTTTCCATCGTTAAAAATTTTTATTGAAGAGTATCTCAACAAAAATAAGCCATTATTGATGAAAGATGCTGCCAAATCATCGCCCGCTTTTAAGTTATGGTCAGATGATTATTTCTTAGCTGAGCCAGAATCAGCTAATGTTAATATCAGTGTTGAACAACGGAAAAAAGAAAATCGTACAATAATGCCTGAAGATATGTCGTTTAAAGATTTTCTACTTCGTTATAATAATACTAACGAATATATGGTCGATAAAGTGCCAGAGCCATTTCGGTAAAGTAGCAGATAAATATCCCTTCGATTTCATTTTTTAGGGATTAGTTTCAATATTAAAACAGTTGTATAGAAATTGTTTCTCCTTGATGGTATGGTGTTGACTTAGATTGTGAGATATTTACTGAAAATGGATCAGTAGATTCATCCACTAGTTCTATGGTAATCCATAGGTCTTGAATAAATCCTTACATGCGAATATTGTTACCTAGAACTTGTTTCTCGTTAATGTAATAGCAACCATTTTGGCCGAAATTAGCTGTATTGCTTTGATAGCGAATTAAGCAAACGCTCAAAGTTAAAACCAACCTCAATCATTAAGATAGTTTTCCATTAGCTAACACTTGTTGTTACGTAAAACGAAAATTGACATCAAATCGATCAATGCTATTACTTACTGCTAAACAAAACAGCATGTAACATTTTACACCTATCATTATTTTACCTTTTTTCGACAGAAGTAAATTTCTATCTATTCTGCTAAAACTCCTAAAATGGCTCGAGTTTAGTAACGTCTTAATGGCAGCTAGTTTATAGATAATTTCAGTAAAAGGTTATTTAATCAAGTCCTTTTTATTGCAAGACGATGGTATTGATCCAAGAAAACTACTACCTACTCTTAATTTAATATTAGTATCATTTTAGAGAAGGATTAATACGATTGACTTTATGTTCATGCAAAGTTATTGACCGTATTTGATAGGGGATTTGAAAGATAGACAGCTAGCTCATAGATGATTTCAGAAATACTCGTACATGTTACAAAATCTATTCCATCGTTGAAATTCTATTACGATTTCGTTCTAAAGTAAACTGCTGCTAGGCCTTACTTAAAATTAGTAAAATTCAAGACTAGGACTAAATTTCTTAACATAGGGTAAAATAAAAATAACTAGTGTATTTAATAGACGATCTTAAGGATAGCTAGTTCATAAATGATTTCAAAGATTTTACCATACTAAATCTAATTCGTCGTTTTAACTACATATATTATGACTATATCTGCAATAAACTACCGTCCGTTCTTACTTAACATCAATGCTATTCTAGAATAGAACTAAAATTATTGACTATAGCTTAATGTGAAATTAAAAAAAGTATTTAATAAAGGATTTTAGGGATAGCTCGTTCATAGTTAATTTCAAAGACTTTACCAAACTAAATCGGATCTGTCGTTGTAGCTATATTATGACTTTAATCTGCAGTAAACTACAATTCATTCTTACTCAACGTTAGTACCATTCCATTCTAGAGAAGAACTAAATTATTGACTATACGATAGGGCAATGTAAATATATCTACTTTATATGATAGACGATTTTGAGAATAACTTGTTTCATAGACTTTATCGTACTGATTCTGATCCGTCATTACTACTATATTATGACTTCAGTCTGCAGTAATCTACCATCCATTTTTAGTCAACATTTAGTGCCATTCTGGAGAAGGACTATAAATATTGACTATAGGTTAACGTAAAAATATCTACTGTATTTAATTGACGACTTTAAGGGTAGCTAATTTATAGATGATTCCATAGACTTTGCCATACTAAATCTACTTTATCATTGCAGCTATATTTGACTTCGATCTGACGTAAATTACTGTCCATTCTTACTTAATATTAGTGCCATTCTAGAGTAGGATAACAGTGATTAACTACTATGCTAATAAGATAATATCTACCCTATTTCATGCAGTATTTTAGCATTGTCGTAAGAATCCAATGAATTACTGTGACTATGCCTAAAGGATAGCTAGTTTATGAAGTCTTCCCGCACCATCATTAATTCCCATCTATTCTTTTGGTTATAGTATGATTTGGGTTTACAAAGTACGACTGTCTACCCTCATTTAATATTAATTAAAGCTATTCTAGAGAAGGACTATAATTATTTATAGACTATAGACTCATGAAAGATATTTACCGTATTTCACAAATGATTTTAAGCATGTTGCTAAAATCCAGTTCATTATTACGACTCCATTATGATTTCAATCGATAGTATATTGCAATCTTCTCCTACTTCATGTGGATATTGTGTGCTATAAGTGCATTCAAAATTTAACCATGATTATGCATTGTACATAATTAAACGATATTTTATGCTTTCTGTACGTATAATTTTATTCATTTTCCATTAATTTAATTTCGATGGTAATCTTTGTACCTATATTGTAGAAAAGATGTATACCTGCCGTCCTGCTTGCAATGTCAAGTATTTACTCTGACTGATGATGTAAGTGTTAGCAATGACAGCTAGGTACTCGAGCTTTTCTAGGATAAATTTTTCAAATAGCCATAATGTGAAATTGATGTCATGCGTTCTAATTTAGGTAATGTGGTTTAGCAGTGGCGGAACAAAGTCTGTTCTACATACAGATGGGTACCAGAATCTCAACTGTTTATTTCGTGGTACAAAAGATTTAGTTATGATAAATAGTAGTTATCCGAGAGAGGTAACATCAAATAATCGATTTGTTTATCAATTATGAAAATGCCTTTAATTTTACGTTAGCGTACGTTAAGTCACTGCAACCTAGGAATATTCTAGCCATTGCTTTATTGCCTATTAAAATATGAAATAGAACCAATATAGTGGAATAACAATAGCAGCTTTTTTCTTAGCGTTTAAGCTGACTATGGTCATTGATTTCCTATTTTGCTCTTAAGGAATTAATCGAAGTTTCTAAAGGTGCTTATTCCAATGTTGATGTAGACAGGTAAGATAGCACTATGACCCAATGTAATTAAGTGTCTGCAAAATTAAAATAAGAAGTATTATCATTTCTTATAAAATCTCACTTTATATAAAGCCCTTCTATATCTATCGATTTAAAAAGGCTACAATACGTATCATGAGCATCCTTTAAGGATAGAAATTATTACTAAATATGCGATATCATTACAGCAAAGAAATATGATATTCTTAAAGCAGTTATAACAAGAGTCCAATGTTGTATACTTGTATATATGTGTACTATTCTTTTAAGCTTAGGTTTGTAATGGTACTTAAATATATATAATTGATATCAGTATTAATCATTTGTCTATATAAGAAGTAGTATTCACAATTATTTTTTGTGTGTGTCTCTAAGCGTAATAAACATCGAAATGACTTTTATGGACGTTGCTATAAATTTTCTAATCTACAATGCAGGCGCTAATTGTTTCTATCAAGGATTTAAAACAGTGTCTTATAATATATATTTGCATTATTAGCCATCCAAATAGATCCACAATTATTTCTACAATTGACATACCCAGTATCTAAATGCTAGTAAGATAGCAAATGGCACTCCTAGTAATGAAAATGCATCTTTAACTTATAATATTTCAGTGTAGATTTGAACAAGTTTCCAAAGCTCGCCGAGGTATCTTACATACATGTCCATATGGAGCCTGGCGATTGTTTATACATCCCAGTTTTTTGGTAAGTAAAACTAGGATATTCAATTCTTTACCACGCTCTATTTCCAGTCTTGATTCTTTAGTTCATGCTATTCTCTGAGCATGCATTGATGGAGGTTTTGTAAAGTTTAGTGAAATTTCCAATATACGTATACCTATCCTTGTTGTTACCAAGTGTAAGGCATATGCTTCATTATTCCACTCATTGACTATTATAATTCACAGCATCATTTTCTGCAATTTCGAGCTATTTACTTACCAAAAAATGGTATTGTGATTAAATACTGAATTATATACTAGATTTTTCTACTATCTTCGATAGCTTGCGACGTATTTACATATATTTGTAGATAATTTGGTTTGTGCTTAGCAGGACTGGAATAAATAAGGGCATTTATCTGATTCCCTATACCAATGAGAAACTTCAGTCTATTAGTTTTTATAGGCTACGTGGATCGACGATATAATGTTACAGTCTGGAGGATATTTTATCATAATTTGTTCTTTCTTGTATAGTCTAACTCTAATTATAAAACTGTTGCTGCTAATGGCGTTATCTATAGGTATCATCATGTTCGATCTTATAATCGCAATATTGCCGTAAATACTTGGTTTTTACCTGCTGAAAAATCATATGACGCAAGCTTATGCAAAGATGTCCAGCAAGTTTCGCAAACTCTAAATGAAACTAATTTTACTGGGCTTACAGACCCAGCTGAAGATGATGAATACCTCGAGTAGGGAGTAGATTAAGTTCGGAGAGTCAAATAGTAAAATTGATTCACAACGGGCTAAAGTTGAATTATATCGTATAATTTGTTTATCATGGTTGTCTATTGACGAATTTTGAAACATGTTCACTTATTTAATATGTAGATTTAGGGAATATCTCAAGTGGCTTTTCGAAGATGCGAAGAAAAATGATCTGAAGACACTTGTAAAAAGTCTTTCGATGGTTCGTATTCAATAACGTCCATCACTGGGATGCTTTTAAACTTGATCAATGAGAACATTACAATTTAATAAGATTCAACATTAAACGTTAATTTTCTCAATCTATTAACTTCATATATTTAAATCGTGAAGTATTACAGTATTAGAAATTACCATTGAAATTCATTCATTCCGTTAACAATGTTTGTGGTAAAAATTATTCACTACTTAAGGAAAAATTGAGTTATTGAAGATACTGCAGGCATCGTTAGCTACTGATGATACTTATTTTCGATCAAATTAGAGTGTAACTAACAGTAAAATATTATTACTTTAAAGCTCTTAAAAATGGAAATCTTAGAATCTTAATTTTATCAAGTAGACGCCCTGTTCATTTTTGCTATTCTCTGTCAGCTAAGTTTATGATTAAAAAGTTATTGCCTAATTGGATATGTCATTTTCAATTGACAAGAATCATTCTAATTAGCTGTAGCCTTTAAAATTGTGCCATTCAGGATTCAGGTTAAAAATTAGAATTTTAAAATATTTAACCAGGAGGTTGCAGTCTAGAACCCTAATATCATCGAAAAAGCTTGATACATGTTGTGCGTATTTTTTTAATTCCATTTTTATTCCTTAGAGCCTACCTGAGCAATCAGATGAAGAGGAATTGAAGCAGGCCAAACGATTTTGTATCGAGGTATTTTACGAGAATGAAGTATTCCAGTAGTTCTTTCTAATATTTCAGCATGGCCAGATTATAGCTTATGTAACATCCACATGGTGCAATCTATTTTATTAAACTACTTAGATATTTGCAAAAGTAGATACTGACAAAGATGGCATTATCACAACAGAAGAAATTAATAATATATCTGATGAGGTTACCTTTAAAATTCTTTAAGAATTTGCTGAATACTGTTATTGCAGTCATTTCTCCAATAATATTTTAACCCTGTAAGAAAGCACTGATTATTCACATCTTGTCAATATGTTTCTATTTAAAATTAGAACAACAGCAAGCTATCGGAAAAGCTATCATTATTTGTACCTCTTTCTAATAGTGATGAATCTGAAGATGATGATTTAGTAAGTGTATTAATGCAAAAACATAAATAGATTGCATAGTTTATTTATTCTGATAGTTATATCTTTGCAAGTAGGCTAAAAATTATAATGATATTACCACAGTTGTTGCAAATTATCCCAATTTTTGCTTAAATTATTGGTATACTTCTTAAAAGATAATAACTAATCCCATTCTTGAATTTATCTGATCGAAATAAATTAGTCACAAACAGGAGACGAAAAAGATGGACAAGCTGATGACGAAAGTTCAAGTAATCGCGATGAATTATAAGTTATTATCTATAATTGGCAAAATTAATTTTAAAATGCAATGAAATTATTGAGCCATTTTTGAAATGATTATTTTTATACCAGAATTAAGTACGGTTCTTTGTTTATGCTATTTAATTTTGAATTATTTAGTCCTTGAAGTTTCTTCTTTATGGCAATCTGTGCGAGTAATAACAATTTATTGTTCTCTGTACGCTAATATTCATACATATTATCAATACGATGGAAGGGGATAGAATGAACGTTATTGACCTAGCTAAAATAGATTACTGACCATGTCCTTAGGAAATTTTAACCATACGGAGAGGTCCTATCCTAAGTGCGTTACATAAAATATCTTATAGCAACCCTAGTACTTTGATATCCTTTTCTGATAACAATTTCCTGTAATAATCTTATTTTTAAATCTTTCATAACAATTTTATTGCTCTAAACGTAGAATAAAATATGTTGAAATGGTATGAACTTGTTTTGAATGACGTTTCTATTAAGTGATAATTAATTAATGGATATATTGCTTTAGTAACGCTTAGAGAAATATAGTTAACTAGCAAATTCTGAAAATGAAAGAAATTGAAAGTAAAAATGCGACTACCAACAAAAAATTTCGATAGGTTTACATCGTTCTACTTTTATACGCTTATCAGCTTAATTTCTAGAAAATTAATTCTAGAAATTTCAGAAGAGGTAGCCTATAAGAACAAATTAGGTTCTGTGGAGGCATATATAATAAATTATAAAATAATAATGAAGATAATTACATAAATATGATGAATATAAGTGTGTCTTTGATAGCGAAGAAATTGAATTTCGTTTTTGAGATATTGGCTAGTAAAATAAGAAGCTGGAATTAATTGACTTTAGTTAGGCATCAGCGGAAAACATTATTGGTACTATGCTAATCGTTATTTTAATATTATTTGATAATAATTAACCCTTTAAAATATGCTAAGATAATTGTTTCTTGCAAAGCCATTATTAAATTACCCAAGTATTCATTGGCAATTTGCTCATCATTGGTCATATTATAAAGTAGATATTCAGGAGACTTCTATCACAAAGAGACTGTGTCGGAGAGGAGCGCTTTATTGTAAGACAGATTCAAAACACCAAGAGATACACAGAATTTACAGGTATAAGGACACTCGGTATTATTAGACTCGCAAGGTTAGATATAGATCTATAAGAAACAGTAATCCATTCAATCTGTAAGCGCGAGACATTGGCGATTGGCAACATTTGCCATTCTGTCATCTCCCTTCGGTGGCATAGCAACTGTCGTGACGGTCGTGCATCTCTGTGATTCAACCTTGGACAGCGACACGCTCGGATTTTGAGCTGCCTACCGTAGAAACAGGCTATTCGGTCGTGCATCTCTACGATTCAACCTTGGACAGTGACACATGGGGATTTCGAGCTGTCTGAGTGTGTGTTGAGACGAACGTATACCGAGCATAAACACCGTCGTGCATCTCTGTCATTCAACCTTGGACAGCGTCACTCTCGGATTTCGAGCTGTCTCTATGAGAGTGTGTTAAGATGCACGTTTACCGTATAGAATGACAATAAACACCGTCGTGTACCTCTGTGATTCAACCTTGGACAGCGTCAGACTGGGATTTCGAGCTGTCTGAGTGTGTGTTGAGACGAACGTTTACCGTATAGAATGACAATAAACACCGTCGAGCATCTCTGTGATTCAACCTTGCACAGCGTCAGACTGGGATTTCGAGCTGTCTGTGTGAGTGTGCTGAGACGAACTTATACCGCACAGTCTATAAACACCGTCGTGCATCTCTGTGATTCAACCTTGGACAGCGTCAGACTGGGATTTCGAGCTGTCTGTGTAAAAAAGAGTGTGTTGAGACGAACGTTTACCGCACAGTGACAGTCTATAAACACCGTCGTGCATCTCTATGATTCAACCTTGAACAGCGTCAGACTGGGATTTCGAGCTGTCTCTGTGAGAGTGTGTCGAGACGAACGTGTACCGCTTGTAAACATAAACACCGCCGTGCATCTTTGTGATCCAACCTTGGACAGCGTCCCAGTCGGATTTTGAGCTGTCATTGTGAGAGTATGCTGAGACGAGCTTGTACCGTATATAAACTCCGTCGTGCATCTCTGTGATACAACCGTGGACAGCTTCCCCTCGGATTTCGAGGTCTCCCTGTGAGAGTGCTTTAAGACGAATAGAGACGAACGTGTATAAACATGCAAAGTGATGCCTACGAGAGTACTGTAGGGTACTGTACACTGTACAGTACACTGATTCCAGTTCGTGGATGGACGTACAGCATGTCAGTACTGTACTGTATGCCGTCGGTTGAGAACTGGAGATTGACGTTTCATAACTTTCACCCGACCTACAGTACACGGTTGTTGTTCTTGTACAGTACAAGTACTGTTCGCGAATGAGCAAAAACGACACTGTACTGTACACTGTAAAGACTCAGCATCCCCTTGGTCGAGATTGACGCTGCATAACTTTCATCTTTTGACCGGGTCAGGTCCTAGTGTTGGTTGAATCGTCCGTCTTTCGTGTTGTTTCTTGTTGTCGAGTCAGCTCTTGATCGACGTCACTTTCATCCTTGCAGTTCGTCCTGTCTAGCAAAGAATCCAAAATGGCGACTTCTTCCAGTGAATCCAGTCATCTTGAATAAATTGTGCCATGGAGCCTATGGATATCGCCGTCGAGGACGACTTGATATCATTAAGTGGTTCGTCAACAACGTCATTGCCATCTTCAGATGATGATTTCAGCGAGAAGACTGATTTAATGATCCCGCAAAAGGGCAATCCGATGCTAGATCGAGCCCTTTCCACAGGTAAATCATGCATGTAATCGTCAATGTGTAGTAGATGGTATTCAAAATGAGCCTGCAAGGAAAGCTAGAGTAGATTATGGCTGTGCATGCTTGCAGCTCTCCTGCTTCCACCTTTGAAAATTAAACATCAATACTGAAAGTGATATTGCTTGTCCTTGTCTTCATTCAGGGCATGATGTCGAAGCTCATTGGTTCAAGTGTCGCCATGAAATGAATTTGTTACAGCTAGAAAATGTATCAATATCCACTTTTATAGGCAGTGGCCGTCTTGCTCGGTAAGGTGCAACCTAAGCTAATGGTGACTGATTCATTGAGTAGAGGCGATATTTCACATCAGTATCAAGGATGATTGAATACATCATAGCTAAAAGTTTGAATTGTTACACAGATTTCTAAAGTCTCAAGATCCACAAATTGAAGCTTTCCAACGGTCCAATTGTTCATTAATGGGTCGTCGTTGGGTTACTCCATTAGCACTTGCTCAACACACTGATAAACTTTTTGCTTTACTGAGGTTGGCTGTTTATTCATCATGCTATACTTCACTTGATAGTGATACGAGTACGAGTATATTAGTTGTTAGGAATCATGTCGAATACCTACTGTACATCAATTCGAGATCCATGCGGCCTCTTTTATACCTACTGGTACTGCATTGGTTGGCTAACATTTTACTTTTGCTTTGTTTCATGCTTGAAGGCAAAAGATTCTAACATTCAAGAATCCAATTAGTAGACAGGATTTGACAGGTCTAATTGCTAATATGAAAGAAATAATTTCTTCAACTTCGTTTTAATATAATATTTTTGTGTGCGATTAAACTTGAAATACAAACACTAACAATACTCTATTTCAATCATTGTTTATGCTTACAGAAACCAATCTTGGCCAGCAACGTCATGAAATGGCTGAATTTTTGTTATACATTTGTATATTTGTATATAGGTAATAAGTTACCGAGAACATTGTTAATAAATAATCTGAATGAATTAATGAAGGGATTGCATAGTTTGCTAATTGCTAAATTTTGCCATTATTATATTTTATGCGTGTTTTCTATTACAGGTATATGGACGATTTCGAATCTCATCCAATGTTACGAGATTATGCTTTCTATACGCAACAGTTGTCTTTGTCGTCGGCTTTAGCAGAACAATTATCGAAGGCTATTTCCTATAGTGGCCATTTATTTCAATATTATGACTCATTAACACCGCATCAAATAGCATTCCGTGTTAGCAGTAGTAGACCTATCACCGATCATCTATTTCATTTGCATTTAGATATGCACTTTTGCTACATAGAAACACTCTATAGGCTAATGTCGAAACAATGTTAGTACAATAAAAACTGAGTATTAAACCCTTTCATTACTATTTTTAAAGAATGGTACTGACTTTGTAATTAAAGTTACATATCCGAATAATATTGTTGTACTTTTATTCTGTAGGTAACGTTAACGTAGAAGCTGCATGCATCGATATTCTATGGGAGTTGGTGATGGTTGCAAGCAATATATTTAGCAAAGTAAATTCACTTGTTGTAATACTATTCTATCGTCTTAATGCGTATAAGTTATGATGTAATTAATCTAATCAAAACATGACTTGAAGGCATCATCAGCCGAAGAACGGAAGAGATCGCTTCCATTTCCTTGCTCCTGTTGCTTGCAAGTTTGGTTGACAGTTATTTACACTACAGATGATATTTCCAAAAACTATGGTGCACAGGTACAATGCACCCATCAGCTTACTTCGTATCACCGCTTTAATTAGGTATTTAATTGTATTCGTATAAATTTTCTTCTTTTACTTATACTTAGGCATTTTGGAGTGTCCTAAACAGTGCCGTGATTAGCAAAATATTAAGCATTGATACAGTTCATGATGACGACCATGTGCCGAAAAATTGTATGTTACACTTGTTATCGTTAAAAGAAACCATTTAAATTATAGTATCAACCTTACCCAACCACGATGGTTTGTTTATTTTCGCCAGGTAGCAACCAGTTTAACTGCAAAGACCCACTAACTTTTAGCTGGTGGTTATTGGCTAGTATTACTACCCTGTATTCGTACGATGCCCGCGGCCAATTAAAATCTGAACCTTCTAGAGTACATAGACTGATAAAGCAATCATACTACTACTATAGTACTCGCTTGCACGAAGCGTAACATATAAAATTTAGTAAATATAGATGTTGTCCTACTTAACAAGTTTTGGACGTGTTAGGAGCTCATTAAGTTACATTTATCATCATTAGACAAGTCGACCTAGCAACTGGATTATTGTGCAAGACTTATTGAAATTAAGTTTATCTCCGGTTGGTGCTATTTATACTGCAATCACTACTATAATGATAGCATTACCTTTCATTATTTGATGATATTAATTGGATTACATTATACGCTTTTATCAGGATCAGGATATCGGAGAAGGGAATCGTCGACTTCATTTACAGTTTTGTTTAATGCTTTCGAAGAATTGGGGTGCAAATACAGATGTAATATTATGGATGTGGGACTATTTTCATCGGCGATTGGTTGGTGCTACAAACTCTGTTAATACTAATATGATGTCGATATTGTTTAAATGGTAGTGGTTAGAAAGAGTATTTTTTTTATTACGTGACTATAGAATGATTCATATCGCCTTGATTTGCAATCGATAGATAACGTACCCATACTAAGGTAACGAGTTGGTTACTAATTTTTACTTTAACATCTGTTTTAAAGTGCTCACTGAGGTCTATTTTACTTATTGTTTTGTTATCGATTCTTATTTGATGTAATTGTTAGTCGCTCTGCTCGTGAATGGATGGATAAATGTGTTTTAAGGTGTCAAGGGATAGATGAGAGGTGAGATCTAAGTTAAGTATACTGTCAGCGGTTGAAATTTATTAATGGCTCAATGAGGTATAAGAAATCGTTTCTGACTTATTAACATTTCGGCTTTATAGCAATAGACAAGATGAAAATAGCTACGGCTACTTTCTGCAACATCTTGCATTCCATTTGAAGGACCTCTTGTCAATAGAGAATTCGAATCGAATATGGAAACAAATAAAAGGAAGGTAATTTAAACATGCTCTGTAAATCATATCCATTGCTTCTTTTCTCGATAGCACATCATTTGTAATAAGATTTTCTTCTTGCAATTAGAATATACTCTAAATTTCACAAGCGTCGAATGGGAGAATTAAATGCTGTAGGATTGCATAATTTTCTGAGTTTGTATATTACGCTGGCTTGTATTGCTGATGCAGAAGATGTGGTATATGAAAAATAGTTTATAAGATATTTAATACAAGGAGAGATGATCCTTTATCCCTTACCAGTACCTTCTTTACCTGTAGACGACGAAAATGTTCGACCTTCTCGCAATGCTTGATTCAAGAAATTTGGAAACACAAAAAGAGTTAATAATAAAGAAAGGTAAAGTAAATAATATTTCATCTTCCTATTATTATTTATTGCCTGAACAACATAAATCCTCATATTCTCAATTATTTGCTGGATGTACATAGGCTATTTTGCAATGGCACAACTATATATTACCAAAAATATGAATATTTTCCATATTGCGGGTATTATTGTAGACGCTTTTATCGTTACATGCAAGTACGTGCAGTAAAATATTATTGATGTTTATTGCTTGCTATAGTTTAATTCATTCTAAAATAATAATTCTATACTCTAGTGACTTTAATTATTGCCAAAATGATATTACGAAACGTCGGCATTTGTGGGACTGCGTAGTACTTTATACTGATAGTGTAGAGGAAATATTTACCGCAAGCAAAGGATTTCGATTATCAGAAATTAAGTTGCTCTCAGGTAATACCTAACAGAAAACATACCTTGCAAGCTCTCATCTACCATTGATAATATTTACTGCTCTATTGCCTATACGGTTGTGGCTTTGCATTATGATTCATTTGAAACATTCAATCAACTTGATGTTCTTCTAGGAAATGGATTATCGTACTTGCTACCCTCATGCAGAGAAAACGAACTAAGAAAAGTATTTTCGTTCTTAGCAAATGTACTTTCTTCCGTCAGGTAACGAAGTAAATTTGAACTACTTTGGAGTAATCATCGTACCTAAAACAAAGTTATGCTGTTGAATTAATTAATGTATTATTTAACAGAAATTTTCTAAATATGGGTAATAACATGAATTCCAAGAAATCTCAATACGTACTAGGTCATCTACAATTACTAATTAACTACTCTTGTTCGGTAGTTAATTTAATATCCTCTAATAATAGTAATGCTTTCATCATTATAGAAGTATTGGAATCGATATGGATAGAAGTATTTCCTCAAGTCCTAAACTACTTTAATAAAAGCGTAGATATGCTTGCTATAAGTCATCCAGCGTATTTAACGGATATTTTAGCCGAATTTTCGCTAATATCATTAGACCAGTACGTCCATCTCGCACAAATCAAATTATGCTTACTGCGTGTATTATTAACATGTTGAATATAATATGTATTTATTTGCCTTGTAATAGTACCGTATCTTGCTCCGTGCCATTCACAAAGTTATTCAATGACGTCGGCTTATCCGATCGCGTTATAGCTAGGTTTCTCACTTATTGAAATAAGGTTACTTATTTTTTTCTTGCATGAGCTGGTGTTAACTAACATAAATTGATGTTCTTTTACTTTACAGTACTTCTTGTCGATATTTATGTTATCTATTGCAATCGCCAAGTGCGAAGAAAGTCCTCATAGCAGAATACCAGACTCAAGTTGTTCATTCCTGGTTTAGGTGTTCTTTCCAACTTCCTGAAAGTGATTTACAAGTTATCGATTTTACAAGGTATTTTATTTCTGCTTTATAATTAAATTTGGTCGGTTCCAAAGAAAAAAAATTTATGCCGAGCTTAGATCTTAAATGTTTTTTACAGATATATTTGTGATTTTCCGGAAATAAAAGAAAGTCTTTCAAATCAGGTGCATGGTTTAATTAGTTTTTGTTGACGATAGACTGTAGGGAAATTGCGATATACGGTTATACTTACATTGTTTTGCTATCACTTTATAGAAAATTCAAAACAGCAATTCAGCAGTTGATCTCGCATGTGACATATTAATAAATATTGGAAGAGCTCTGAATCAATTGGTATTTTTAACGACGAATTTCGAGTATTTCTTACATACATTCATCTTGAGATTTAGTAATATGATTCTAAATTTGTGTCATTATGACGCGTTAGCATCAAAGTTCATCGGAATATGACTCTCTGCGTCAGAAAGTATTGGTTTATACGGACAATTTGCAAGCATATATAGAAACCTTTATTGCTAGCAGTGGACCACGTCAGCAGATACAGTACGAACTTTCTTATTAGAGTATATAATGAACGTAGTGTTTAGTCTGATCTTTCTAATGCAATCCATTCCCTAGGCAAATCTATAAAATATGTGCTACCCTTGTTGAATCATGTCCTGACGTAATTTATAGTAAAGTAAGTAGTAACATCAGTGCATTATTTGGTGAAATAAATGTTTTATCCGCTGGAAATATCAATGAATAAAAGTAGCAAGAGTCTAACCATTAATATCCAACTTTCCTATATTTATGTAGACGCAACGACAATGCTTGTTGCCGAGGCTTATTGATATGCTACTACTACCGAACGCTCAGTCAAATCCCAGCTTTGCAGTAATTGAAGCAAATATAAGAAAGCATCTATCTGGTGTAAGGGTTCTTTATGTGCTGTAGATTCGTTAAATTACCATATTAAAATCGCAAAAGTGTTTTATTCGTTAACAGTTTTTTTTATTATGGAAAGTTTATAAATGGTCTTGCCAAGTTATATCATTTGAAAAAAGATGAATTCTTAAAAAGAAAAATAAAGCAAATCTTCGCTAGATACTTTCTTTCTTTTAATCAGGTGCCAATAATATAATTGAGCAACTTTGAATAGAGTTTTATTGCTATCCCTTCAATTGTATTTATCAATGTTTTTTATAGGTATTATTGTCAAATCCACAATCAGTATCGTCACATCCTTTCATTGTATGTGAATGAATAAATTACTAGTTTTCATAGTATAACTCGTTTTTTCGTTACGACATGTTAAATTTACGATTTTATAACAATAAATAGAACAGCATCAGAAAAACCTTTACTTCAAGTGATTGTGAAATCGAATGGTAGGACAGATTTCGCATGGCTATTACTGATATTTTTTCTATTTTAAGTGTACCTGGATGTATTATTAAGAATTTTTTGCTTTCTAGTCAATTTCGCCGATATTGTATGGAAATAGTTGGTGATCACTTTTTGGTATTTCCTCAACCCCCTGATAATTTAATTACGGTAATATGAAACTATTGATAGTCAGAACACAATACGCTTATGAAGTTTGTAATATTATAGTGTACTCATTTTAAATAGGTTTTAAACTTCATAAAAGTTGTATTTGAAAATACCAAACCGCAAGTGAATATTGTCAGGTAAGGGAACTATTAATACTTAATGATACAAGTATATCGAAGGTACAAGGATAGACTGAAATTTCTTTGCTTAAGGGCAAAACCTAATATCGTATTTTATTGTGTGTTGTAGTGACTCGCCATATATATTCAAGTCTGTTATGGCATGTTTGTTAGCCTGTGATACTTGCTCGCCTGAGAAAGAGCCACCTTCTATAAGAAATTTAGGTGAAAATAATGACAATTTTTGATATTAACTCCCTAGTAATCCTCAATCAATGCATATATATTTATATAACTTCCAACTGAGGGAATTTTATCATTATTTCGTTTATAGCTACAGCTATAATAAAGTTAATAACAAACAATTTATCATGCGAAAAAGAAGTTGAGATTAGGTAATTTAATCGTAGCTATTGTTCTCGTTCTATTTCAGCTATAATGTCCGCTAACGTTACTCTATGTTTTTGAAATTTATTAGAAACAAACTACAGAAATGCTTGGAAAATTTTGTCGAATCCAACTTTAAACAATTTAATGTACGTTAGAAAGTTTTAAAGTTTCGATAATACCACCTAGCGAATGTTCGTTCACCTTTATTGAAAAATTAAATTTAAAAAATTTATTATCCTTACTACTAAAAATTTTAGGTAAAGATTCTTAAAAGCTTGGGTAATGTCGCCAAATATGATAGTGACATGATCATTACCTTGCTACCAAAAATTCGACAAATTATTCTACAAACTGAACAAAACAGAGGTGTTGGAAGAGATAAAGGACTAAGGTATGATCCTAACAATAAGTATTTTGCATGTTGTACCATTTTTATATAATGTTTTGGCAGTATTTCTGCAATAACGGCGTAATTAAGAACAGGTGTGTAATTTTCACTTTTATTGGTTATTTGATTAATCACCAGATCTGGTTATACTGACTTCCTGGAATATTTGTATAAAATAAGCGCGAAGCAATTTGACCATTCTGAATTTGAAATTATTTAGATGTTGATACTGTCAGGTGTTCTAGTCAGTTCATGTAGGGTATAAATCGCTAGCTATTCTAATTTTGACTTCCCTTTATTTTACCTACGAATTATTTATTGTACTTGTTTTTACAACAGAAAACTCCTACGCTAAAATATGAAATATTTATTTAGTTAAAATGAAGGCTACGCAATATTAGAAGATTTAAACTAATTATAGATTCAAATGTATTAGTTTACAATTAAAACATTTTTCTATCTTCCAATGAGAACAGCAAATTTATATAATCAGTAGACGAATATTGCAATATATTTGCTTAATGTCGATCTGTTATGGCATGATCATTGTACTGAACAGTACTGTTGGCATACGTATGATATGTGGATTTGTAATTTTTGTGAATAAGTAGCTATATGCTACGTTCGTCATTATAAGTTTTATTTTGATTGATTAATAAGATAATAAATTAGTGTACAGTGTACACTACCTGCAATGTAATATACCGACATGTATCTTGAACAAAATTTGAAATTGCATTTTGAAAGTGAAATTTAATTTACACTCACGTATATTTATAATAAAGCTACATATACATTATAAATGGAGTATTTTAATTTTGAATTGAAGATCTTATTAAGATGTATTTCCTGAAATCAAATATATGGCATTAATCATTTTAAAAATAAATTACGCAATACATCAGTATCCTTCCAGATACTGTCAAGCATTATTATATTAGTAGCATATTGAGCGAGTGATTCATCTTGCCCATAATTCCAATTTATTACTAAAGATATCATGTGATAATATATAGATTTCTGGACAGCCAATCGATAATACATCATTCCCACTGTTTTTAACCCAAATTACACTCGAGGATATTGTTTAGGCATTACCCAAATATATCATTACAATAGTGAGTTATTTCTTCTCACGGGCAAACTTAATTTAGTCTTTAAATGTTTATCTAGTCATTTTTGAGTAAACTATTTGAAGTCTAGAAAATACTGATCAGTCATCTGGATATACTTTCCGCAGCCATGGTCTGGGAATATATCGGCTATTATCAAATTCTTCGAAGTGATCTCCTACTTTTGGATGAATTATCTATATCGAGGAAAAGATACAGTTACTCTATATTTAGTATATAAGATTTATAGCCATGGCAAAATGGATTGACCAATAATACCGGATAGTGCATTATGAACCATGGCTTAAGCTATTCGCCGCATAGTCATGAGAATTTACATTACGTGGATTTATACAGCACGACTATTCAATTAAAATTGTAGAATTACCTTTCGATTGGTCAAAATTTCAATATTTTCTTCAGCAACGTAGGTACTCTGAGGAGTTAGACGGTCTCTAGTATCGACTAGAACGAGATAATTCGCTTTCTTTCGCCAATGCTAAAACAAATTAAGGTTGAAACTTTCAGGCTAAACAAACTATGTAAGGCTCAATACTCAGAAGCGTCTGCAGCCTATCTATTCGACTTAAAAGTAGTCTCAGTTGCGATGATAAACAATAAATGTCAATATTACCAAGCATGGATTAATGAACTACTATTGTATAGTATGGATATAGTAATATGACTTTTATCGAGTAAAGATTACGTTCAGTGCTTAAGAACAAATTGAAATGCGATTCACATTATAGTGTGCAGTAGATAATGCGTAATTGCGACATGAAAACATTGCATAATTCAATATCAACGAACTGGTTTATCTGCCGGATGCATATGATCGAGCCATTCCTTTGGTGCTTTTGCGACAGGATCCCATCCTACAATAACACCACGATAGCCCCATTGGCGATGTCGTATAACTTGGCCAATGCGATATCGAACGTGAGGTGGACGTGGCGTTCTTGGTATAGTTGATTTAGCAAAATTTTCGTCACCACTGCGAAACTTTTCAACTTCCACAGCGGGACAAAAGCCTTCTTCAATTTCTAGAGCATCTAACATCAACGAATCTAACCACCATTTCCATGTTGTCAAGTTAAAGTAAGACGAATACCAATTTTGAATATTGCCCACCAACCTAGCAGAAATAATAATACTCATTGTTAATTTGGACAGGTTAATGGATGATCTTTCAGCGAGAATTGACAACATCTTGACTAGGCTTTGTTTCTTGAACTGCAGTATTTTACATGTATAGCAGCCGAGAACTTACAAATGAACTTGTTAGGTTTCCAATATTGGTTAAATTGATTAATAAGAAAGGGATTGGTCAATCATAGCGTACCTTAATTCAATCTACTGTACATTAATTTAATGACTATGGTAACCTCCTATTTCTCTATGATCTTCGTTAATTCACTTAAAACTCCACCAGCATTAAGATAATGCGGTTACCTTTTAGTTGATATTGCTTAATAACTCTTTCATTTATCAACCTAATAGTATCAATCAGGCTCTATCTATCCGAATATACTATTACATTTCTGCTGGTGATATGATCATTCCGTAAAGATCCTGTAGGAACATTAGATAACTGAAGGACACGACTATTTCTTACCTCTTGGTGTAATAGCTGCGGTCATTGGATGACACTGATGCTAAATAATACTGTGCTGGTACAGCTAAGACCAGTAGCATCATTTGTACTTCTGCTCTCATTTTCCTTCCAGACTATCCTAGCGTTAACCGATGCTTGGAAAAAGGGATAGCGAAGGAGTTTGGCATGCCAATGTCGATTACCTCGTAAAACTAGGTGAGACCAACTGCCGATACAGTAGCCAGTATCCTGTTTGATTCAGTGTAAACAATATACTCAATAGACTGGGTGTTTATAGTTAACAAAATGAACCGATGCACTGATTCATTGTTGATTGTTGAATTAATTCTGTACCTTTCTTGACGGTGCAAGATGTTTCCATATTCTGACCGTTGATCATTTTAATCGGCCTTATTCATATCAATATATCAAGAAAATTACTCTGTTTCGTAGACAGTAGGCTTCTCCTAGGTAATAGATCCTTACTCCACGTCTACAATGGTTCTGTCTGTCCGCTATACTGACATGAGGACTAATGGAGGGAGGAGACCCCCAGGGCGTTCTCTGGTTGCTATAGCAATAGTCAGCCCGTCTTCAAAATTGCAAGCAAGTTAATGTCAGAATAACGAGCTGAAGGGCTACAGAATAGTTTGCTAATTATTTTGGAGCACGTTTCGCCATCTTCGATGATATTAATCAACTCTACTTTCCACAACGACTGTTTTGATCTAGTTCTACTAGAGTTCTAGGCGTAACTTGGTACAGGAGTTTAAGCAAGATATGCTTTTAGATTTAATCTTTATTTATAATCAGATCAATCTGTGCAATAGATGTTCTTCATGATTCTTTTATTAACTTGCTCACCTTGGAATACGTATGCTGACAAGTAAAGTAATCAATGATGAAACTAGCGACTATCTATCTTGCTGTAGCAGGGCTTGTTATTGCATGTGCAAACGTAGATTCAATTTCCATTCGTCAGCTAAGTCTCTACGATACATGTTGCTAATATTCATTTACTAACTTGCTTACCTTGGCCTACGAATGCTGCCAAGTAAAAATACTATAATTAATAATAAAACTGTCGATAATCTTGCAACCGTAGCAAAGCTTAAACGTGAAAATGCAAGTCAGTTAACGTGAGCATTGCGATGGAACTAGATGTAGTCGTTCTTTAAGTCATAATAATTTTACCATTAATTTTTGCTGGTTAACGTAGGTCTTTCTACATCTTTCACACTAAACTTTCTTGAAGGTTAATTGTATTAACTATCAGCAACTGTTCTATATATACTGTATTGCTCACATGAAATACTGAAAAGAGCTCCAGTAGTATGCTGAAAAGGAAGCCAATTTGGGATGATATAAGCTATCAACAAGTGGCAATGCCAAAACAGGTGCATATATACAGTATACTAACACAATCCGGCGATTAGCACTCGTACAGTAGAAATACGATTCTAGCAACTGGTCGTCATACTTCGTAACAGCATACTGTGGTCGTTTACTAACAGTAACTACACGATCGGTGCAAATATTTTCCCAATTAGACATTATAACGGATATAATGAGCTATAGTCTGATTTCGAGTAAAATAATGCAATAAAAAGGTCAGTTAATGGTGTTATAAGATAATTCATTTTAGCAAAGATGATACTACCTATTACATGCTGACTAGAGTGCAACGCTAATTTCGACCTGCAAGAGATTTTGTTAAAGGTCAACTGTATACACCCTTCTTATCGATATACTAACTTACTCGTTCGTATGCAAATAAAATTACCAAGATCTGAAATACCAGCTGAGCTTCAATAAAAGTACTATGATTAGCGATAACGCTAAATAAAACATTGGAGTCGTTTCCTATTTTAGCGGCTCATGTTGGTTAATTTTATCATAAATTGTTCTATCTTTATTTATCTTTCGTCAGTGTTCTTTAATGTTATTAAACCATCGTTAGTCATATGCGATAATTATATATAATTATTGACTGCCTAGTATCCATTATAGCAAATTTGCTACTTGTATTCAGCTTATTATTAGTCACAATATTTACAGTAAATCATCATTAATCCAATATAGAAATGATTACAGTATTTTCGTAAGTATTATTCCTAACGCTCAAAGTATAATGAACTAAGCATATCCTAATATATGGCTTACAATTCTATTTATACCTCTAACCTTATTAGTAGCTCAACGACTTACTGCACATAGTCATCGGTACTCTAGCATACAGTATAGTCTATCCTTACAGTCTATAAATATGAGGTATTAAATATATCATAAGATAAATATAAAAAAGATACTACCGTAAATCATACTAAACATGGCTAATAGTCTACAATCACAATACTAATTACTTTACATAATGAATAAAGCAGATTATAATGTAATATGGATCTTGTACCCTACTCACTTTCAATAAGTATAGCGCCTATAACAGTTGAACTTGTTGTACTTGCAGTTAAAACATGCATGTTAGGATTTAAATTAGGCTCTAATAGTCTCATTGTAACATAAGAACTTAGCCAATATCTTTGCAATACTTCTGTTAGCAGTCTATACTAGAAATTCCATAAGTTAAAGTCAGAATGTATCGTTTCAATTGCGATTATCGCTTTAGTTTCTCTCTTCGAATGCGATTCGAATATCTCGATCAGGAGATGCTACCAATCTATACGTCACTCCGACTTCTTCTTCATTACGACAATTAATTCGAAATTCCGAAATTAACTACAAATAGTATAAATGAATAAACGAGTACTTACAACGATTATAATTTCACCAAGATCGTAATAAGACAAAAATATGAATACCCTTGCGATTAGTAACTCCATTTCTAATTCTGCTATACGTCTTCCAATGCACATCCTAGGCCCAAAACCAAAAGGAATAAAACTAAATGGATTACGTTGACGTTGCGATGATGGCGATGATCGAATCCATCGTTCGGGCTTAACCTTTATTGCTTCTTCAAAGATAGATTCATTTCTCGACAACAGAAACATCATAGTGGTAACTCTTGTCCATGACAAAGCTTATACGCCGTTATTAATATAAAATCATTTCTAACTGCAATGTTAAGAAATATCTAGTATGAATCGAAAAGAAATAGTAAACAATTAATTTTTACCTTAGCAGGAACATGATATCCGCTTAATACTACATCTTGCGATAGGATACGAGCTGTTGCAAGCAGCACAGGATATAATCTAATTTACAAATGTAGTAATTAATTAATTATATTATTAATCAATCAAGTCATGTTTACTCATGTCTTATTAAAATAGCTTCTATTACACTACCGTTGACTTTCTTTAATTACTCCTCTTAAGTAAGGCATTTTCTGAACGCTATGACTATCAGGAAATTGCCCATCTTTCAATACACTGCTAACTTCTTTATATAACTTTTCTTGAATATTAGGATTCTTGCCCAAAATATATAGTACCCACATTATCGTATTGGCAGACTGAAAATTGAAGTAGAATATTATAAAAATATTCTATGAGAGCGCAATCGTAATAGACTACAGAAAGCGAACTCGACTATAATTTTTTAGATAGAAATAATGTTCATTACTATAAGTAAAGTACCATAGTTTTTCTTTTATGATTCCACATTAAATTTAATAAGAAAATGATTTGATATAGAATTACATAGACTATGATACTTTATTTCTAGTAATTTACATTATTTCCATCTCAAAATACATTTCATTCTGGAAATAAAAACACTTAAACTATGTACTTGCAGTAAGGTAACTTACTTACCGTATCGACACCCCCTAACATCAATTCGATAATATTACCAGCGATTTCTTCATCATTTAATTCTCCACGTGATAATACATATGGTAAAAATTCCATATCTTCAGTCATTCGACTATTCTCGAGCTTACTTGATAGATCAAATCCTCTAGATAATAATCGATTACGTTCTTCATCGATTAATTGACCACCAATCTCAAATAATGTATCCCAGTAACCGCAATATTCTTTCCATTGCTTCGTCTTGATATACTTGTAATATGGTGGCATTAAAATAAGTTGACCAGTAACATTCATCATACTACAGACATTCTTATAGAATTTTTCGGCAATAGGAGTAGGAGGCTCATTAAATGCTCCAAGTAGTTTACTAAATAAAACGCTATTAATGGCTATCATTTCAATAAAAGAAATAGATTAGTATTGAATACTTCCAAGTGGAACATTTATAGTTTTCTCTGGTGTTATCTTTTGCGGATTTATATAATATATCATAATAATTGCAAGCTAATTGACTACTACATTAAACAAAGCCTTTTTAAATATAATTAATAGTTACTTAATAGATAGTAAGGTAAACTGAAATTCGACTACTACCACAAATTAAGTTGAGGAATATCTTACTTTCAAATGACCACTTGTATAATGAATCTTGCAGATTGCCTAATTCTCCGTTGAGATTATCTTCTATTTGTTTTCGTTTTATATACAATATTAGATTAGAGATAACCCGATTCATTCTTTCACTATAGGCGCTGACATCTTTCATTTTAAGTAGTTTCTTATCCATCACACTTCTCGATTTTCGCCATTCTTCGCCCTTACTTTAATTTATTTTAGAGTAAATAGAGTAATCTTAGTTTAGTAAAACTGGCAGATAAACTCTGTAATGGATTTATACTAATCAACAAAAATCATTGTCACCTTTTTTGGTCATTGCGATAGTCTATTGCATCTATAAATAGTTATTTAAGATTTCAAATCTTAGGCTATCGTATTTCATTCAATTTATGACAAGACACCTAGTATGGCATATTTTAAGCCTTCAGATTGACATTTTGTCATGTTTTCATATAATTTGTCAGTGCACTTTTCAAACGTGTTTTACACTGTAATATTATCCAAGTAGAACTCTAGATTACGCCAGAATAGCTTGAATACTATTAGTGATGTTTGTATTACTTTACTAATGTTTTTATCGGTTCATTGAATAGTCTACCTAGTAAAGTGTTAATCAATTTCAATTAAAGTACAGTTATTTATTATCTTGAAGATAGGCAAAGGCGTAATATAACGTATTCTTGAAGGAAGATTACATTAGAAAAATAAATATCGGTGGAAATTAACATTCATGTAGTAGATGCTTTCAACTTATTTCAATGAAAGGACAGTTCTAATAGCAACGCTCTCTATTACCCGATTAAGACGCCTTTGGATTTTTTTCGTTGTTCGCGGTAAACGACCCATGGCCATATTGGTCCTCTATCCGGGTACTTTCCTTCTGCCTTGAAAACGGTAGCGAAATCTTCCGGTGTTGATACAAATATCATATCAACATTAACAATCTTATCCCTAAAAATAGGACCGTATTTTTGACAATATTTGGTATGTAATAAATGAGGTCTTTTCTGATAGTAACCATTATTCTTGATAAAAGTTCATAAGCTTTCTATAATGGGATACAGTTTAGGTCCAGGCATTTGACTGAAAGGTTTAGCTTTAGCTATTTTCTCTTTTTCATGAGGCTTTACATTTGTAGCAGCAGTCGATTGTAAGACTAATCTGCCTGGTAGTCTATGTGCTCCAAAAGTATAACAAGTATTCCTTGGCAAATAGGATAGCATCATCATTGCCAAATCGTATTTATTCCCCAGTTGTTATCTAGTTTATTATCCAGTTTAGTCCAATAAGAACTGAAAATACAAATGAAATAAATGAAAAATAATATGGAATTTGATGATCTCTCGGATATAAGTAAAGCTGACACCTCTCATCTATAACTAATAGGAAAAGCAAGTAATATCTACAAAATAGTAATTAGCATGAAATTGCATTTAGTAATGCAAGATAATATCTATAGTCAGCCTATAACTTATAAGGTGAGTGCACAAAGTAATCAACTATTCATTCGTAAATGTAGTCCAAGTGATCTTCAAAATCAACAAATCGTCAATATATTGAATCATTTCGATTTTAAAATCAGTGGTTATAATTTTGATGAGGAAATAGGCGATATGAAAGATCGATAATGAGTGTGAATACTATGTATAAAGGCTTGATTATAATGTATAAAGGATACATTTCTAAGTTAGTTTGATTCTAGAAATAAAACTCACATACTTAGCAAAAGCAGAAACAGTAATTTTAAATAGAATTGGGATCAGTATAGTGCTATAGAATGTAATAGTGGCTAATGGATAACGTTAACAAATCGATTGCGATGATTTTATGGAAGAAATAAACAAATCTCAGCTAAAAATGTAAAACTAAACATAATCGCATACCTCTCTCCTGATGGTAAGTAGTTCAATCTTGTATAACGTATATATACAGGATAGCTAAGAAATAGATATTATTTATTTCATTTACTATAATGTCTAGTACACGATTACACTTATTCAATTGAGTTCTCTTGCTTGTCTTCTTACAATCTTCAAGTTTTACCGAAGTTTCAGTTTTGCATTCCCTCCCTTCTCCTGATTGAGCTAACTGATTTGAATATCCAAAGTTCAAGTAGATCTACGCTTATGTCTCAGATAGTGCAATATACCGTATTCAAGTCACTGAAAACTAACAGTAGATTAGAAATGATTTAGTATGAAAGTTAATGGTATCCAAATACTACCGTATTGTTTTATTTTGGAATAAATTATGCAGTAAATAGCCTATCAATCCTTCCAATCACAATCATTTTAATATTATACGCGTACAAGCATTGTAGTATAGCCATACTAAGTTATATCCTAATGAGCAATGCATGGGCGTAACGAAAGTCGATTTACTCAATCAATTATGCAATTTAATGAATCATTTTTGCCCTAAAAAATATTTCTTGGCACCTTTTTGTCTTGCCATATTCTGTTTTATTCAGTTTTGATTCTGATTTTGATACAAAATAAACTCTACATATATGCATATATACAATATATATTGTATATTTCTGTATAATAAATAGCTTGCAATATTACGATAGGTTCTAGTTTGAGCGTATTATCCTGTACTTACTAATTTATTAGACATTCGTACAACTTCGTATCAACATTAATGTGACCTAACGTCACTTCTCGACAATTTGATTCACAGTTGAGTAAATAAACCCCATCAGAAATATAATTTATACTCTTTGTAAATATACCTGTACATCATGCTACATATACTAGCGGTCTCTGATTGAATTATATGTAAATTTTTAATAATTAACTAGGGCTTTCGGCATAATTTTAGCTATATGGATGAGATTAGTTGTTAATAAAGAGGTAAAAAGAATTTTCTATTTCACTTTATTTCAACTGCCTCTGAGTCCGTTAATAATGATGTATCGAACTTTGCACCACCTACGTGTAGCGGCTGTATATAAGCCCGAGCAGAAAATATATCGCTCAGTTGATACTTCTCTAGTGTACGACAAGGTACTATATTTTCGTTGTATGAATAGAAGTAAAAACTCATAAAACTAATCTTACAACAAGCCGCTTATTATACTTGTGAGGAAATTGTTAGTCTTACTTACAGTATCTCTCCGTAGTTACTTGGAGTGACTAAGTAGCTAGTAAGTTAGTTGATCACTCACATTAGAAGAGAGTAGTCAATGGGATTACTCCTGTGAGTGACAGTAGTAAATCTAGTAAAACAGCTAATTTACTGACTATAGCATGAACGTAAGAAATTATTTAATCATACAAGTCTACATAATTCATTTCTACCTATATATTTGAACGATAAAAGAGAAGAAGAAAAGAAGTGATGTCAAATTACATAGTTAATAACAGATTCTAAATTGTGCACAATAGTGAGACAAGTAGATTGATTACAATCATGGCATAATCCAAGTATTTTTAATTACGATATTTAATTTTTGTTGCTATAATTTATTTCAGTTTGATCCTGCTTTTTGATAAGAAATAGTTTCTATATCATATCTACAAGATACAATATTGGATATATAAACCTCATCAGCATATTATTTATACTGTTTGCAGATATAACTACACAGCATACTAGATAAAGTAACTGCCTCTATTTGAATCACAAGTCATAGATTTATAGCTCAATGAGGAATTCCAGCATAATTTAATCAATATGGATGGGATTAGCTATTAATAACGAGGCAAAAGGATTTTCCGTTACTTTTACTATCTATGTGTCCGTTGATAATGATATATCAAAGGACGATATCTTTACAATATATAGTAAATCTAGTTAAATGGCTAATTCATAAACTATGACAAGAATGGAAGCAATTATTAAGTTATACAAGTTTAATTCATTTCTACCTATAAGTTTGAACAACAGAGGAAAGAAAAAGAAGTGATGTCGAATCGCATAGCACATTATGATAACTGTATTGTACACAACAGTGAGACAAGTAGATTTATTGCCTTCATGACATAACCCAAGCATGTTGAATTACGATAACAAATTATTATTGCTGTAATGTATTTCTGTCGCTTAAATCTATAAAGAGACTTTTATTCGCAAGCAAAATATTAAGACAAATTGCATACTGATAGTCTAGTATGCCATTAATTAAAGTTATCATAAACCTTGCACTAATGTATATTCCTGAATCAATTTCCGCTAGCAATAAATATTCGTAGATCGACAGGTTGCAGCTTTTTTTATTAAATCAAATTTCGCAATGTATTTATCGTAAAAGGGGACTAAAAAGTTTGAATAATTTGCAAGTTAGTCAATACGATCTTATTGCTATATTGTTATAGCAAGTGTTTTACGTACACTATGCGCTTATGTCGCACCATTCTAGTGTGTACATTATATTCTATCATATAAAATACGAAGAATCATAAGCTTCCTAAAGGAACGTAATTTTTACACTTAAAGTATTTGGTATTAAACTATTAGACTATTAGGAAATCACTGCCTCACTAAAGAGGGATAATTTATACTCCAATTAATTATTAAGATATATTGCAGGGTAAATTAACGATAAGTTAGGTATTGCTAGTTTATAGCAGTTTAGAGTTTAATTATTTAATACCATCCTAGACATCTTCCGTTTATAATGGGATGAGTCGAAATTAAGTGAATATAAAGATATCATTATCGCGTCTTTACTCGCAGTCACATTTTAATTTCTTTGTTGAAATGCGATACGAATATCCTGATCAGGAGATGCTACCAATCTAAACGTTACTCCGACTTCCTTTTCATTACGACAGTCAATACGAAATTCCGAAATCAACTAATTATTAAGACATAAATAGTATTAGATGTAAAATAATTTATTTTAATAATTACTAATATATATTATAATCAATTTTTAATTAGAGAAAAACATACTCTAGCAATTAGTATTTCCATTTCTAATTCAGCGATACGTCTTCCAATGCACATTCTAGGCCCAAAACCGAACGGGATAAAGCTAAATGGATTACGTTTACGTTGTGAGGACGATGATCGTATCCATCGTTCTGGCTTAATCTTTGTTGCTTCATCAAAAATCGATTCATCTCTTGCTGCAAGATGCATCATCATGTAAACTCTAGTCTGTTATTCAAAATATACAACAACAACGGATATATTTGAAATTAAAATTACAAAAAAGAAGTGTTAATATATATATATATATATACGCAAATATATGTAGATGTATGTACATTATACCGTCGTGATTTACAATTATACCTCGGCAGGGACATGATATCCACTTAGCACAACATCTTGAGCTAGAATACGCGATGTCGCAATCAATACAGGGTATAATCTAATAATCGATGACGTACAGCTAATTAGTCGGACAAATAATTTACAGCCAATTTCATCCCAAAATCATTTTAAACACCTTTCGCTTTCTTTTATGACTCCTTTCAAGTAAGGCATTTTCTGTACGCTTTGGCTATCAGGAAATTGTCCATTTTTAAGTACACTACTGACTTCTTGATATAACTTTTCTTGAATATCAGGATTTTTGCCTAATATATACAGCACCCACATAATCGTATTTGCAGACTGAAAGTAAATCAAAAATTACAACAATTGCTATAGCCAATTAATTTTATGGTGATAAAACGAAGAAGACTGAGGAAGATTCATTTGATTACAACTGATTACTTACGAATATTTCACGTAAGATTAAAGAAAGAAGAGATATAACGCTAAAAAATAGCTAAACTAGTTTATTCTCAGTATTTTACGGTATATCTTTTTAAAAATATCCCACTCTCGAGATAAAACATCTAAATAAAGCAATCATAGAAAGATAACTTACTGTATCAACACCTCCTCCCATCAGTTCAATGACATTGCCGGTGATTTCTTCATCACTTAATTCCCCACGGGATAAAACATAGGGCAAAAATTCCATATCTTCAGTCCGGTGATTACTCTCAAGCTTCTTCGAAAGATCAAGTCCGCTCGATAATAATCGATTGCGTTCTTCATCAATTAATTTACCACCGATCTCAAATAATGTATCCCAATAACTACAATATTCTTTCCATTGCTTGGTCTTGAAATATTTGTAAAATGGTGGCATTAGCACTAGGTTACCAGTAATATTCAACACGCTGCAGACACTTTTATAAAATTTTTCTGCTATAGGAGTTGGGGGATCATTGAATGCTCCAAGCCGTTTACTAAATAAGACACTATTAATTGCTAGAGTTTTAATAGAAATGATACGTCAGCTCTCTTACGAATAGTATTTAAGATTTGGCATTATTCCTTCTACTTTAGGTAATATATTGCAATAACATTTGAAAATCAATCGACAATAAACATCTTCAAATCTATGAAGTAGTTTGCCTTTTCATCAATACATTTTTAGAAGATTGTCGCTCTATCTAGGTCCAAATCTAAGTATGAAGTAAGAGATTTCTTACGTACTCTCAAATGACCATTTATATATTGCATTCTGCAGATTGCTTAATTCTCCATTCAGATTATCTTCAATTTGTTTTCGCTTTATATGAGATATTAGATCTGAGATGACTTCATTCATTCTTCCACTATAGGCACTAACGTCCTTCATTTTAAGAAGTTTTTTATCCATCACACTTCGTGATTTTCGCCATTCTTCGCCTTTACTATGAAGATATTCAAAAAATAGACAGCATGAGATTGATTTTGTCAATTTGGATGTTAAAGTTAAAGTATGCATTCTATTTTGATTAGTAATCCAATAGTCATCATGGCTGTATGTATATTATCGACAGTGTTATACGAGCTATTTAAGATAAGATGGACATAAGAATGTTTTATTAAATTAAATTATACTCCTAATTTCCATCATTTGAGGTGAAAGTAGACTACAACTTTTTCAATCTGTCATTTTCTATGCAATTAACAGGAGGTTGAAAAATCATCCAAGTAATAACCTAGGTTGCATGCAAACGACTTGAATTCAACTTTTGGATACTATCCATAGCAAATAAAGTTTATAGATGCACACATTTATTTCTATCCAATGTTTAATTGCTATTCATACCAAAGCATGCTTAAAAATCTTACAATATCCATTACCCGATTAAGACACCTTTAGCCTTTTTTCGTTGTTCACGATAAACAATCCACGGCATTGTTGGTCCTCTATCAGGATATTTTCCTTCTGCCTTGAAAACAGTTGCAAAGTCTTCTGGTGTAGTTACAAATAATAATTTCATATTAACAATCTTGTCCCTAAAGATGGGGCCATATTTTTGCCTGTAACTCGAATACAATAGATGGGGTCTTTTTTGATGGTAGCCATTATTTTTAATTAAGGTCAACAAGTTTCCAATGATGGGATAAAGTTTGGGACCAGGTATTTCACTGAAAGGCTTAGCATCGGCTATTTTCTCTTCTTCCTCAGGTATCGCAGTTGTTGTGGCAGTTTTTGATTGCATGATTAATCTACCAAACACTCTTTGTGCTCCAGGAAGATAAAGATTAATTCTTGGTAAACGTTGCAACATCTTGGACTACTGAATCGTGTTTATCCTCAATTTCAATCTAGTTTCGCAATCAGTCTGTTAAGAAAAGAACAGCAAATACAAATGCAAAAATTGTGAATTATTTTTTTCGTTCCATGAACTCACTGAATGTATTAAGCTAAGACAAGAACGGCAAATATAAATGCAGAAATTTTGAATTATTTTGATCATTTTTATGAGCTCATTGAATGTATTATATATTACTTTTAGCAATTCGGGTTTATACTACAACAAGTGCTATCTAGAGAAAATTGGTAATCTTGCACTCTTATCTAGTTTATACAGTACCGCATACTATTTCAATACGATAAAATACGACCTTGATCTTTTCTATCATTACTAATTATAACTAAAAGTGAAATAGGTCGTATCTAAAAGTATTAATAAGCTGGCACTTCTGTGTCATCTAAATCGTAGGATGTTTAAAGCTGTTACAATTCACGCAATCAGCATTATATCATAGAAATCATAGATTGCATCGATATGTGATCATGTAAAATCATTAAATCTACAAAAAGCAGATCAGAAATAGCTTAATTATAAAAATCAACTGCTAAGTTATGTTTTAGTGGATAGAATTGTATCAGCCTATTACAATACTGTGTTTACTTCTAAATGATAATAATAACAAGTAATATAAACGATATTAATGAAGTCTTGTTCGTATGCGGACTATCTTAAGAAGCAAATTGGCTAAACGAATTAAACTATTTATCTGGCAAAAGTAAAATTAATAATTTTGAACCGATCTGGGACTAATATAAAGTAATGCAGCCTTGGCTTATCAATAATATCAGCAAATCCAAAAAGAATCAAAATGATCATCATGACATGGAATATGATTTAAATCTGCTGCAATGGACACGTCCTAGTGAAATATGGAAACGATACATTGCCAATGGTTGTCACAGCTAGAGATCTCTCTAGCTAAAAAATCAACAAAAAGAAATAATATTTTTCGAAAACTCAAGCTCCTACCTTGCAAATTGTGTCTCTCTTGTACGTGGAATAATTTTAAAGCTTTTGTCCAACTCTTCCCCCTATTAGTCACTTGATTTTCTTTTTTTCCGTATCGAGGTGATTGGTAAGAAATCCAAGGTTAAAGTACCCTAATTCCAACTTTACCCTTAAACATTTAGTACTATACCTTAATTTGTCGAAAAAGTCAACACAAAAATCGATTGACTATATATAGTTTAGTATGTAGGATAACAGTTGATTTATTTTGTAGTATAAGCAGTATTTGTTTTCAACGTATCCTACAGTAAATAGGCGACAAATCCTTCAAATTGCAGTCTAGTAGTATGATGTAACACTTGCAGAAACACCATACTAAGTCATGCTCTACTAGGACGTGATTGAACATAATATAAATCGATCATGTACTAGCTACAATTCAGCCCAACTAATATTCATTTCTAAAGCCGTTAATAGCAGTCTTTTAATCTTAGCCTATCCTGTTATTATTCAAGTTTACTCTGCCGTTATCAAAAACTAATTTTCTACCAAAGGATATATAAAAATGCTATTAAAATATGAAAAATCTTGTCCGGATAGGTGATGTTCCTTTGTATACATCCATCCATACAGGTTGCTATATGAGAACGACAATCCTGTTTGAGTCACAAGGTTAAAATTCAATCTGTAACTAGGCCCGGTGATGTAATCTATTTTGGAAGGGTTAGCAATTGGTACATGAATCAAAAGTAATTTTTCTTATTACCTTTACAGTATGCGTCTATCTGATGAAGCATTAATTTGCGGAAAAGATATGAATAATAGCAATCGAGAAAATGTTCATACGAATGATTTCATATTATTAATTAGGATCCATGATATGTAGAATCCATACTTGGAGGTTTAGCTATTGATAGAGATGAATAGAAAATGGTTTCCTATTACCTTACTATCTATATAATTGTCGATGGCCGTAAAGCGTAGAACCGTATGATATCTTTACAATATAAACTTAGTAATAGTCTAATTTAAAGGAACAGATATTAATATATCAATTGATAAAGTACTTTAAGATAAAGTTAAGATAAATAAGAGAAAGGTAAGATAAAATAAATTGATAAAGTATTTAAGTACTTGAAGATAATTTAATATTCATTTATACTCGTAAGCTCACTTAAATGCTATAATAAAAATTTTGAATCAATACTCACATGTATGTAGACACTTTCAGTGATAATAAATTTTTCGTACAGATTATATACAGATGTTTAGCTATTTCCTACATTCCATTGGGATGTACTAACGGACTGTCTATAGAGTAAAAATCGGTCTTTGGTAATATAATTGAATAATGTACCACATGCGTATATTACACTAAATAACATACGTGCATACGCTCAGATACCTATTAAAATGTTTTAAATAGTTATTTATTAAAGTACCTAGCTGTTACTAAGCTCTGTTCCTCGTTCTAGTTTAGAATTAAGTTACAGTCAGAGTTGTATGATCAAACATATTGATCATTAATGATTGTTATGTGTCTGACTTTTGGCAGACAATAACCTTAAACGTTAGATGGTTATTATTAGTTACATCTTGAGTGATGTTAAATCTTCATATTAGGTTCGTAAATGCCTATCTCAAAATCTGAGTTATTAAAATTGAGTAAATCTCTAACGTGACACAAGATTAGGTACACCTTGTTTAACCTTAAATGTATCGTTTATTAATGCTATAGATAGCTTGACAAGAGAAGAATCCACTTTTCTACACTCATAATGACAGCAGAAAGTGGCTAAGATAAACCGGATAATTGGCTTAATCTCCTCGATAACAATTCAATATTATCTAACAGTTAGATTAAGACATTACACAAAAATATCACCTTATATAGCTGTCTCTTATGACCTTATGCATGCATAGTACCAATAGTATAACTCCACTATTTCATCATGAGCAATAATGAAATTACATTATAAGCATAGTCGACTATTCTACTTCTTAATGCCAGCGTACTTCCATTACTACTGTAATTAGCCGAAACTGCTACACATTCTCGTATAGATTCGTAATAAAAACGCTATAAACTATATTATCAACGCTGTACTGCTAACGGAGCTATTCGTTTACCTCTAAATATGAAGAGATGAACCCTCTACTTAAGCCGCAACATACTCCTCTAAGAGCAAACGCGCATAGACGTATGTTAACCTGATAAATTTTCATAAATTTAAAAGTAAAAACATAGTTTAGCTTTTAATCGTCACCTTAAGCCCTCTGTTGAAATATCATTCAAATTCTTGACCAGGCGACGCTAAAAAATTATGTCATTAATGATTATGTTATCTATGTCAACATCTATATCTTACATAATCAATGCGAGGATCTTATAGTAATTATATTTGCAAGAAAGAATAAAATGTGCAGCATCTAATATATGCTGAAGGGCAAAATCTTGAAATAAAGCCTTTTCGAAGGCTATAAAGGGAAGTGATTGCCAAAGTTTCTCGCGTTATGTTAATCCATTAGTAGCATTAGATTCAAAAATAATAAAACTTTCTATATTAAATTAAACTACCAACAACTGAAGTCCTAACAAAACAAATTAGGGGAAGAACACCACTTAATTATAGCTTTAACAACAATCTTAGCAAAACTTCTATGGATAACAAAATGGGGCAGAGCTACTGCCCCAACCAACCAACCAAACTATCAATTAGTGAGGTAACTCACGATCATCCTGCACTTTTCTCGTCTTCTCTAACTTCAATTACTCTCAATTACCGAACTACGCCACCTTTTATATGCTACGTAGAGCAATTGGTGGTGTTAGACTATCCAACTATCATTCCTAAGCACTCCAAATTAAACTAGCAATCAAACATACATGATAAGATAAATTATACCCTAGATTCCCGAAAACTACTGAATTAATACTAAGTATAGTTTAGCTTGAAACTATACATTTCTACAGTATACACTAAGACAAAATAACAATTCCAGATCAAATGTTTTGGGTTCATACTGTATGAAATTACAAAGTAACATTAACTTCTACTGTAATTAATGATCAAAATTAACACACATATATTCTATTAACTAAATGCATCGCTTAAATTACAAAATTATATTATCTGATTGTTAACAAAAATTATGCTACGGATTATCTTAACTTCTAGTCCGAATAAAGCAGTCGGGTTTACAATATACTAAGATACTAAGTAAAATCTACCTTTGCAATCAACCGAATAAATTATACTTTTTTTAAAGCTAGAATACTTATCATGATACAAAAACTAAGCTAAAATAATTATAATACAAGAACTTGAAGGAATATTCTAAAAATTAACCTTCATTGCACATTCTTAGAGCTTGAAATAATTTAAAATAGTAAAGAAATATTTTTACGACGGTTGAACCGGAGAGTAGCATTTAAAAAAACGTTATTTCTGTCGTTTTTTGCTTCGGGGAAAATCTTAAGGAATTCTTTCTAAATGTCGCGTTTTACAACCTTTCCAGGGCGATCAAGCTGTTGAATCTGAAATTCAAACTCTGTCTTTTTAAAGCTATGAAAAAGTTCAATGATTTCCAGTTTTCCAATCAGAGATTTATAAAGGGAACAGTTTCGCATTAATATTTTATACAGCCCTGGGACATTTATTGTACCTTTAAAGTCTTCTTCCTTTTCCCTGAGAAATTTATCTGTCAGCTTAGACGTTTCATCAAGGTAGCCCTTTACTTGAAGATCTTGAAGAACCTGTTGAGGTTTATCTATATCTGCTTTTTGTAGCACTTCCTCTGTGACCTCTTGGATAAGTTCCAAATCGCTTTCCATACGACGATCGGCATCGTTAGTATCAAGAAAAGCATACACAAAAACTATCTTCCGTTCGATAAAAAGATTGACAAAATCTTCAGCTGTCATTTCTTCAAGACGCTCTTTTGCTCGGACACGAAAGTCACTTTTTGGTTCAGTATTCACAACTTTGTTATAAAGATTATGCAAGAGTTGATGCCCGGAATTCTGGATAGCTGAAGTTAAAGCTTTCATAGCGACACGAATTTGATTACAGGCAATTCCAGTGCTATTACCAAACTCTTCTTTAACTGCGTACGGAAGTTCTTCATCATCTCCTTTGTACAGGAGATCAAAAAGCTCTATTTGTTCTCGTCCTCCCGGGAAAATTTGATCGAAGACTAAATAATCTGGATGATTAAGGTAACAGCGGTTATATTGCTCTTCATCCATCACTTGGCTATATTTTTGGTGACAGTCTTCTAAAAAGGCTCTTAAAGCCTTCTCATTATCTTTCGTTAATAGCTCTTCAGGAACAGGCCCTCGCATGAGGTATCGGTAACGGCTAGGGGCATTTTTGGACAATTCATGCTTTCTTTGGAGCCACTTGTAGGCAACATTTCGATATCTTATATTTGGAATTACCTTTTCAAGGTCATCCTTTGTGACTTTTTCATTTTCTGAAAGAAATTTTGAAAGATCTTCAATATTTTTCTTTATAGTTTCCGGTGCTGCCGTTGAAAAAGCCAGTTTTGATAATTCGGAATATTGAACTATTCCATCATTTGTAATTGGAGCGATTCTTTCCTCTTTTTCAGATTCATTACGATCGAGTATATGGAAAGGTTTTTGAAGTAATTTAAAAAATTTATCAGTGTCATCTTCAAATACTGTTTCTAAGGTAGAGACTTCGACATTTTGATCAAGGTATTCGTTTAACCATGCACGTAGCTCTTCCCATCGTTTCTTTAATTTTTTACAAGTAGATTGTGTTTGATTGTCGAGTAAAGCTCGGACAGGATAGGCCATCCGAACTACTTTTTTGTCGTCAATGATTGCTGTTTCTATATTTGTCAGATCAATAATAGCATATTCAAAGTCCTTTCGTGAAATTCCTTCAGGGACGTCAAGAAAAGAAAAAGAAACCCATTTTTCTTTTGAAATCCAAGGGTAAGGTAGGAGATGCCCCTTCTTATTGTTTTCGGTCGCCAAACAATTATCTAAAATTTTAAGAAAACTTCTTTCAGTTGCCGCTAAATGTTGATTGGAAGCTTCTAGCCAGGACCCTTCCATACGATAGTATATATTTCCCTGAAAAGGGGCTTGTCCTTGAATATACTGAAGAAGAGGGCATTTACGTCGTATAGTATCAGTGCTGACGGAAACAGAACAGATAGCAATTTCAAAATCTTTTACGGAAATTTTATCCAGGTTCCAATGTCGAAGCTGTTTGATGAGTTCTTCTAAAGTGGGGCGATATTCCCAATAACACTTGAACATTCGCTTACAAATCTGATTGCTAATATTATCAGGGGGTTTAAATTGAAGTTTTAAACGTGTAGATGCATAATACTGATGGTAAAGCCGATGGGATAGATATAAGAAGGGAATGGAAGAAACGGAATCCGATTTAACAGCTTCCCAGATCATTCCAATGAGGTGGCGGTCTAATTCTTGCTTCTCAGACGCATTTATTCGACGAATATTAGAAAAGACCTCAAAAGCCGAATCGTTTGTTTCACAGGTTCCGTCAAGTTTTTCGGTACTCCCACCCTGACTGATTTGGAATAAAAGCGGAAGAACATTTTCTAGGTATTGTGCAAGTGTAAGCTCCCTTCCAATACGGACCATTCCCACACCAACATGAAGATGAATCTTTTCATTTTCAGGAAGGTCTAAGACACGATGAAGGGAACTTCCTCGCTTAACAGTCCCATCAAAATTCTTATACAAAATCCACAAACTAAAGTAACTATTGAGCCGTAAGTTAAAGGGCTTTCTATACATACTAATATCACCTTCTTTAGCTCCAATTAATCGTTTGGATTCTACTTTATAAAATTTGGGATCAACCAATCTATAAGCAATCTTGGTACGAAAATAGTAATCGCAATAAGGACGAACGAGATGAAACGCATATCGGGTGGTCAAAGCAAAAATATTCCATCTCGTTTCTGAATTATTTTCGTTTGACCCTTTAGTCTCGAAATAGAGAAAATAAGCAAACTGGACCCGGCGTTCCTGAAACTCTTCAGTATAATCTTTATTAGAAAGCTTTTTAACAAGAGCGATAGAATTTGATTTATCCAAACTAGTCTTACAATAGTAAATTTCCATATGAATTTCGTCATGCCACTTAGTCTTCCAACGAGATGTGTGTAAACTTACCCGTTTGTATATATTTTTCTTGTCTTCATTATACTTTTGAATAAGATTACTGATAAATTTTTCAGCATTTTCGTCCGCACGAACGTTATCGATTTTTGCTGATTTAAAAATTAAATGAATTGCAGGCTTTTCAAGGTGGTTTTCGAGAGGATTTTCGGTAGCCATACTGGTGCTTGATGTTGTGTGTGTTGTATAGTGGTGAAATCAGAAGGAAGTTGAGCGAATAACCCGGAAAAAAACCAATCTCAGTATCCCTAGAATAACTGTATAGAACTTGTACTAAAGGATAGCCTTAGATTTTAAACCTATCAAGGTAAGAGAAAATCTCTTATGTGCTAATACACGCCATCTATACGTTATGGGGTATTATCCATTCCAGAGTTCCTTCATAAGTAATCAAGTACCCGTTCAAATGAGTGGGAACGTATACTACATTAAACACTGTTGATGTAAAAGTAAAGAAGGTTTTTTGTTACACAATTATCAATGAATACAATTGAACACTTTGTAATTAGGTGATCTATTGCACTGTAAACTTACATGATTTATTGCTACTATTGGATAGAGGAATCACAAAAGAGACGACTAAATTAAATTGTACTAATCTATTCTCATTATCTACCCAGATTCTAATCGGCATCTACTGTACTTTGGGTATAGACTGATTAGTTATTTATTGATAAATGTGTATTTCAAAAACTACCAGATACAAAATCTATAGGTAGATTAATTATTAAATCGCTATTAGAAAAGCCTTTGGAAATCCTAGGAATTAGGAATCAGCTCCTTTTAATTATATTAGTACCAGCAAACCCGCACAAATTACCAGCAATCAGTTTTCATAAAAACTGGATAAGCATATCACATTTAGGAAAGATTGAATATCATATGCGGCATAAATTCTTTGATCTTGCAATACGTGTATACTGGTTCGTTAACTGTGTAAGCAGCAGGAAGTGAAATGAATATTAATAAATGCTTAGTAATCATATCGTATAATAACAGGATAGTAAATTAAACAAAATATACGTCATATAAAGGAATTGGCATAATAAGTGCAAAGTAAATATGATATTATTGCAATTTTATTGAAGCAAATATGCAATATATTATTGCACATTCCTTTGGGTTATTTGTAATATTATAATGTACATAAAGAAATCTAATATACTGTACTAGTCGAAAAATTAAGTGAGTGCATCTGTGCAAGTTTTTACGTCGAAGTGCAAATATTTTCTTAATTAGTCTGAATTCTTAATTCAGTCGTCGATAATGCCTCATTCTTCCGTTTATTTTGCAGCGTGGCATACGTACAATCGCATAAATACGGTATGATATCATGGTAGGAAGTATAAAAATGTTGGAAACGGCTACGATAAATGATATAATCGACATTATATAGTAAAGGGGAGTATTTGCGGGAGCCCAATCAATGCTAAATCAATGCTACATCAGTGCTAGTAGGATCCTACCTGTGTATTGTGTCTTTTGCTTGTGAATGGAATGATCTCAAAGCTTTTACCTAACTATACCCTTATTATATCACTGTTTTATTCCTTCTTGTCCTAATCAAGGTATTGTACTTGGTAGAACTATTCAAAGTTATAGTGGCTTTAATATTTTTTAGGTCCTTTTTCACAAAGTAACAGTAAACGAATGATCAATCAGATTCGCATAGTTTATTATGTAGGATAGTGGCTAATCTATTTTGTAGTATAATTAGTGTTTCTTTTTGAATGTACTGGAAAGTAGATGACCTATGAATCTTTCAGACTGCAGTCCTTGGTATCATATAAGAATTATAGAAGGGTATACTGTACTAAGTTATGCACATTAGGCCGTAAATGAACATGAAGTCGATGGTACCATGCCAGCAGATAGAACTTAATGTCCACTTTGACTTATTTCCAAGTCTTTGGTAACGATCTTTCTGTCTTATAGTATCCTACTACTATCTAGCTTAACCCTACTGTAAATAGTTATGGTGTGTGTTACCGTGTGTTACGTATATACAACAAACTTCTTATGAAGACTTTTGTTAACAACTAATATTTCAACACAGAAAATTTATGCTTCGATATCATTCTGATATGTTATCGTATAGATTGCACCGCTTATAAATAATACACTGTTACTTTATCTACATTCCAAGTGAGAATAAAGTTCAGAGCTCACTGTAAGGCTGTTTCGGTCTTTTATAGTAGGATTGAATAGTATTACCAAATTCTCAACTTTTAAATGGGACAATATTGCAAAATTCTTTGATGGATCGACTATACCATTTAATTATTATTGAACTCAATTGCATCATGCATTTAGTGTAATAGAACTAATATATCAACGCAACATATCATGCAGTCGATACTAATTTTTCATAAGTAAAGTATCCAGAATTAGACTACAAAGTGAATAATATAAAATTACTCCAATACCACAGCATATACACATATATCCCATGTTAACAGCATCTATAGTATATTAAGATGATATAAAATATTTTTGTTGCTTTCTAGATCTACTTAACAATCAACTTTTTCACATTATAGTCATACTATGCTTCTATTTCCTACTACAAATCTGTGAAATTTAAGTAAATTAGCCTCAAATTTTTTTATTAATACTTAAGAGACTCATCCGTGAATTTCATTTCCGATACAAATTGTTAAGTCTGTTTCCAATAAATAACTTAGCAATTTTTAGCAGAAGCTTCGCTTCGCCTTGCTCTCAATCATCAATTTTAAACTCTTTGTTGAAACGCAATTCGAATATCTTGATCAGGCGATACGACAAATCTAAATGTCATTCCAACATCTGTTTCATTGCGACAGTCAATTCGAAATTGCAAAATCAACTAATATTCAAACAGAAATAATAAACATCAGATACAATATCTTCAATTCCTACACTAATTATTAATTAGCTATCATCAATTTAATTAAAAAAGAAATCTTACTCTGGCAATTAATAATTCCATTTCTAATTCTGCTATGCGTCTTCCAATACACATTCTTGGTCCAAAACCAAATGGGATAAAACTAAATGGATTACGCTGATGCTGTGATGATGGCGATGATCGTATCCATCGTTCAGGTATGATCTTTGTTGGTTCATCAAAAATTGATTCATCCATTGCCATCAGATACATCACTGCTGATATTCTAGTCTGTAAAGGAAATTTATGTGTTCATGTTAGTATAAAGTAATAGTATAAAGTAATTCCAAATTCATATTTTAACAAAATATGAGACTTTAACGAAATGATATAGTTAGAATATAGTCGATGCATATCACTATATAATTTGCCTTAAATTATACCTTAGCAGGAACATGATATCCACTTAGCACAATATCTTTGTCCAGAATACGCGCCGTTGCCACTAATACTGGATATAGTCTATTGACCACAAGATATAACACTTATTAATTAATCATACATAAGCTTCTAGTCTAAAATATCCTCCAATACCTTTGACTTTCTTTAATGACTCCTCGCAGGTAAGGCATTTTCTGTACGGTTTGGCTATCAGGAAATTGTCCGTCTTTTAATATACCACTGACTTCCTGGTATAACTTTTCTTGAATATCAGGATTCTTTCCCAAGATATATAACGTCCATAATATCGTATTGGCCGACTGAAAATGAAAACTCGTATAACTTAACAGCAATTCATAAAGTACAGTAGTCGAATTATAAACTGATTGAAATAATTGTGAACAATATAATCCAATTTTATTATTCTATATGAATATTCTCTTTAGACCGAGAAACGACATGCATTGCAATGTAATCTATTTCGAATTCACTCTTCTATTTATACATCGTAAGTTCTACTTAGCAGATAACCCATTGCAAAGCAGAAACTAAAACCTATGGCAACTTACTGTATCAACACCTGCCATCATCAACTCTATAATATTGCCAGCGATCTCTTCATCATTTAATTCCCCACGCGATAAAACATAGGGTAAAAACTCCATTTCTTCAGTTCGACGACCAGTTTCTGACATTTGGGAAAGATCCAATCCATTTGATAGTAATCGATTGCGCTCTTCTTGAATTAATTTACCACCAATCTCAAATAATGTATCCCAGTAACTACAGTATTTTTTCCATCGCTTAGTCTTAATATACTTATAATATGGTGGTAAAAACACAAGCTGACCAGTTGCATCCATCATGTCACAAACATTGTTATAAAATTGTTCAGCAATTGGAGTAGGCGGATCATTAAATGATCCAAGTCGTTTACTAAATAAAACACTGTTGATGGCTAGTATTAAAATAAAATAATATTTTAGTGATTATAATTTTCATTGGACGACATATTTGCTAAGGAGAGGATACATTATATTCATGCTTATAGATTGATTATCTATAAATATTCTCAATCATGCATGTATAGCATTGAGCACAAACGACAACAAGCTCTATCTTTATAGTTAGCACATTAAAAATTTTATAAGATCGTAGCTAAAATTGAAAATTGGGAAATGAATTATGGGATTCAGTCCTGCATAATTTTAATAGTGATCAATACTTCCACTATTGATAAGGTACCAGGATTAGTCCTATTAAGTCCTTGGGAATGTGGAATGAATACTATAAATAATATTGAATCTGTCTATCGGTTCAGTTTGAAGCTCAGTTTCTACCGTCTGCGGAAAGCTATATTCATTACGGTAGTCTACCACGATCATATATTTGCTAACTATAAATTATTCTTACTTTCAAAGGACCATTTGTATAATGCATCCTGTAGATTGCCTAATTCTCCGTTTAGATTATCCGTTATTTGTTTTTGCTTTATGAACGAAATTAGATCGGAAATGACTTGATTCATTCTTTCGCAATATTCACCAACATCCTTCATTTTTAGCAGTTTCTTATCCATGACACTTCTTGACTTTCGCCATTCTTCTCCTTCGCTGTATAGATATAAAAAAAAGAAAATAAAGTGATTGTAGTTAAGTAAATGCAGTAATAAAAGGGATTATCAGTAAATAATCTAGATTCTACCATGACTGTATCACTGCTTAAGTAGTAATGATTTAAAATTTCTTATGCTGTAATGGCGTCATTTCACGAGATTAAAGATGGACTATATTCGATTTACATCTAATGTAGACTAGGAAATGTAAAGTCACTTCTTAGTATTGCTTTTAACTAACACATTTGGCATCGTTGTATGGATCTGTAATCACACTCTGCTAACTCCCAAATGTAGGAAAACAATTCGAAAACGATATATACAGGTAGTTAGCTTTGCTAAACTTTTCTAGATATTTCTATTCATTTAATCATGTAATTAATTCGTTGATTTTAACCATCATCGAATTATTTGGTGCATATCGAGCTAACATCATTGTAAAATGTTGATGTTGAAACAAGAATAAATAGGCAAAAGTAAAGAAATAAAGACTCCTAGGAAAATTGATATCTAGCCCGTAGGTAAATAGATATCAAACTATCAGTATCAATGTTAAGTCTTAGTATCTTAGAAGATAGATTACCCGATTAAGACACCTTTAGATTTTTTTCGTTGTTCACGATAAGTGATCCATGGCATGTTTGGTCCTCTATCTGGATATTTTCCTTCTGCTTTAAAAACAGCAGCAACATCTGCTGGTGTTGATATAAATATTAGTTCTTGATTGGCGAATTTGTCTTTATAAATGGGTCCATATTTTTTCTTATACTCATGAAATAATAAATGGGGTCGTTTTCGATAGTAGCCATTATTTTTTAAGAAAGTCAATAGAGTGCCAATGATAGGATAACCTTTAGGTCCAGGTACTTGACTGTACGGTTTAGCATTCGCTATTTTCTCTTTATCATCGTGCATTTCAGTTGTAGCAGCACTTGTGGATTGCAATGCTATCCTACCTCGTAAGCGATTTGCTCCAATAGAATAAATTGTATTTTTGGGCAGGCGAGACAACATTTTGATTTACTGAATCGTATTGATCGTTAATTGTAAGTGATTTGACAGTCAATGTACTAGGATTGTTAGCTGTAAATGGTAATAAGAGAAATATTATTACGTCGATCATTCGATAATCTAGTTGTTTGACAGTTATCCATAGCTTATTTCAAAATAATCGAATTCAAGATAGCAGTAGCAATCTTAAATGCGTTCTACTTCATTTATTTCCTACGGTGCCCAAAGCTAGTCGTGTCTTTTACCGCATACAATAAGAGTGAAATATGTTCATTTTTGTCATGATATTGAAATCGAAGCGATTTAAAATGAAATTTATTTGCAAACGTTAGATTGGCTAAATAAAACTGAACGCCAAAATAGATAAATGTAATTTAAAATAGGATCACAAACGTGTTACTGGACAGGACCAATAGACTATTAACTATCGTAAACAACGTACACTATCTGTATTCTAAATTAACTATTCGAATGATTTAAGAAGCGCGATAAAACAGCATTTCCAAAAGGAAAGAAAATGAAAAAATTGGAAGAAACGCTTTCCCAGGTCAATAGCTTATTTTTTATATACTTACGATTATGATAACTTATAGACAATATTATTTCCTAATTCTCAAAAGTGCAATCTAAGGTAGAAACTATCTTTCTCACGAAAAGAAAAGCATCAGAGCCTCGCTCGAATCTTGACTACCTTATATTCTGCTTCTTGATTGTCCTAATTGATATTACCATCAGAAGAAGAGCGGATTTCCTGTAGGGGTCAGGGTAAATTTATTTTGATCGGAAAAGTAAACAATAATCGTGCAAGGATAGTCTATAAATTCAGTCGGAATATTATTGTTTTTTCCTAATGTATTATACAGCAAGGTGTGGCTGAGTGTTTAAAATCTATAGAACTGCTACTTTATGGAAATATAATGAAATAACGGTACTAAGTTATACCGGTAGTTTGCCATGCCATGATTGAGTATGCAACTGGTCCCATCCATTTTCAACCTGAAGTAAGGGCATGTCCAAGTGGTCATAGTAAACTCTACTCAATAAGGTCATGACAGAGAACAGAATTGGTGTTGCCTGCAGTGTATAGTATTATAGTAAATGAATATTTATATATCCAAATAGAAGTCTTTGATTATATAATCAATACCTTCCCATCTTACTATATATTATAAAGTACTCAACAGTTTCATTAGAGATTGCTCAAGAAGAAATTTTGACATTCTACCCGGTAAGGTCAATTTTTCCTTGAATATTCTCTTTTTATATTCTGCAAGTGTCGTAAATATTATAATTTCTAAAATAGCACATAAGCATAAAATGCTGTTAAATAGAATTAAGCTATTGGATTCAATAAATACTATTCGCAATGCTTTATCTGTATTGCTGTGCAAAATAGGTATAGTAGGTAACATATTTTAGTCACAGAGTTAGAATTAAATAGAGTAAGTACGATAAATAGCGCTCTAGTACAGCAGAATTGAAATCTGATCAATCGATCTAAAATCATAAATAGGCATAAATTGCGAGCTAAAATAACATAATCTTGATACGAAGAATATATTGGAGACGTATTTTATTCGCTAGAGTTTTTACTTACTGGACAGCACATTTTATTCCAATTTTTTATGACTAATATAAAATGCGTAGAAGTGATTACGGTTTCGAATGAGAATTTCGCATTTAGAATGTTTAGAATTAGTATCACATCGTTTTATAGGACTAGCTGATTCATATATGTTATATCACATAGAAGAATATGAATTACGTTTACGGCATGAATAAAATGTTAATGTTCATCTATCAAAGGCTATGTATTATTTTCTATTGTTTCCTTCCAGCTTAGTTATTTAGTATATTTTGTATCTATGCTCCAACTATCTGTGATGTTCTATTAGCATCAGTCCAATCTTTGACAGGCCTTTTAACCTATACTTCTATTGCATTTTAATCTAATTGAACCCGATAGTCAGTAGTACCTCAATACTTACAATATATCCTATCAATATTATTAATGTAACTACAACTAGTAAAGTACCCTGTTCAAATGAACGGGGTAATTATACACAAAGCAATAAATAAAGAGGAAATTTACTGCTACGTTCTATTTATTCTTATCAACACAAAGGTATATTTCTAGTAAATAGCTGGTAATGTTTTATGTCTATCGTCTAGTCTACAAATTTCATAAGCTATCTATAGAATTCTAATACCAAGCTTAGTTAGCATCCATCACTTTAATTTCGCTTCTGAAACGCTATTCGAATATCCTGATCGGGAGATGTTACTATTCTAAAAGTTACTCCGACTTCTTTATCGTTGCGACAGTCAATTTGAAATTCCGAAACCAACTAATATGTACATGTCAATAATAATATCAGATGTAAAATAGATTAAGAAATAACAATAATTACCTTAACTTAACTAATTAGGAATGAAAGATCAACCTACTCTAGTAATTAATAATTCCATTTCTAATTCTGCTATGCGTCTTCCAATGCACATTCTTGGTCCAAAGCCAAATGGAACAAAGCTAAATGGACTATGTTGACGTTGGGATGATGACGATGTCCGGATCCATCGTTCTGGTTTAATCTTTGTTGCTTCATCAAAGACAGATTCATCTCTTGACAAGAGATACATCAATGCTAAAACATTTTTCTATAACACAATGCATGCAAGAATTGAAATAGATATTAATTTCAAGTCTATATTTAAGAAACCAAGTTCTAGTGAAATTTTAATAATACAAATTTACTATTATACCTTAGCAGGAACATGATATCCACTTAATACAACATCTTGCTCTAGAGTACGAGATGTTGCAATCAATACAGGGTGTAATCTAACGAGCCATATTGAATAATAGTTATTCATTAATCAAACGATATAAATTTACAGATTCATACGATACCTTTGGCTTTCTTTAATAACTCCTCTTAAGTAAGGCATTTTCTGTATGGCTTGGCTATCGGGTAATTCTCCATCTTTCAGTACGCTACTGACTTCTCGATATAACTTATCTTGAATATCAGGATTCTTACCCAAGATATACAGTGTCCACAACATCGTGTTAGCTGACTAAAACGAAAGACATAATTTCCAATAATTCTTGTTAATAATATGAAATAAGCCTAATTAAAGCCATCAGTACTAGCATTAAACATAAAATATAGTCGATGCAGATTAATAAAACAAATGCTTAAAGTAACATTCACCGGCTACAAGTTGGAAATGAAAATATAGACTTGCAACGGTATATAAACAACTGTACAACCAGTTTTGCTAGTATACTTTGCAGCATAAGACTTACTACTCGTATAAATAGAGTAGTCAATGTTAGCAAAATCTTGCAGATTGAACTTATGTCTTCATTTTTTCATACATGTTACTATTTCATCTTATCTATTAAAAATTTTATTTTCTAGATAAAAATTAAGAATAGAAATTGGAGATTACTTACTGTATCCACACCTCCAGTCATCAATTCAATAATATTACCCGCAATTTCTTCGTCACTTAATTCTCCTCGGGATAAAACATAAGGTAAAAATTCGATGCCATCTGTACGCCGGTTGTCTTCAGACTTATTGGAAAGATCCATACCAGTAGATAATAATCGTCTACGTTCTTCATCAATTAGTTTACCACCAATGTCAAATAATGTATCCCAGTAGCCACAGTATTGGTTCCATTTCTTGGTCTTTATATATTTATAATAAGGCGGTACTAGCAGCAAATGACCAGTAGTCTCTAGCATGTCACAGACGTTCCTATAAAATTCTTCTGCTATTGGTGTAGGAGGATCATTGAATGCCCCCAGTCGTTTACTAAATAAAACGCTATTAATGGCTAGGGGTAGAATAAAAATAATAAATCAGTCCTTTTAAAAAAGTACTTATGGCAGTGATTAGCCTTAAGTGATATTTTAGCTACTTTGGATGATGTACCGCATTAATGATAACTATAAATCAATTGATTATGGATTCTGTCGAATCAATATAGAAATAACGACTTAAAGTTAAGGCAGGATTCATCTGAATAGAATAATTATTTCTTATAATACAGTAGCAGCCAACGACAGAGGCCTAATACGCGTACACTAATTGTAGCTGTTCTGTTCTATGCAGTTATAATTGCTTTGGATATTTTTGTCAGTTTAATGAAAGTACTGAAAGAATTAGAACTAACGTGACAAGATTTTCGTCCATATTATAGAGTTATTTGCTAGATACTCACTCTTTCATGACAGTAGATAATAGCTTTGAATGCTTCTGCAGTAAGTTATAATTACTAGCTTGCTAAGCTATACACTGGTTAACTGTTTAGTTTTCTTACTTTCAAAGGACCACTTGTATAATGCGTCCCGGAGATTGCCTAATTCTCCATCCAAATTATCTACTGTCTGCTTCCGCTTTATGTATGTTATTAAATCGGAGATAACTAGATTCATCCTTTCACTATATTCGCTAACATCTTTCATTTTAAGCAGTTTCTTATCTATGACACTTCTTGATTTCCGCCATTCTTCCCCTTCTCTGTTAGGTTTTAAATTTAAGAATAAAAAATATCAGATTGGTTTATTTAATATGGCCATGAACTAGCCAATGGTACCGGTCTGTATTTATACAGGAAATTTTACAATCACTATATAATGTTCCAAGATTCGGTAATCTATTAGTTTTTTACTAATATTTAAATTTTAGTTAACGTTAAACTATGTAAAAGCAATTTAATAGGATATATGATTGTAGAGTAATTCTGCGAGATTTATTCTGGAAATTTGAACTCGTTTTGTAATCCGATTCATGAGATGAATCGATTGAAATTAACTACAACCGAATTGGGATTTACTGTTGCCTTTACACTAAATAGATTAAACAGAAAATTATAGACAGATAGATAAATATTCTCAACAAGAAATAATGTTTTCTTACAGGTCGATAGGCTGACATTGATTAAATATAGGATCAAAACCGTTAATATCTCAAGCGAGCTATTACCCGATTAAGACACCTTTAGATTTTTTTCGTTGGTCACGATAAACAATCCATGGGTTTGTTGGTCCTCTACTTGGATACTTTCCTTCTGCTTTAAAAATGGCAGCAATATCTTCTGCTGTCGATACACAGACAATCTCCAATATTACCATACTTGTCTTTGAAAATAGGCCCATACTTTTTGTGGTGCTGCTCATGTAATAAATGGAGTCTTTTTTGATAGTAGCCATTATTTTTTAATAGACTCCACAAGTTACCAATGATAGGATAACCTTTAGGCCCAGGAATTTGACTGTAAGGTTTAGCACTAGCTATTTTCTCTTCTCCATGGTGCGTTCCGGCTGTAGCAGTAGTTGTAGATTGCAATGCTATTCTACCTCGTACGCTATTTGCTCCGAGAGGATAAAGTATATTTTTCGGTAAGCGTGAGAACATAGCCCAATGGTACCGTATTTATCCTTGATGCTAACATGGATATTAAAGCAGTTAGTTTACTAAGGGCGATCTCTAACAATAGCGATACGAGAAATAGGATATGGTTTAATATGCCACTGTTCGTGAAGATGCTTGCTCGAACAGATAACTCACAGTGAATACAGCAAAACAAGCAGCATGTAGGTAATTTAACAAAGTCCAATCACTTCATTTATAGAACATGTTAGCCTAGATGTCTTCTACAATAAGTACTGTATGAATAATTTCCGATAGCAACATTGTGTTGCGAAAGGAAGCAGCATTTTATCTAACATTCTAACTGTAAATAAAATATTCAATTCAACAACTACTCGTATTTTACCTTAAAGTATCTAACTAATTCATTAAAAATCGAAATAAATAGTCGGAAAGAATATAGGATAGCCTGTTCTTGTAGAAATGGAACGGCTTTTCATTTGGTAATATATTCGTGTATGTATAATCGACGACAAAAGTACCATCCATTAAAACACTATTTTATCTTGAAATATCGAATCAATTAGGATGGTATAGGGTTATGACACAACTATGAGAACTCGTATAGCACAGTATCACATAAAATTAAAATAAACAATCAGAAAGAAATACAAGATAGCATGTTCTCGTAGAAATGGAATGTCTTTTCATCTAATAATATATACCCGTATGTATAGCGTACAAAAAGTATAAATTTAGTAAAACACCATTTACCATTTACCTTAAATTATCCGATCAATTTGGATGGGTAATAACACAATTATTCCACCGTATTACCTAAAATTAAAATAAGTGATCAGAAAGAAAAACAGAATAGCCTATTTTCGTAGTAAATAATTTATTCCTTTCAAAAATAGAGTTTATGGAGTCTTTTTCCTTCCAGATCAAGGGTAGATCATATGAGAGTTAGCTGTTATCTTACTTCTAAAGCAAGTTGTCTCGAATTCTTGACCAGAATTTTTCTCACTCTTTCTTCTTCCCCTTCTTAATGATGCTAATCGATAGTAATATTCGCGGTAAGAGACGATTTACTGCAAAGATCAACGCCAATTTTGGTGGTGATCGGAAAAATAAACATCTAATAAAGTATATTAATACTCTCAATTTATGTTTATATACTTTAGACAAATCTATACGGGAAATAACGATACTATATAGTAGAGTAGTAAGTCGCTATTTCCTCTGAAAGGTATGAGATAGTTTATAGTAGATTCAAGCTATTTGAATGGCACTTCTAGCAAATCTCGATAATTTACCAGGGATATGTCATCTTGGCTATACTGAATTAACGTCTACTGAGCCACGTTGGAGTAAAGGTATAACTTGATCTTACTAAAATCCTAGAGTGTTGCAGAGAGATGTTGTAGTCATCATACTAAATTTTACCCTCGTAAGCCCTGACTGAGCATCAAAACCGATCTTCTATGAACCTAAAATATCGCATTTGGATTATACCTGGATTAGAGTCCTTTAAGTTAGACGGGTCAGATTTTACTTCACAAGGATCAACTTAGACAGGAGATACTTGATTATATCGTTCAAGTAAAGACCAATAGAGAATATAATATAATCTGCTTTACTAACAATTTGCTATTTTAGCTCGATGCGGTATCACTCATCCAATCGGTTGGCTATTTTAAGCGCTTTTATTTATAAATAATCCCTTATATAGAGGGTTTTTCTCAATCATTTGATGAATTAATTAGTTAACATTTGCAATAACAAAACCATCTCAGTAAGAGCTCTAGAAATCTGTTAATAAACACAATAATTGTATATTAATATTCCGTAAATGGTCACAAAAGTTAGCACATATTTATAATTATAATGTATCTATGTACGAAGCATACTTTTATAACTTAATTCCTTAACAAATTTTACACTTTGAGTTGCTATCATCACATAGAATTACAGTCTTTGATATCACCTTTCTATCTTCTAATATCAAGATATGATCTAACCTCATACTAATGATGTCGAAAACAATTTGTATAGTAGTACAGTAAAGCATTTTAACATACAAATGCTAATACAAATAGTTGATATCATTTCCTTCGGATTGACCGGTTAATAATTATACAGAATGCCTTACTGGTTGACAGTCTGAATTAGAGACATAAATTTAATAACATTACTCAATCTGTTATTAGATGATCACAATATATCAACATAAACCGAGTAAATACCTATACTAATCTTTTAGAGAATAAAATTAGAAACATGAATCGATTAGGAAAGGCTAATTTGAAATTAGTCTTATATGATCAAATAACCATCTTACTAATAAAGCTTAATAGACAACATTTGAATATTCCCGTCAGCTCATCAGAATATAGACATGGTAGATAACTATTGTACAAATGCTGCTTAGGTTATATTGATAGTGAATATGGAGTTAAGACAACATAATAAGTTGTACTATTTAGAGCATAAAGCAGTAAAGATTTCCCAGTTAGAGAGCTGCTTGTGGCAGTTAGGACATTGATACAATATGACGAGCTATGATACGATAAAGTTATGAGATATATTCTTAAACAAGCCCATATTTATTTTAAATTTGTTAAAAAATTATCAGACAAGATCGCAATATCAGAATGACTATGATTAAGATCCGACAATGAAATTTTAAGCGACTGCTTACATATCGAAATCGCTTCTCCTGTTAGCTAATGCACTTTATATAATGTACAGTGCATATTATTCTAGTATTTTAGTACAAAGGTAAAATAGGTAGAAGTAATTACGTGCTTCGAAAGAGAACGTTATACTTGGAAAGAGTGCCTTTTCCACCGTATCATAGTGCTAAATGTTAGATAATTGCAACACAAAGATTGATCTTACAGGTTAAGAAATATAAATGTGAGTATGTATACGAACGAGGAAATATGAATATATAATAGATTCTTTGTGTGGCTGTTTTTAATGAATATTTATTCCTAGTCTAGTACTCCGAGCCTAATATAACGTATTTCCAATAAATTTCTGGTAAGACTTTACATCTATCTGTATTATCAAGACCGGAAATTTCTAGAGTCCATTATAAAAATCACAAGCATAGTTCGATTCCCAATCGCCGTTTCAATTTCTTGGTTGAAAAGCAATTTGAAGATCTTGATCAGGAGATGCAACTAAGCTAAATGTTGCTCCGATTTCATTTTCATTACGGCAGTCAACATGAAATTCCGAAATCAGCTAACATGCAAACATAAATAATATCAGATACCGTTATAAAATAGATTGTATAATGATTACTAAAATTTTATTATCATCAATTTAAAATTAAAAGAAAACATACTCTAGCAATAGTTAATTCCATTTGCAGTTCTGCTATGCGTCTTCCAATACACATTCTTGGTCCAAGTCCAAATGAAATAATACTAAATGGAAGGCGCTGGTGCTGTGACGATGCTGATGATCGTATCCATCGTTCCGGTTTAATCTTTGTGGCTTCTTCAAAAATTGATTCATCTCTTGATATGAGATGCATCAATGCTAAAACTCTTGTCTGTAAGCGCGTATACACCGATGTTAATGGTATCAACTCAAGATAAATGTTCAGAAATATCAGGCTTTAATTAAACTCCTACATTTCATAAATTTACAATTATACCTTTGCAGGAATATGATATCCACTTAATACAACATCTTGGTCAAGGATACGCGCTGTTGCATGTACTACAGGATATAATCTAATTAAAAATATAAGGTAATGGTTGTTCATCTATCCAGCTTTGTAAATTAAAGTATCATCAGATACCGTTGGCTTTCTTTGATAACTCCTCTTAAGTAAGGCATTTTCTGTAAAGTTTGACTATCAGGTAATTCTCCATCTTTTAATACACTGCTGACTTCATGATATAGCTTATCTTGAATATCAGGATTCTTGCCCAAGATAAAGAGCGTCCACAATATTGTGGTAGCGGTCTGAAATAAAATTGTAGCTTATAACAATTTGTAGAAAATTTTAAATAAATCTGAATATTCCTATACATTTTATGATTGGATATAAAATTTATGCTGATTAATGGGTATACTAGATTAAGGTAATTTTTGCAAATGTAGGTTTGAGATTGCATCATACCCTACAGTCTAGTCCACATAATAAATATGAACACAATTATCAACGAATAATTACAATCATACCACTTACGGGATGAATATGATAGTAAATGTTGATAAAGTCATGTAGGCTCTGACTTTCATTTTACCATATTAATGTATCACAATAACCTCTATAAATTTACAGTACGTCTCTTGGAGCAAATAATGTATTTTCTAGATCTAATTTAAAAATGAAATATTTATAGTAAGATAACTTACTGTATCCACGCCTGCCATCATCAGCTCGATCATATTACTAGCAATTTCTTCATCATTTAATTCCCCACGCGATAAAACATATGGTAAAAATTCTAAATCTTCAGTACGTTGTTTATTCTGTCGGTTATTCAAAAGATTAATCTCAGTAGATGATAATCGATTTCGCTCTTCTTCAATGAGTTTGCCACCAATCTCAAATAATGTATCCCAATAGCTGCAATATGCTTTCCATCCTTTGGTTTTAATATATTTGTAATATGGTGGCAATAGCATAAATTGACCAGTAACCTCTAGCATCTGACAGACAGTCTCATAAAATCTCTTGGCGATTGGAGTAGGAGGATCATTGAATGCTCCAAGCCGTTTATTAAATAAAATGGTATTATTGGCTAATAATCCAATGGAAATATAAGGTCAGTATTTTTGTTAATAAAGAGTTTTTCTATATATGTATACGGTAGTTTGCTTTAAGCTCTCTCTCTTTGCTACGCTAGTAATGTATCGTTCTAATAATGATTATAAAATCGATTGACTATGAAATTTCTTCCGATGGATGCAGATTTTAATATCGCTATAGAAAATGCTTGCCTAAAGCGATAGCAAAATTGGATTCTTATTTCAGAGGATACAGTAGCAAATAAAAAGTGAATTGGACACTTTAAATTATAGACACCCGGTTGTATTTGCAGTTATAACAGCTTTCGATATTTTAACATTATTGAAATCAAGTTAGGATCGTAAAGAGTTTACGAGAGGAAATAGGATTAAAATGACAAGCATTTCATTGGTACTATGTATTCAATTCTTACATTACAGCTATATATCGCATATACGTATATTGATCAACTGTTAGGGTTTCTTACTTTCAAAGGCCCACTTGCACAATGCATCCTTAAGATTAGCTAATTCTCCATTTCGATTATCTGTTATCCGTTTCTGTCTTATATGTGCTATTAGATCGGTGATGACTTGATTTATCCTTTCGCTATATGCACTGACATCCTTCAATTTAAGTAGCTTTTTATCCATTACACTTCTTGATCTCCGCCAGTCTTCCCCTTCTCTGTTAAGAAAAGACAACATCAGATCGCGTTCTAGCATCTGGATAATTGAGTTATTTTATTTAATTGTAATGGATTCCAGCACTAAACTATGTGAGAATAGTTTGATTCATAGTTCCAAGCAATTGTGTTAGACTTAATCTGGGCATTTTTTGCTCGTTTTTAGAGTGTGATTTACATGATGAATCAATTTCAATTTTCTATCTAGCTTAGCCATGCTATTACAGTATACGAATATTTATGCTGAATAGAATAAAAGGTAACTACAGAGTGATCAATAACGAGCATACGTGTATAGGAAGGGAAAACTTTCATTCAATATGAGCAGCACCATAAAGCAATCATATCTTAAATGATCTATTACCCGATTAAAACACCTTTGGGCTTTTTTCGTTGTTCACGATAAATGACCCATGGATTTACTGGTCCTTTACTTGGATATTTTCCTTCAGCGCTAAACATAGTAGCAACATCTTCCGGTGTTGATATAAATACTAACTCCATATTACCAATCTTGTCTTTAAAAATGGGTCCGTATGTTTTCTTGTACTCCGCAAATAGCAAGTGGGGTCTTTTTTGATAGAAGCCATTATTTTTTAATAAAGTCCACAAGGTACCAATAATAGGATAACCTTTAGGTCCAGGTACTTGAGTGTAAGGTTTAGCATTTGCTATTTTCTCTTCATCATCCAGCTTTTGGGCAGCAGTAGGCGGCGTCGATTGCATCGCTATCCTACCTTGTATGCTATTTGCTGCAAGAGGATAAAGTACTTTTCTTGGCAAGCGAGATAACATGACTTGAATTGTATTTCTCCTCGATCCTAATTTGCTTGTTTACTATGGCAATCTCTGTCAATAGTCCTGTAATAAGAAATAAGATGATGTTGAATATCAAAGTAGGAGTCAAAATGGCTGTGCCACTACCGTAGACAATGCACAACACAGCAGCGAATAACAAGACGAATGATATCTATGCACAGCAACATGAAAACCAATTTGAATCTACACAGGGAATAGATTGTAATAGAATGCCCTAGATAGCTGCTATGATCACTATCGTATCAATTCCATCTCATCGTGATAAAGTATTGGAGAATAAAACAACTTTAAAATCACAAAATAATGTGCAAAAGCTGACCCAAATTGTCGAATGTATCTGGAGATTATCCAATCAATTTTGGTTACCTAGCATTCCATCTTCAATAAACAACACTAATCCAATGATTTTTGACCACACATTATCCAGCTTGTGTTTATTAAAATTGAACTAACAAAATCAACATGTCCTGATAGTAACTTGAAAAAGAAAGCTATACAGTAAGTACTCCTGACGTACCGTAAGGATGCTAACTTTGAAATGCAAGATCGCAGTTAACAGCGAGTTGGCAAATCCTTGAGTCGGTCTTGCAGTTAACTGATCAACTCGTAGTTGGACTGGCTAAGTGTCTATGCCTAAACTTTGCTTGTAGGTAAAAACAAGAAGCGAATGACCATTTCTTTCCTCCTCTAGCACAAGCCTACGCCGTGTGAAGAGTAAGCTATCTTACCTGTAGACAAGTAGTTCTGGAGGATTTGACCGCACCTTTCCTTGCTCTATCTTTTCAAAAGTTTATTTCCTCTTTTTAATCGTGCTAATCGATAGCAATATCCAAGGTAAGAGTAGATTTGCTTCCGTGATCAACGCTAATATTTTCTTAATTGATCATGATAATCATTGTTACTTCTGAACTAATCTGAACTACCGCTCACGGCAATTTCCATAGCCAACATCGTAGAATAAAAAATAACTTTATTACAGTGTTAAAAGGTTATTCGATATTAGCAATAACAGAAACTATAATCTATGGTAGACAGTTGTCTTGTACTCTTGACTTAGCAAAGCGGAGAGGCTACTTTAGCTCTCTCTCCAAGACCTTTTTATCCTATTCGGGTTTGAGTTATTTGTCAACAAATCTCCAACACAAAAATTCCTATACGGGAACTAGCTTTTATTGACATCCTACTATAAGCTTTAGTCGGCGCTAGCCATGTCTGGTTATCGTCCGCCCGACTCTTGTTTTGACTTTTGAGAGCCAATTAAGTTTGCCCTTAGGCTCACCAATTCGCCTCCTGCTAAGTAAACACTAACCGTTAAATTATGGCTATCAGATCGCGATTTTTCAGTAGTAACTAGTGAGTATTGGCTGGGCATAGTGCTGCCATTCGTAAAACTCTGCAATAGTCTTCTACAAGGTTTGGCTGTATGGTCATCGAGGTAGGATGGGTTTGCTTACCTCGATGGCCGGTAACCTGTTTTAGGAGGAATTTTCTCATTGGACTTGATCCCCTTTCTTGAATTCAATCAAGCTTTGGTTTTATTGCGCGAAATTTCATGCAGTTTATTATTAATTCACATTGATATCCACTTGACTTATCTTTATTCGTATTTAGTACTCATGTATAGCAGATCGATAAAAGTAGATCACGTTGGATATATTTTTATTGCAGATTTTGCAGTATAAAAATACTAGAATCGAATATATTAATAGGTTCTGTGGTGGATCTTGAGGTTGACCAATATTTTAATGATTATTCGCGACAAGTTCTCAAATTAAGTTCAATGGCAGATTGCTACAAATCTCCATGTTCTAGTTATCAAAAATAGTGACTACTATACTATCATGGAGCATGGTCTTACAGCACTTGATCTTGCCAAAGGCCAAAAGTGTTCTACTTCAAAGTGATCACACTGAATTTTACTCTGTTAGGCCATGACAGCATAGAAATCCATCTTTAAGATTAAGATTATAATATACTAATACTTGATACCACAAATCTAGTAAATATCTATGTTAAATTTTAGCAAATTAAATCCCAAAATTAATCCGATTTGATAATGCAAACTAGTGCCGTAAAATTGAATCGCCATCTAAATGAGGCATAGTAGAAGAAATTTAAATATTTCTTTGGCCTCTTCAGAATATATCAATCCTAGAATTAATTGATCCAATCTAGGATTGATTAGACCTTTAGTCTATCCTATAATTGACATGATATCACAAAGTTATCTACCTAAAGACTTTATTTAGGGAGATTATATCATAACAAAATGCTTGGGGTTTCACATTGATTGCCGAGCAATAAATGACTACTTTAAATCATCATAAATAGTTGAAGTCGATCAAGATCAACACTATTTCGAGTCTTGAATGAATGTTTAGCTCAAACTCAGGAAGTGTAACATTGATCCGATCTAGGATTAATTAGCCCTTTACTCTATCCTATAATTGACCAAATTTGGGCTTTGACCGTAATAGAGTAAATACGGAATAGAGCTAATATTATAAATTGTATTATTCAGAGCTTACTTAAAAGTACTAGTGACTGTATGCTGGAGAGAGAAAACTGGTTATAATAGTTAGGACATTGATATAATATTATGGATACATGATATCACAAAGCCATCGGATAGAATTCCTGGACTTGTACAATAAAATTCAGATTGGAACAAGCACATGTTGGATCGATAGTCGTTTATTTGCAATGCATCACAGCAGGCTCTTCATGCTAACTTTAGGTAGGATAGAAATTTCCTATACTGTTATACGAAGCTATAACCTAATGATGATTGTGGCCAGGAGTCGACAATTGATTTTTGAGTATCATCTTATATATGGAAATGCGTTCTACTTTGCGAGTAGATTAACTAGATTTAGCCGTGAAATGAAAGAGCCTCATAACAATTCTGTCTAATCTAGTTTCGTTCTCACAAAATAAATGTCTCAGGCAGATAGAAATTGAAAGCAGGCTTTAATTACAGAGTAAAGAATAGTGGAGCAATGATTGACTAGAACAGCAAAAGAAATAAAGTCTAGTGGTACTCCAAGCTCATCTCTATAGTTCTTAAATACAGTTTGTTTATTAATCTATTCGCGGCAACAAAGTTGCCTACAATCGGACATTGAGTTATTAAACAGAAGACGTTTCCTTAAAGACATCATCAATATGTTTTACGGTATAAATCAACCTACTGAAAATATCATTGCGCTTCTACTAACTTACGAAAAAAATAAAATAACGGTCGATTAAAATCATAATTTGACTGGAAAAATATCGACTTTAGAATATGGTGGAATACTTTCGTTTAAAATTGCTATACGTGCTTTGTTATATTATATTTTATGCTTAGTTAAATATATTATTTAGGAAAATTATATCATAACAAAACGCTTGGGGTTTCACTTTAATTGCCGAGCAATAAATGACCACTTTAAATCATCATAAATAGTTGAAGTCGATCAAGATCAACACTATTTTCGAGTCTTGAATGAATGTTTATCTCAAACTCAGGAAGTGTAACATACATAGTAAGAGAATCGAGCTGCAAATTTTCTTTCAATGTGTTGCTTTGTGTAAGTAAATCCGTTCATTTGAAGTGGAAATTTATCAGTTTTTGTAAAACATTGATGTTTTAAGATTGGCGATTTGATATTTTCTGCTTCCGTATGGAGTCAAAATTTTGCTTGTTGAACATACACATTGGAAATTTTCTTGAAAAAGTGATGCGAATTAATACGTCGACTTTTTAATTAATTGTCCAAGAGAAAAAATTTACAATTTAAAATATGAAACATTACTTTCATTATTGACATGAATACTGCTTCAATTATATAACCAGTAGTATCGATCATAACAAGAAATGCGAGTAATCAATGTCTAGTAAATTGCAGTGTAATTATTCATATTTAGTCGAAATTTGATGGCCACGATAGCAATTAAGCCAGAAACCACTAATCGTTTACATTATTTTATGTTACAACAAATTGCCTCGTTACAGTATTTCGATAAAATTCCTGATTAATTAGAATCTACAAATTTTTCAATTTATTTGATTTTCTACGCAATAGTTTAGTATGTATAATAAAAATTATATATCCTCAGTTATAAATTACATATATATATAAATATATACATCACGCTGTTGACCAGTGAAAATTACCGTTTATCAATTGTACACTTTTAATCGATTTTCCATCAAGGCTATTTTTACTGGCTAATTGTTTCAACATTACCTCAGATAAATTGTAATTTTGCAATTTAGCTACTGGCATCACTTCATCGGGTAGATGATTTGAATTACTATCGTCTAACATTGAGTGACCACTCGTATTGAAAACAGAAGTAGATTCCAAGCATTTAATGGAGGCCTTCATATTATTTCCATGAGCAGAGCGTAAAAGATTACATATTCGAATAAACTGGCAAGGAATAACTGGCCCGGATATTTCTAAATAGGATTTTTCTTCTGTTTTACCAAGAATATTTGGCTGCTTCATTTTATTACATTTAAACTAGAAATTGATGAATACAATGCGTTCAGTTAGGTAAGTGTACAATAACTGACTGTTTTTAAAACATATAAATTATCAAAATTAATAAAGCTTTCAAAAGTAATTACCGTTAAAGGTTTTAGAGTGCCACCGCAAAATGCGACAGGTGATAGAATTGTGGGAGGAATTCCAGCTTGCCAACCAATAGGTGCAACCAAGTTCTTGTAATTTAGAAGAAAGTTATAAAAGGCATGAACATGGGAGCTGCCTTCAATTCGTAAAGCAGAAGCTTTTTGGCGATCGTTAATATCATTTACATTATGGCTAAATGAAGTTGTTAAGGATGATTAGCTATATATGTCAATCTGTTCTTATCCAATCAATTACTGTATACCTTCTACCTTATTAAAGTTTTATCATTATTCGAATAACTCTACGAAAGGATACGTCGGTGAATAGGCAATTTTCATGAATGTGTTATCGATCCCTCTGTTTTTTAACCAGTCTAAGTGACTTTCATCATCTTCAGCATTTCCAGTAAGGGAATCTGAATCACTGTTGACGTCGAATTCATCATCGCTGACTACAAAATTGTCTTTGTATTCATCTGTTGCTTCTTGCTCATTGCCTTTCCTACCAACTGCATGAAACTGAATTCCTGAAAGCAAATACAGTCGGTCAATCTTAATAAGCTAACTATCATAGCGTATTATTACCAAGTAAAATAGTGTGATTATGAAAACAAGACTACCTTCATTAGATAATAATTGACGAAATCCTGACGTTGTAGAACTCACGATGGCGGTAATAGAGGGAGAGCCGTTGATGCCCTCAGCAATAAAAAGTATACTAAATTGGTGAGTGCATAAATAGAAGTACGGACATTTCTGACACCTTGTCATGTGATATATAGAATAAAAGCTCTCTTTCCTATGAAAGTAAAATAGACGTGTTGATATTATTTCAATATCATGCAGCATTTAGGCAGCTTCAATTCAATAACGATACAATATCGATGTATATGATACACTATCTAAAGACAGACAGTTGAAGTAATATATCCTAACCAGTTAGACATCATTGCTTTTAGCATTTGCTCATTCGTAACTATTGGACCGGCCCTGTGTATGATTTATCAGTTGATTAGTAGAAAGAAGGTAGTAGATGATGCAAAACGAATTCAAAGTCAGAGATCCTTACTGTGAGAGTTTAGAAGGCTTTCTGCCTGTTCTGGGAAATAATTCTATTCCAGGCAATACAGGGTGGCACCAGGTCAATAAATATTGCTTTAGCAAAGTTCCCAGATTATCTGGTTGATTGTTTAACTAAAGCATAATTATTTCATTTTAGTTATTAGATACTGTTATTGATGATTATCTGTGTTACAATTTTAAACCAACAATTTGAAGATCACTAATGCTTTTACAACATCATCCATTCAGCTAGTGTTCAAAAATGGCAATCACATGATTTCATATCCAAACTTATAACTATACTATATGTTATTTCATTATGCTATCAGTGAAAGAATTGATGTAGCTTACCTCTGACTGATTACAGCAGCGTACAAAATTAGTTACAGCCATAATTTCATCATTGCTAGTGATATTATTACACCATTGCAAGGGAGTTTGACAAATAAATCTGCAGCTAAGCTTTAAAGACCAATCTACCGGCAACGATGTACCAAAATTGAGCTTTGACAATTCTTGCATATCATTCTAAAGGAGAGAATTGCTAACGATTATTTTTAATGAATTCTAGGAGCATTATATTATGGACCAAGCGGAACGACTTTTTAAAGCATAGTATTCCGTTGTGTACAATTCTATTCTTTTCGTGTCCACTACTATCATTGTAAAGTCATGGACAGAAATTAGGCAGCATCGGCAGAAACTTTCATTACGGATCGACTCCTTTCTTTACGTGTAAAGTGCAAATCATGGTGAAAGTCATGGACTGAAAACTAGGCACTATTGGTAACCACAATGATTGAAGATTGGCTTCTATGTGCAGTATTACCATAGCGAAAGTCATGAACTGAAAATTAAGCACTACCGTATTGCAAGTCTATGTGATCACTTTTATTGAGGATCGACTTGTTTCTTTGATAGACTGAGCATTAGGCACTACTAGTAACAACTTTTATTAAGGATTGACTTACAAAGTGACGACTTGGAATGGCATTTTCGATCGCATGATCCGCAGCCATGTTGAATTTTTTCTCCTAATGTCATTGGAACGATTAATTAGATATTATAAACATGAGCACAGCCATTGGCTAATGATCAAATATCGTTCATTGGTGGTACTCACGATCAGAAAAGTGATATTACAAGAACTAACCTGTTGAAAATGGTCGATAGCATCAAATAGCGACGGCTGTTGATCCGATTGCTTGACTTTCATTTCATGACTTTCAAGCTGATCTCCTGGAAAAGAATGGCTACCAGGGTCGCCATGACTATCCTCCTGGACATTGGTATCCACGACTTGCAACACTTGGCGTTGATGGCTAGCTGAAGGAGTCTTGCGTGATTTCCTCCTCTTCTGCAATCGTAGTCGAATAATATCGTTGGGTTTGTTCCATTTTGGCGACTGAGATGAAGAAGGACTAGATTTAGTCGGTGTTTCTTCATTTTCTTGGCAGGCAAGAGCTTTCCCCAACCTCCCCATTTTGATTTTCCCGCGTAATAATGATGGAGTGCGCAAGTCGATTGGATTTAAATAGACGCCCCATCTAAACTGATGTCACGTGTGGTGCTTCATCACTGCATCCTGATAGGAGGACTGGATGCGCGTATTAGCGACATTTATTTTGCATAGGATACAGAGTACCTTTAGTAATGGCTCGCAATTATGCCATCGGCATCCTAGTATACTCGTGTACTGTACAGATGAAATGAAAATACGACCAACGACAAATGAAAATGGCTTGCGAAAGTAATGTCTGCAGTAGCATCCATTTAACATTGCAAGTTGTAGTAGGAAACCATGGCTACAGGTGACATAATTTTTAGTAAAGACTTTGTCCATGGCATCGACTCATCGCCAGTAGCCCTAGTACTCTAACTATATTTTGAATATTGTCCAGCTCTTTGCTGAAAGGCATCGATTCGTTTGAGCAAGTGTGGGTGATAAAATGCGAGGGATTTTACCGTGGAGGTTAATAAGGAGGTTGTATTTTTACCTGCAAGGATTTTGCACAGGTCTGGCATCTACTCATCCCTGGTAGCACAAGTACTCTTACTACTATAGACGTTGGAAATGGTCATACCCTTTACAGGTCTAGCATCTACTCATCCCTGGTAGTACTACTGTAAACGTTAAAGCCGTCGATTCGTTTGAGCAAGTGTGTGTGATAAAATGCAAGGGATTTTACCATGGAGGTTAAAAGGAGGTTGTATTTGTACCTGCAAGGATTTTGCACAGGTCTGGCATCTACACATCCCTGGTAGTACTACTGTAGACGTTGAAAATAGTCATACCCTTTGCTGAATAGCCGTCGATTCGTTTGAGCAAGTGTGTGTGATAAAATGCAAGGGATTTTACCATGGAGGTTAAAAGGAGGTTGTATTTGTACCTGCAAGGATTTTGCACAGGTCTGGCATCTACACATCCCTGGTAGTACTACTGTAGACGTTGAAAATAGTCATACCCTTGCTGAATAGCCGTCGATTCGTTTGAGCAAGTGTGTGTGATAAAATGCAAGGGATTTTACCATGGAGGTTAAAAGGAGGTTGTATTTGTACCTGCAAGGATTTTGCACAGGTCTGGCATCTACACATCCCTGGTGGTACTACTGTAGACGTTGAAAATAGTCATACCCTTTGCTGAAAAGCCGTCGATTCGTTTGAGCAAGTGTGGGTGATAAAATGCGAGGGATTTTACCATGGAGGTTAATAAGGAGGTTGTATTTTTACCTGCAAGGATTTTGCACAGGTCTGGCATCTACTCATCCCTGGTAGTACTACTGTAGACGTTGGAAATAGTCATACCCTTTGCTGAAAAGCTGTCGATTCGTTTGAGCAAGTGTGGGTGATAAAATGCAAGGGATTTTACCATGGAGGTTAAAAGGAGATTGTATTTGTACCTGCAAGGATTTTGCACAGGTCTGGCATCGACTCATCCCTGGTAGTACTACTGTAGACGTTGAAAATAGTCATACCCTTTGCTGAAAAGCTGACGATTCGTTTGAGCAAGTGTGGGTGATAAAATGCAAGGGATTTTACCATGGAGGTTAAAAGGAGATTGTATTTGTACCTGCAAGGATTTTGCACAGGTCTGGCATCTACTCATCCCTGGTAGCACTAGTACTCTTACTACTATAGACGTTGGAAATGGTCATACCCTTTGCTGAAAAGCGATCGGTTTGTTTGAGCAAGTGTGGCAGACAAAATGCTAATGATTTTACTATCGAGGTAAAAAGAAGGTTGTTTTTTACTTGGATAGATTTTGTAGACGTCTGGCATCTACTCATCCGTGATAGCATTAGTAGTCGAACTATACGTTGGAAATTGTCATACTCTTTGCTGAACAGCCGACGATTCGTTTGAGCAAGTGTGGCAGACAAAATGGAAGTGATTTACCATCGAGGTGAAAAAGGAGGTTGTTTTTACCTGGATGGATTTTGTAGAGGTCTGGCATCTACTCATCTCTAATAGTACTAGTACTCCTACTATACTGTACGTTGGGAATGGTCATACCCTTTGCTGAAAAGCGGTCGATTCGTTTTGAGAAAGTGTGGCAGCTAAAATACTAATGATTTTACCATCAAGGTAAAAATGCAGGTTGTTTTTATTTGTATGAATTTTGCAGAGGTCTGTCTGGGTCGATTGGTGCACACTACACAACAGTGCCAGGCCAGGGACGAAGGGTAAAGAAGCTCTATTATTATTAATCTGATGGGAAATGGCGTATAGGAGGAAATGAGAAAATTTTCTCGGAGACAACTCTATGTGATAAAAGGTCTCCGTAGGATTACTATATTCTATTAAGTCGAGTAGATGACCGAATGAAATGAATTGCTATGGTACAGGACTGTATAGTGCTGTGCTACGCAGCCGATGGATGCTATATGGTGTTAGTCTGAGAGAATAGGATAAAACTTGGGTTGCATTTTTGCATCAAGCGTTGCTTTACGGATCATTCCAAGCACTAAAAAGTTTGCTCATTTTCCCATCGAATACTAACTGTTTGATAGGGGAAGTTGGGTTTCATTTAGACATTTCTTCAACCCTGATAGAGGATGGAATGATCATGAATACACTACTCCAAGTGACTAGTAATCATTTCTAGTAGTCCATCACTAGATGTTGCAAGAGATCAAGTGTTGATTATATCCTTGATACAGCAATAAACTATCTTGCATTTCCACCTCGTGCTAACGCAGACAAGTTGATTATTTGCCAAGCGATTTGTGCCATCGTGTGCTGTGTCATGATGACTCAGGCTAGGATGCTACGCCATTAGCTGACAATGCACCGTCATGGCTTAAGGTCTACCAGAGATTCTCTTGATTGATAGTCTGCTTGCAATAACTTTCATCATGTCTTTTATCGTGCCACCATGAGCACTGAAGTCGAATAAGACTGGCTGACCATTCTTATTCTTTATTAGTCAACATACTGTACAGAGATCGTAAATTTGGATTCTACAGTAGTCTTATAACGCATTTCAAGACGGATTGGAGAGGATGCTGCGTCATGAGCTGACAATGTACCGTCATGCCTCATCATGGCTGCATGCCCTAAGGTCGACAAGAGATTCTCTCCACTGATTGTCTACTTGCAATAGCTTCCATCATGTCTTTTATCGTGCCACCATAAGCACTGAAGTCGAATAAGACTGCTTAGCCATTCTTATTATTGGTTCGTCAACATACAGAAATGGCAAATTTGAATTCTAGTCTTATAACGTATTTCAAGACGGATAGAAGGGGATTCTACGCCATGAGCTGACAATGCACCATCATGCCTCATCATGGCTGTATGCTTGAAGGTCGACAAGAGATTGTCTGCTTCTAATAGCTTCCATCATGTCTTTTATCTTGCCACCATAAGCAATTAAGTCGAATAAGACTGCTTAGCCATGCTTATTATTGGTTCGTTAACATACAGAGATGACAAATTTGGATTCTAGTCTTACAACGCATTTCAAAATGGATTGGAAGAGGATGCTGCGTCATGAGCTGACAATGCACCGTCATGCCTTATCATGGCTGCATGCCCTAAGGTCGACAAAAGATTCTCTCCACTGATTGTCTGCTTCTACTAGCTTCCATCATGGCTTTTATCACGCCACCATAGCTATTTAAGTGGAAGAAGAAGATTGTCTTAGTCAATATTCAGAGTATACTGTACAGTATTGCTCAAGGGGCAGTGCATAAACCAAGCTTGGAGTAGAACATTGGACGGTTGGCTACAGCAAGACATACAGTCCACCGTCCTGGCGGTAGTTACAGACATTAGTACCTTTAATAAGAAGGCTAATCGCGTCTCGTTTAGAATCATTGCAAGGGTTAGGCAGGCGATGGATGCTGCCCATTTCTGATGGTGTTGTCCAATTCCACAGCAGACATGGCTACATGATCGATTTGCAGTATCTTGCATGCACCATATTGAAGCTAATGCACTTAGACTAGAGCTGATCTTGACTACAAAAGCAAAGATTGAATATTATGTCACCGAAGCAAAGTAAAGACAAGGCCACATTCCATCAGGAAGGCCATGTGGTGGTAAGCAGGAGTACTGTAGAAGAAGGATTGGATCAGCCAGTAGGCCACCGATGCGTAGTCGGAAAGTCCGCCATCTTGAATAGCTTATTCGATCGCGAAGTAGAAGATGAAAGTAGTCAATCGAGTCGCATTAAGTAGTGCTACTCTACTGGATAGAGGAGATGAAATGACTTGATGATCATAGTGTTAAGACGAAATGAGATACAACAGATTGGCCGCCCCCCCCCTCCCCCTCCAAAAAAATAGAGAACGTCCATTAAATGTGATGGACGATCCAAAGCAAGCATGTTTACTAGTCATTGCAGTAGGCCAAGTGATTGAAGAGAGTGTGCATTGAATTGATAAAGTGGTAAAGAGTCCAAGGAAACATGGAAATAATGTCTAGGGTGATAGTGTAGCATGAACAGATTGACATAGAATAAAATAGCAAGTATGTAGTCATAATCGGTTCGTATTCCTGAATGTAAAAAAATTGTGGCAACACTACTGTACGTGATCAGAATTAGAAATGGAGGAGAAACCCGTATGGATAAATCCTTCCAGACGCTCATAGCGTAATAGCTTGTCAAATAGTCAGTCCATGCAAGATAGATTGATGGAAAGAAGTACAGTTAGAAAAGGAGAGCGTAGAGTAGACCATCAGTAAAAAAAAGTAAACAACCTTATCGATAGGCTTTGGACATTCATTCTAGTCACCATAGTACACCCATCAAATCCCCATTTCGTCATAGAGGAGTGTCGAGAAAGGATTGATAGATTCCTTAATGATGCTGGATGAATATCAACTTAGTAGTTTTTATTTTATATTGTAACGGCTTTAACGTTCGTGCAGAACTAGAGTTTTTTCAATCAATCCATACCAAACTAATCAATATCCATGTTCTATCTATTTTACCTTTTAGGGCTTATCCAATCTGGGTAATACATGTTTCTTTAATGCGTTATTACAGGTAATGAGAATATACAAATGTACTCTAAATTGTGCCTGTATCACAGAGTGGAAAGGATTCATTTAGTCCTTCAATCAAGACGTACTTTTAGTAGTAGGCAATATTGTCGGTACAGTAATTAAAAGTACATCGATCAAGCAATAGATCATCACGGTCAAATTAAAACAGCTATTTCAATATTGTAGCGCTAATCGTCCAAATCGAATCTAAATTGTACTGTTGTACCTTATTGTAAGTAAGTTATTTATATGCTGTATATCGTATTCTCATCGAAGTCGATTTGATATTTTTACTGACCATGTTGAAAAATACATCAGCTACTCACAGAGACAGAATGGCTTCCAATATAATTATAATTACAAACTCTATGCAGTAATCGTATACAACAGAATGAAGGAGTAGTTAATGCTCGCACTCAATTCCACCTGATTCATCCATGCATCAATTTGATTATCTGCCAAATAATCGTCGGCTATACTAAACGCTCTTTGTATATTATTCCTGTAGTGCCTTCATCACTCCTATCATCTCCATGATTCTTTGCAAGTACTAATGACCAAAGAATTTCAATATCAACTCCAGTTGGATGAAATGGTAATGATGAAATCATATTAGCAATTAGCAATCAAAGTGATACAGTCAATGTCTGATTCAATTCAATACATGATGTTATCGAAATGGCAATACTAGTTCTATCATCACGTTTCATTTACATCTATTTCCCCCATTTGATCAACTTATAGGATGATTTTGTGATGGATTCAATCACTCCAAGTGGCCCCATGACTTATGCCTTGCAGTCATTATTAAACTCGATGGCCGGCAATGGCAGTCATACGAATCCACAATTATTGTTTAACGAAATTATTAAAAGGTTTGAATCTACCGTCCAATAATCTTTTTATCTAGTTCCATAATCGAAGCAGAAATTGCCATTGCGTGCGCTAATCTCCATCTTGTTGTAATATATACCAAGGATGATGCTGCACATTATTTCTATCAATCATCGATTGTTGATTTGAACCTTCTGCTTATGCAATAATAGGGCTCCACAATTTCGAAGTTATCAGCAACAAGATAGCCAAGAAGTAATGCATTACCTGTTAGATGGAGTACGAGACGAAGAAGTGAAGGTACGTTGTTGTCCAAGTAGTAGAAAGGATCAAGTGGCATTCAATTCTTCTTCGTTGATTGGCTTTACTGACGCCATTAATTAATTAATATTACTCTCAATGTAGCGACTAAAAAAGATGGTCGTGCGTACTCTCAAGGCCCGACTAGCGAATGATATTAAAATATTGTTAACCGATGACGACAAGAAACGCATACGAGGTATTTAGTTCATTCGACAACTTGAATACGATTGCTTGCTTTGCTGTAGATGTCTGCTGCCTATTCTTGGACTATTGCTTCTTACTTCGATCCACTACATCTTGTTTAGAATTCGTACAAGATACTACTATAGATAGAATTTTTGGAGGAAAAATTGTTAATACCATCACTTGTCAAGAATGTCATCAGGTTAGTAATTTCTCGGAGACCATCATTTAATCGGGCCTTCTCCATGCTTAACTTCAAAGAACGCTTTCAACACGTTGCTATTTCTTCTAAATATAGACTTCACAGCGCTTCGATACCTTCCTAGATTTATCATTGCCAATAGCGGAGTATAAGGTGATAATTGCTAGTAGTTTTTGGTGGCTTTTTAATCTTCATCGTAATTAGAAAATGCATTGCCTAATACAAGGACTAGTCGTCCTACATACAGTAGCATAGAAGTACATAATATCCTTATAACTGTTGGTGTCTGTAGTACTAAATTGGGGCAATACATCATGCTTGCTTCATATTACAATGATAGCCGCCACGGAAGTATACTGCAAAGAGTCCAGTTAAAGCTGAAAAGAAAAAAGAAGTTAGTGTTGAAGAAAAGTATAGCGTTGAAAATCAGAGTCAATTAAAGAAAAGTAATTATCAAAGAAAGAAGGAACGTAAGGTAACTGATTCAAAATTAAAACCTAGCGCGACTGACTCCCAAGTGAATAATATTGACATTCAAATGTTATGCTTTGGTTTCCCTCATGAATTAGATGAAGAGGAAAAATCATAAGGGCAAAAAAAATAAGAAAAAAACTCTATATCAAAATGAAACACCAGACACGAAAGAGATTGTAAATTCCTATGAAAATGTTAATCCAGCAGGTGTTGAAAATAAAGACAATGTTAACACTGCGGATGGCAATAATGAAGATAATGTCAAGAATGATGGTGATAACGACGACGTCATTATTGATGAAGAAATTTGTACAGAATTTAAAGATACTGTTGTCATTCATAAGAGGACACATAGTAATGCAAAGCAGGAAAAAAGCCATACCGATGACGACATTAATTCCATTGGTGATGTCAAGATCGAAATCGATGATAGAATTCAAGTTGAGAACGAATTCAACATTGCTAATGATTGCCGTTCAAAGGATTCTGAATTAGAATCAATACATGCTAGCGGTAGTGTTATTATGACTGTAGAAAACATCGGAAATAGTACTCCTACTAACATGATGACCGAAGAAATTGATAACGATCAGGAAAGCGATAACGAGGACAAAACTAGTGATGATATTTCCTTGGATAAAAGCCGAGACAATCTGGAAACTTCCTTAGACGCCAGCCAAGACAACATTGAAACGGATAGTCTGTGTCAGGATAGTGATAGTGGCAAGGAATCTTCGGATCATATTGATCATAATCGTTACATCTGTCCTGACCGATTATCGAAACTTACAGAAGTCCATGATCAATATACAATCTACAAATGCTTGGATCGATTTTGCTGCGTTGAATTAATGACTGGCGAAAACAAATATCATTGCAAGTTTTGTACAAGAAAGCAAGGAAAACCAATAGAAGATAAGTCGACTGGTAAAAGCAGCACCAAAGAAGCACAAGATGAGCCTTTCCTCGATGTGTTTAAGCAAGAAGTCCACAGTCAGTAAAATTTAGAGCATTTTAATAGATTAAATTATCGTATTTTTATTCTGACAGTGTATAATACTAATGTAACAAATATTATTTATAACACGATTGTATCATTTAGATGAGGATAAGAAATTTGCACCAGTGTATACGGTATCAACAGCCCAAATGCTTATTTGCGAATTGCCTAAAGTAGTAGTTCTAAACCTGAAGCGTTTTGAGCATGTTGGAGCATCGTTTAGAAAGTTAGCAAAACACATTACATTCCCGTTACAGTTAGACATGTTGCCTTTTTGCACCGATGATTGCAAGGTATGTCTTGATCTATCTTCACCCACAGTTGCACTTTCATCAAGTTATCATGGTATTATGTAACTTAACCCTAATTATGAATTATCTAGGTTCGAGGTGGCAGTAATTCTACTGGATTATACGAATTATTCGGTGTTGTCGTGCATATCGGTCGACTAGGCGGCGGCCATTATTCTGCTTATGTTAAGGCTAGAACAAGCCAATCAGATCTGATGTCAGAAGTTACAGAATCCATAGAGCAAGATGATTTAAAGGAATCTGCACTACATGATGCATTACAAAAGTTAAAAGAATGCAGCATGACTTTCAAGCAATCCGATCTTCGTTGTCAACCAGGTGCTTGGTACCACGTTAGCGATCTACATGTATCGAAAGCTTCTGAAAATCAGGTCTTAAAAGCTCAAGCTTATATTCTATTCTATAAACGTTTATTTGTTAAAGGCTAAGTCGTAATTATTCAACAAAAGTGAAAAATGATCTCAATAAATCAATACTAATACACAAAGAAAATTGATCTATTTATAAGCTTGTTTCCATTTATTTATTGAAGTGTATGGAAATTTTGACTTGATAATGTTTTATCAATCGTGTAATGTACGAAGTGCATTTATTGACACAGCAATAACGATGTTGTATAGCTCGGCAATAGTAACGTCGGTTTATTTTATTTCAAATGTAAAAAGAAATGCTACAATTCGTCATAGCGTTTACTTGGTATGAAAGGATAGTCACTACTGTAATGCATAAAAATTAATTTTAAATCGTTTACGCATGTAAACTAAAGAATATCTAAATATCTATGAATCGTTGTATGGTATTCCATGTAATCTAAAATTCGCATAAATTTTTAATTGTACAACGAAAGGAGATTTAATGCGTCTGCCCTTTTCATATATTTTTGTATATGCATGCTATAACATCAATAAATACCTGTGATAAAATAAACTCTGATAACTCATGTATGGTATGGCTGCGTAGGAAAGTGCTTTGCAGTCCATAGTTTTATATCGTATATCACTACGTACTCTTAAGCAATCACCTGTAGTCCAATTGTACTTTTTTTCGTAAACTCTTCACTTCGATTAAATTTTATCCTTAGCAGGATGCTACTATGTATTACTATGAATTCACTCCTTAAATTCATCTTTATGGAGCTAAACAATTAGAAATCCAATTTTACAAACCTACAGGGATAATTATGGTATATCGGTACAGTACCATTAACATATCAAAACATAATAATTACTGCGGAAATCCAAGTATCCGCATGAATACAAAATTATTGAAAGAATGAAAAGATGGGTTTATTAGTCTATAGAAAAATAATTCAAGTTGCGTTGTCAAGGACTTTATGTTAGTTCATATTTATAAATTTATTTTAAATGTAGGTATTTCGTTACAAAGAACTTTCAGCTCTGACTATGGAAAGAAATAAAGCGAAATATATGAATCTTAATACTAAGTTAAGAACTGGAAATTGTGGCTTGCATTTTATGCATCATTGTTGTAAGAATATAAGTTTTGCAAATAGCAATATGTCGTAAGGCTATCAAATTTTTAGATTTAATCAATGCCTAGAATATAAATATGGCGCAAGTCGAAATATAGCTTAACTTAATTCTAGATACCATGTTGGCTACTTGCATTCGTATTTATCCAATACAGAGCAAAGAGCTGTATTATTCAGGTTGTGGCGTTGATTTTTTGACGCAGGAGTTTGAGACGGACTTGGAGATGAGAAATATTACCTTGCAATCGCTGATGTCGACGCAGTTCGCCGAGTAATCGCTGCTCAAAGCAGCCCAAGTGGCGAGCAATATCAACTGTATTCAATTTAGAGCATGCCTGCCTATCTTCAGCAATCAGCATAATACAATTTATAATCATAAATGGTAGTTGATCAATTTCGACGAGAACCGCTAATGGTACTGTAATTAAGGTAACAATAAACTTGTGGAGATTTGGATTATTACTCAACAAGCGAATATTATTGGGAAATTTAATACACGAGGAGAAGACGAAAACAAGATCAGATATAAAATCGCTTGATTTCATTAATTCTAATACAGAGGTAAGATTTGATGAACAAATTGCGATAATAGTTTCGGTAACCATAGTTGAATGACTTGATAGGGGATTTGTAACATGCGATGCGCGGATGATATCACTTAGTATCTGAATAGCATTTTCCATTGCTAGGCACATTTCCTCGTTGGAGGCGGAAAACTTGGATGCTAATATGAAATTTAGCAATTAAATCATGTTCTGCCGGCAAAAAATATACAATTTATTTTTGACGATAAATCTTACTTCTAAACACGTTAAGCCCATTAGTGACCACACAGTCAATAATGTCAAGATTACGGCATAGCGCGAGAACAATTTCTACATGCTTCTCACTATTGCAAGCCTAAATGAAATAACGTTCATTGTAAGATGCGATACGTTGATTTTTGCAATAGTTTTAAGGGACCGATGTAATATTTATTCTACATTACAGATAATACAATCATTTAACTAACCACTTCAATAACAAGCTGGACTGCTAAAGTCGCATTAGAGCAGGTTTTAACTTTGGAATCCGTGAAAAGGGATAGTAGAGCCGAAAAGTTTTCCCGTTGGAGAAGAATTTCTAATCCATGCATATTTTTACAGATTGATCCAATCTACAAGAGAGTGGTTAATGAAGCCATTGAAGCAATATCCAAAAATATATCAGAAATATGCAGATAAAAAGCACAGCTTTAGGCCTTACTTACAATATGTAGACCTCCATTTACAACATTAGATTTATAATTTGACGTTACCATTTCGCACAGTGTTTTCGTAAATTGACGAATGTCATTGAAGACTAATGCATTCCCTCCAGCACTACTGGCCAGTTTGGATAGGCAATCATCATCTTAACGAAACAATATTAAAGTTACCCGTTAATTTGTATAATAATATATTTATTAAAATATCAATAGTCACTGCTGGCTTTAATTAGAAAGGAATTAAAATTACCAGTGATCGCATTTGCCACTGCATGAAGGAACATGGTCAATTTATTTTCATCTGCAGCTGCTATGTAGATACTTAATAGGTTGTAAATCAATTTCCACAACTTTGGCCCATCACAGAAATGCAGTAGGTTTCCTATACGTAATGGAAATTGTAATTTTACGTCCTGTGTAGTAAAACAGAGCTTACCTATATCTAGCTCAATAGTAAAATCCTCCACCTGGCCTATCTTTGAAAAACCGCTTTGTTACAAAATTTGCAATAACCAATAAAGACTTTGATATTGAGCTTATTTCATGACTTGAGTCCTGCAAGGAGCTACTCTCCTGAATAATGACATTTTTACATAATTTTTTAAACTTTTTACACGACAGACCATCCAGAGTTAAAAATTCGAGAAGGATTGATAGAATTAACATTTTAAGATTAGTAGCGATTTTCTCAGGAATCTGATTTTGTTCCATTTCAACGCAAGTAGTAAACTTTGCACAAAATTTGGCAGTAATTTTCCAGCTTACGATAAGACATTGATCTACGATTTGAAAGGAATCTGAAGCTAGTCGGTTAGAGTCAGCAGATTCCGTGAGATGATCTCTTTGCATTATTTCTTGGGTAAGGTTATTTAAGGCCAAATAACATGACCTTACGATAGCAAAAGAATAAGGTTCTGACTTGACTTTGTCTTCTTCTGTACATCTCAATCGATCGATGTATTTTATATTTGACTGATCACAACTCAAACTAGGAAAATAGTTTATGAATGAGTTGTCTAAGCCAGTGGAATCATCTGTTAACGGTTCAACATTTATGATTATATAAGACATCAAATCGTTGTGTTGGCTGTCTAAAGTAGCTATCAAGCCAATATAACTACATAATGAAAAAGTATTAACACAACGTAACAACAAATTACATAAATTTTCGACGATATCCTTCCTACAATGAGCAGAACCACATTTAATAAAATGTAAATGATGTCCAGTAGAATCTATGCGAATAATTTGACTACGAGATTGAATTAGCCAAGCATGAAGTAATAGTAAATTTGAAGAAGTTATTTCCATCTTACTGTAGTTACTCCGTATTAATTCATTATCTAGGTAATGAAAGAATAAATTTGCTTTCTCGTTAATTAATAGTAAACAGACCAAAGCGAAGGAAGAATAAAATTCTGAACTTTCCGAGACATATCTATAGTATATATAAGCAATAAAAGCAGGTAGACATTTTAGAATAAACCCATATAAATGACTGTGGTAAAACAGAGCTTATAATTTTTGTCTACAAATTTATCGCGAATAATTACCTTAAAAAGCGACGGCATAAGATTAGATTATCGTCAATAAATGTTACAATATTCTGTTGGCTTTTAAACTTCCAGTAATAACATGTTCTACTCTGAATATCGAGGTACTGATGATATTGAGCCAGAGATAATCTAGCCATTGCCGTGACAAGTAAAATAACTTCTGATTTTGACGTTGCAATATCAGTCAACATCTCATAATTTCCTTTCTTTAACGCATCTCGATAAATTATGGACCATAGCTTGTCGTGATTCATGATCGCCTGAACAATGCTAGTACAATATTGATCTTTAGTGCATCCACTCTCGTTAGCACTTGCTGCATTAGAATTTCGTTTTCTTGACATTTTAAGACTTATTGCTTTTTTAGGTGGCTGATAATTGCTGCCAACATTTCGTAATTCTTCGGACAACAGCTTCGGTATGATAGTTTGTAAAATTAATCTATAATTATGGTCATTGGTAGCCAAAGTTTCCCAAAATTGAATGAAATTAATTGATAAATAAGTATCTTTATTATGTTCAAGTAATTCCAATAAGAGAGAGGTAACGTCACTGTTGTAATTGATTACTTTGTTATTAAAATAGCTTTTATATAGCTCTGACAGTAATTTTCGTTTCAATCTCATTATGTTCTTTACATTTAAGTTATTTAGCGAGCAGTCCTGCTTGCTTAACTGTATTTCATGTAAATAAATATCGACCATTTGGAAATAACCATTACATTTCCAATTACCGTTTACCTCGTCATATTGCTCACAAACTTTAGTAAAACTTTCGCAGAAATGGTACCACAATGAAGAGTTTTGATCATTTAATATGTATCTTAATATTATCCACAATTTTTGGTTCTTGTCACACATACTAGGTTGCACCTCTCGAATCTGGCGATTGGATGTCGCTAGAATAATTTTTATAACCTATTAACGATAAATGTAGGAAGTCTTTGTCATTAACATACGCGTATCTGTAATCTAGCACTAACTAGGACCGTATTTACAGTATCAGACTATCAATTTTCATGTAAAAGGTTAATATACCTCTAAACGTATATGTTCTTCTTTACAGCTGTCAAGAAGAAACAATAGCAAAGTTCCATCTTCATCAGGAAAAGTAAATTCTACATACACGTAGTAAGAACGCAATTCTAAATGATTGCATAAGCTTTAATGATGCTAATTAAACGATAATATAAGTGCATCTCATTGCTATCCAACCTGAAACACCAGTATTGCTTGATTCCTCGTTGGTTAATAGTAACCACCATGGATCACTCGTAATATTAACAACGCTAGGATATTGATACATAATGTTAATTAAAGCTTGCTCAACTAAACCATTAGGAAATTGATTTCTAAAGTCAGCGCAGAATTGGCATTCATGGCTTGAGCTCAATTGCATGAACAGGCAATATAACTTTTTCGATGTCAAGCAACGATAAAATTCCTTCCATTCACTTGTATCTAAATTTCAGTGTTGAAGTTGTATTAAAAGTAAACATTGATATGGCAATGTATAAAGATAAGTGTTGCAAATCATGTTATGACATATGTAGATTTACCTGCGCTTGCATAAGCGATATTAAAATAACGCATTAAAGTGGAAAATGACATTTGATTTATAATTTGACATTCTTGCTTTTTATCTAACGATTTAACCAATAGTTTAAGCAAGCAATTGCACGTTTTGCATTCCTAAAAATTGAAATGATTCAATTGAGTTACAACAACTAGAAAACTTTTGTATCCTCTTGCAGGATATAGAATTTACTATAAGCTAAAGAATACTTTCGTTAAAGCTATTGGACTAAACCGATATATAAAAGAGAATATTATAATTTATTCACATTATAAATCAGTTCCTGTTAGATGGTAAGAATAGAATGTAAGCAATAAATTCGTTTTAAGTTACATAGAAACATCTAATTAAGATACCTGCCATTGCCTAGCACGGAGAGCACATTGATCAACAACAGCCAAGACCTGAGTGCAGCTTCCTTCACCGTGCGAAAAGAGAAGATGAAGGACATGTTGCGGTGGTTTATCATTATGTTTGCTAGCACTAGCTAAAATGCACTCTGTAACATCTATAGTGCTACAGGTTAAGGATAAATAATCATATCTGAAAATTTTAATCACACCCTATTCTGCAATGAGCTCAAGACTGTCGATTCTGAGATTGGTATTATCATCTAAGTGGATAATCTTCAATTTCACATCATCATCAGTATTGACAATAATCTATCAATCTATAGCACTTTAGACCCTTTTGATCAGTTACGATTTGAATCAATGAAATTGGTGATAGTAGGCAATTTAATCTATGGTTAACCTACGAAATGAATAGATGCAATACTGAAGATAACAAATTTGATAGAACCTAAATATCAACTTTGAATAACATTCTGATGATGCTGTCAAGAGTTAACATGGACATTAACCTATCAGTCCATCTACTGAATCAAACAATTTCTTCGATGTATTAAGATTTAAGACATGCTCTATTGAACTATTCAATCCAATGAGCGATTACAATTATAAGCAAATTAATTTTATCTTTAATATACGAAAATAATTAATCCATGCAAGATCAAATACGAGCTCGCATAGCAAGTTGGATTTGATAGGACCTAAGAGTAAGTTCTCAGCAATGTCGTCATGATGAAACGATGTCTTCGATGTATTAAGACCTGAGATATGCTCTATTACGCAATTCTATCCAATGAGCGATAGCAAGTCATTTAATTTACCATTAATCTACGAAAATAGTCGATGTAAGATCGACTACAGCATTAACATACGAAAATAATTAATCCATGCAAGATTTAACACGAGCTCGCATAGCAAGATTGATTTGATAGGACCTAAGAGTAAGTTCTCAGCAATGTCGTCATGATGGAACGATTTCTTCGACATACTCTATTACACGATTCTGTGGCATGAGCGATAGCAAGTCATTTAATTTACCATTAATCTACGAAAATAGTGGATATAAGATCGACTACTGCATTAATATACGAAAATAACTAATCCATGCAAGATTAAATACGAGCTCGCATAGCAAGTTTGATTCGATAGGACCTAAGAGTAAATTCTCAGCAATGATATCATGATGAAACGATTTTTTCGACATATTAAGACCTTCGACATGCTCTATTACACAATTCTATCCAATGAGCGATAGTGAGTCATTTAATTTACCATTAATCTACAAAAATAGTCGATGTAAGATCGACTACAGCAAGTTTTGATTTGATAGCACAGCTAGGATACAATGCAAATCCGCCGGAGTTAGCGTCGGTATTAGCTCCAGTAAAGCGGGGAAATTCCGTGGAGATTGGCAGATCTGTTGAAGATACAATTGTTGATGCCTTCGGCTCGTCATTATCTGTTCATCTGTAGAATTATTCGTCATCCAAAGCTAAAATCTGAAGCTCTTTCCTAACCTCTTCCATCCATCTTGTCCTTTGCTGGATACTGTCGTAAACAAACAGTAGACGACAAACACTGCAAATTCAGTTCCATATAAAGCATACCTTTGTGTATCATTCATCGCTGATAGAGCTGCTAACTCTATGGAATACAATTCCATTTTTGTGATCCATATGATATATTGCATTTATCAACTCTTTTCTAGTACCATTCCTATCTTTAATATGAATATGGCCTAAATATCATTTCCAAGATGGTCTACAGTCTTAACGAATTCGTCAATAATTCCAACTTAGGAGACTTTATTTAGCAATTTTCTCCTAAATCTTTTCAGTAGTGTTGAAGAGATTAGCTGTAGATAGCTAACGCTAAGCCATGATAAATTGCGATGGAAATGAATACGAATATAAAGCAGGTTATAAGTCAGCTATAGAGCTGCTTGTCAGCAATTTTCTCATGACTTTCCCTAATATTGAAGACGGTAAAATGATGTTATATGTAGCCTAGAAATAGATTCGATTTAATTATACTGAGTTAATTAAGGAGCAGTCAGCGAGCAGTTTTTTTATACTAGGTTCGATAATGTTCAAATTGCATTACCAGATTATTAGCGAATTATGGCAAGAGATTAGCTGTAGATAGCTAGCGCTTAGTCATGATAAATTGCGATGGAAATGAATACGAATATAATGCAGGTTATAAGTCAGCTATGGAGCTGCTTGTCAGCGATTTTCTCATGACTTTTCCTAATATTGAAGACAGTAAAATGATATTATATGTAGCCTAGAAATAGATTCGATTTAATTATACATGCTATACTACTGAGTTAGTTAAAGAGCAGTTAGCGAGCAGTTTTTTATACTAGGCTCGATAATGTTCAAATTGCATTACCAGATTATTAGCGAATTATGGCAAGAGATTAGCTGTAGATAGTTAGTGCTAAGTCATGATAAATTGCGATGGAAATAAATACGAATATAATGCAGGTTATAAGTCAGCTACAGAGCTGCTTATCAGCGATTTTCTCACGACTTTCCCTAACATTGAAGACGGTAAAATGATGTTATATGTAGCCTAGAAATAGATTCGATTTAATTATACATGCTATACTACTGAGTTAGTTAAGAAGCAGTTAGAGAGCAGTTTTTTTATCCTAGGCTCGATAATATTAAAATTGCATTATCAGATTTTGAGCGAATTATGGTAGGAGGATTGGGCACTTATTTCCTTATAATAGAATCTCCAATTTTTATTATACTCCAGTATTTTGGCTAATATTACATTATTTTGGCAAATAATTGATATTAGTATTGAAGATCAACTATAGATATATATATATTTATACGCTATTCATAATTCATTCATCGATGTTGAAATACTTCATTTACATCTTCTGTTGATCCGTACAAAAATATGCTAGCTGAACTAGCGCAAGAGCTACACTATATTATTAAAACAGGAGCAAGACTACCTACACAGGATTGCAGTACGCTATTTCTATTTTTCTAATCAAATAATCAAGTAATTATATCTAGTTGAAGTAGAAGTAGGTGAGAGCTGCGTCCAATGTCTTTTTATAAGAATCAAGATGGAAGAAGCTCTTTCAAAGATTGCATGAACATTTATCAAAAGTAGAAATTAGCGAGATAGACAGTAAACACATAGCACAACCAAAATAGAAGTTATTTATTGCATTTCTTCTCGATAACGCTATAGCAAAGTGATTGACATAAACACTGCTAAAAATATAAAGATAAACTAAAAAAGAACAGAATAAATAAGGCTAACACAAAGTGATTTGTTAAACAGTTACAGGTCATGAAATAATCTTCAAATCTATTCAAATTACTACTAAAGATTCCTTAGTGCTAATACTTATTGCAAGAGAGTAAAACATAAAGTATTTGCTATCATCGCTATTTATGACAAGCTGAAAATTAAGTTAGTTCCATATTCGCTTATAATCTTATACTATACGGTATTTATGATTAATTTATTGGTAATCTTTTAACTCGAATAGCATCGGATCTTCAGGTACTAAAATCATTCGAGTTGTCTGCCTATTCTCTATTTCATTCTTTACCTCTATAGAGCATTTGGGTAGCAGCTATGATTATGAATAAAAAATTGCAATTTTTATAAATATATATACAGCATGCTAAATAAAAATACCGCTAGTATAGGCGTATTCTTACTTGCACAAGCAATGTTTCCAATTCTAATTCTGCAATACGCCTCCCTAGACACATTCTAGGTCCAAACCCAAATGGAGTGAATTTATAACCTCCTGCACTTTCTTCGCTGTCACGAAGCCATCGCTCCGGTTTAAAGTTATCCGGATCACTGTATAATTCCGAGTCTCGGCCTATTGCATAGGATGCTGCCGTTACGAAAGTCTACAGTAATAGATCGATTTTAGTGTCAGTAATAAGTTGCATCAGGAGATTCTCAAATACTTAAATGACGAATATAGTGACTGTTCGTTACATCTAGCTATATCGGTCAATAATTGAAATCATACTCCTGCTGGAATTTGATAGCCACCAATAACGGTATCTTGCTTAACCTTTCGTGGAACAGATGGAGCTACCGGATATAGCCTATACAATATACATGTACAGTTTCCGAGAGTTGATCAAAATAGAATTACAGCTGAGGTATTTTAAATACTTGTCTAGGATATAGAATCTCTCTATATACAGTATCCGATATACATGATATACCTGTAAATATTGTCATGTTATACTACAACTTACCGTAATGTTTCTCGAACACATCCTTTTAATAACGGCATTTTATTAATCATTTCAGATGTTAATTTTTCTCCATCTGGCACAACCTGTCGTATTTCATCACGCACCTTTACTTGAGCTTCAGGGAATTTTCCGAGATTATACAATAACCATAAAGCAGTATTGGCAGTCTAAACAACGAAAATTGTTTTCATACGTATACTGCATAGAAAGAGGATAATCGATTTAACTTACTGTATCAACACCAGCTATAAACAAGTCCATCATGTTAGCATTAATTTCGTTTAAGCTTAATTTTTTGGTATTTAAAATATAAGCTAAGAATTCCGTTTCCTCAGAATCTTGTACGTCCTTATTCTCTTTGGCTTTATTATTAATTTCTTGCAATTTTTGATTAATAACTTGGCTTCCGTAATTGAAAATTCGATCGCTATAAAGTAAAAATTCATTCCACCATTGCTTCTTTTTAAAAATGTTGTACGGTGCAAAGGTTAATGAATGACAGCTTGTAAACATTTTGGCCAAAGATTGGTAGAAATATTCAGCATCTGGATCAACTGGATCGTTAAACATTCCTAATCGCTTTTCGAATAGTACTGTTGCTATAGCTATATAAATAGGATAAGACAGATAAAATTCTTATCAATGATCGAATTACTATCATACTATGATAAATTATATCGTCGTTTATAAATAAACTAATCGTCTTTTAGTTTACTTCAGTTTTCAACCATCAATTATAGTTAATTCGCCTATTACACATATCTACTTAGTACTTATTGTAAGCTCAAGTATGCATTAGTAATGTAATGATTACTTTATATTTTGCCTCAGTTAATAATCTAGTCGCATTTTGCATGATGTACCGCCATAAAGTGTAACTTACATTCCATGGACCATTTAAACATTTCATTTTCAATATCATGAACGATACCATTTTCGCCTCTGAGACGAAGTAATTTCTTGACATAGTCTTGTGAGACTCCATCGACTCGTTCAGTATATGCTAACACTTCTTTTGGTCTCATCATTTTCTTATCCATAACACTTCTGGCTCGTCGCCATGCTTCGTCCCCACTATACGCAAGATATAAGATCAGATTGAAATATCTTGCTAGACTATTAGCAGATAACTTTCATCTGGCAAAACGATTAATTTTATCGAAAATAATATTTCTTTGGATTGAAATCTATTTAATGTATTTAACATCCTAGTATGACAAAAGTTAAAAATTTTTTTTACTTATTTACAACAACAATATGGGACCGGGTGGTTTTACACTTGTTAATGTGCTACGCGGATATGAAAGTTTTAAAATTGTGTTAAAGATAGAAAGAATATTTTGAGATTATAGCATGCTGAAGTAGTTTTTGTATTGCTGTATAATTGTAAGGCGTAGCTGAAAATATGGCAACGATAACTATTACGAACGATAGATGATTGCCATTTTCTCTACTTTATATTTTGTTTATAAAGATGAAATGTCCGATTGTACGAGTAAGGGTTAATTCTTATGCTATTATTGTCCAATTTATGTTGAAAATATTATGCGATACAAAGAAATTGACGGAAATTTTCACTATCTTCTTCAAGTTAAAATAATTCCAGTGTCTTTATCGATAGAAATGTAATTTATATCTGCATTATATTTTTATTCGTTCGTTTTACTGACCTACCCTAATAATACGCCAAGAGGCATCTTGCGATGTGAACGATAATCAATTAATTTTTGAAATATATTTAACGGTCTTTCAGGATATTTGCCTTCACTACGAAAGACTGCCGCGACGTCTTGAGGCTTGGAAACATAAACTAAATCGATGCCAAATAAAGCTTCACGATAGATTGGCCCAAGCTCTTCAAATCGTTGACGATTGATTTTATAGATATACTTTAATCCTTCACGCCCATTGCGAAAATAATCTAGAGCAGTACCAATAAGAGGAAGACGTTTAGGTTGAGGAATGTCCTCGTAAGGTTTAACACTTTCATTAATCTCGACTGATGTTGTTTGTAGCCTACAACTGGTTATCCAATATCGCTGATATAATCGGCCATGATTAGATAAACATTTTATCGATGAAGTATACCCCAATAATTGTTTACAAACGGATGATGGAGAAATAGATTTAATGGCTTGTAATACGATCATGTCGTGGATCGATCTTGATTTCTACACTCTCTCTCTTGCAATAATTCTATCGATAATGTTAGCCTAAGCTCGATAACATTGGCTAATACAAAATTATCATAAAAATGAGCGACGCAACCCTATCAAAAATGCCAGAGAAGAAATTGGATATCAGTCAGACTCTAATCAAGGATGCCGGCTGGAGGAGTTTTTGTATACAATGTTATCTAAGGCTTGATTGGTGTTTATCTCTTTGTAGGTAAGCAAAGGTCAAGTGTCAAGAATCTAGGGTTCAAGATATAGGGTTAAACCAGGAAAAGCGTGTTCGATTATCTACAATTCAGTGACCTCTGTCTACGGAAGTGTTTCATACCTCTACCTGCAGTTAGCAAGCTAACGTAGCTGGCCAGTATTTTGAAATGGGAATATCCAACTTTGCATATTATGAGCTACTGTGCAAGGAAATCATTCATTGCCTATACTGCACTTGCTTCTCTAGACTACTTTACATTGATCCATCGTGGATGGATCAGCATGCCCATTCTGGCTATCAATGATCCTCTCCTCTCCTTTCCATAGTAGACTAATTTAAAGCATCGGCTATAATATTTAGAAATACCATGCTATCGAACTCTTCTGCATTGGATATATGCTCGTATACATCGTCTAAGGAAACATTTCATGCCTGCTACCGTTAGCACTGTGCACAATTTTGCACTCCTTTCATCCATCCACTAGTATGCCAGCCAGTATCTCCAATTTCCTCAACAAACTACAATGTTTTGCCATTAAAAGCTTCCTATAGGACATAAAGCATACTATATGCAATGTCATATAGTGGCTTATCCTTATCCATAGTACACTGTATAACTTTCTATATTCTCATGGACTACTGCTGTTCAAAATACACTTGTAGTCATGGTAGCCCAATGCCCTATGCTCTACTATGGCATGAACTCCTCGATACAGTAATTATCCATTGTGCCGAGGCCTAATATCCAGTAGTCCTTGGTACTAGGTATGATCACGTATTCATTTCTACAAAACAGTTTGCTAGCAAGACTGCAACTTGATTTGGCTGCTTTGTACAGCAGTTCGTAGAGTATTTTCCCTCATGCACTAGCCAGTAGGACTAGCACTGTTCTAATCAATCAAATCTGTTGACGATAAATAAGGGTAAGGTGCTAACTAACTTAACAAGTGATTAATTATACACGCAGTGTGCATTCAACAACCAAATCCAATCGATTCCGCTCTGATGCGACTAGATCCAAGAACTCTTGCCTAGTAGAACTCTCCACTTCATCCTAGACATCTGCATAACCCGTAGTCAATCGCATCCTACTCCTTGCTGAAGCTAGCTCTGGCCGTAGTAGTCATCATTAAAAGGTAACGACAATATTGTGGTTGTTGTTGTGAGTTCGGCTATTTTTTTATTATTATTATTATCGGGTTATCCAACTGCTCCAGAAGTGATTTGAAACATAGAATATCAATAATCTTCATAATGTCATCCTTGATCGTTTCTGACCAGACTGCAAGCCAACGACTTGCCTAATTTTGTAGAACATTAGATAGCAAGTCGTCCTCACCGCATTGGTAATCATATCCAATAGCGTTATTGTGTTCTTCTTAATTATTTCTACTCTAGGACTGATTTGAAATTAAATGGCTATAGAGAAATGTTTACTATAGCATTATTGATCGTTTTACATCTATAGCAACCCAATCTCTTCCGTGTTTCCCTTCAATAGTAATATGAAATGAGAGAATTCTTCTTGATAGTAATAGAAGGTTATCTAAGATTGTTGGTTATCGTTATACAGTATATCACGTTAGCAAATCGCTATGACTAATTTTCTCCATGAGCAATATCGAAATTTTCCCCATCATTTTCACCCAATTTGCCCTCTTATCTAACCATAGGACTGTTTTTATCGATAAAATAGGAATAACTACACAACGGCATCGTTTTGCCAAGCCTGCAATCCAATCCCTAGGGTCATTGTTTAGCTTTCTAAATTTTAGAATTCATTAAATAACTGTACAAAAGATTCCGAGATAGTTAATCGATATATAATCAGATATTATCTGTTCTTGTTTTTATGATTATTTAGATTCTATTATCTCCCATTAAAACTAAATCTAATTGGGAACATAAGAACAGAACATCTCCACGACGTCATCGTTTTCGCTCAACGGATATCGTATCTCCAGACCATTTGGATTCAATATTATAGAATTAGTGAGGAGACACTGCAGTATACGGTATAAGTTTGAGCGAGTAAAGGTAGCCAAGTAGTTGGACATTAGGTGACAAGTCTTGAAGGTAAACACAGTTACTGAAATCGCAGATCGGTGTTGAAGCATCCTTCACATTGATTGGATCCTTGATGATGAATTGTTTCCGGGATCAAGCGATCAGACCTTTTCGTTTAAGTTGGTACGCTAAGAAGCCACAAGTTACCTGTCGAATTGTTTGTCTGGTAAGTCATAGCTATTTATACTGTACTTTTCAAATTGGAAGCCATGCCATTTCGTCCAAGAGATGTGGCACTAAATGATTCATAGACTTAGTCAACCCTTCGACACAATATTTCATTGGATAGCATATATTCGTTGATATATCGATACTCTGATCAGTTCTAACAACATCCACGCCATTTGCAACTTCCGCGAGAGATGTGAACTTGGTCAGTTCTTACACGATGCCAGTAGATTGAAATGATTTAATTTTACAACAATCCATGTAAATTATGCAAGTAGTATCAAAATATTGATATGATGGTACTGTCATTTTAGAAAATTCTCATTCTAATTAATATCTTCAACTTCAATGCCCTCTCCAATGTCAGGATCAATATGAAATTAGACAACGGTGCTATTATCCAATCGAACTGAAATAATATCATTTTATCAAATCTATAAGAAAATGAGTAATTAATAGCAATGGTGAACACATGTTTTCCTTTATTATTTATTAGACATCATTGAGCAAAATTTTCTAGCTTGATTAGCCCAATAACATCTACAGTATATCTTCCCTCATCATTAGGGTAAATATCAAATCAGTTAATGGCGATTTCATCCTACTGCATCGAAACAATATTATTCTGTCAAAATGATGGAAAAGTGAAGGAATAGTAGCCACAGTTAACTTACAGTATCTATCAAACTATAATGAAAGTAATTTTTTCAAATTTTTTGGATCCATTATCCCATCACCTTCAGTATGATCTTTTCCTTTCCGACTTGTAGGATAGATATGAAACTAGTCGATTGCTAGTCTACTGATCTGCTACGACATTACTTTAACAAAGTTATGAGAGAAACCGTGATGTATAGCAATTATGAGGAAGGGTATCATTTATTCACTGGACTACTAGATGATCATTTGTAGTAACATCTAATAACCCGTCGAATTTATACTGATTGCTATGATATTTTAAATCATAATTATGGCCATCAAACTGAGTGTGTTTCCTTTCTTTATGTCTGATCGGTCAAGATTTGTAATCCTCCAATTCTACGCAACCTTACCGCTTATTGCTACTCTCAACTAGAAATTGTTATCCTACAATTACGTAATTTACACTACAAAATTAAGCTTCTTTATGTTGCTTATAGGAAGGACTTTACAAAGTTGATACTGTAGATCAATGCTAACACCGTTCTATCAAAATCTGACTACTAGGCGATTCATATTTGGAGTTTTTCCAAGACTTTAAAACATCTCCTGATTTTAATTCTGCATAATGGTATAACTGAAATTTTATACTTGCAGTTTTTTAAGGCACACACTGTCATTAAAGACTATCGGGAATAGATATCAGATTAGTATAGTATTTACCAACCAGCTCGTATTTTGATTAACTAGTTAGCATTTGTACATTCACCATAACCCTAACAAAGATTGTATATTTCTGTTCTATTCTTATTTTATTTAGGTATTTTCACTGGTTGTGATTGGTTGTGTGGCAACTGCTAAGGCAGCCAACCATGGAGACTGCCCAATTAGTAATGTCGATTCCAATACATGCAACTACGAATTTGGATTAAGTGTTGTAGCCATCCTAGCCGTAATACTATTTCTGTACTTTGATATCTACCTTGGACGATTACAAGACTTTAATATGGAGAGAAAATTACTGGTGATCGATATCATTGTAGACTTTGTCTTTGTCTTATTATGGTTTATTGGTTTTTGGTACCTAATTAGTAGATGGTCGGAATCCGATAGGACTTTGCTAGCGGGTTATGTAATCGATAATGTCAAAGCTGGGCTTGCTTTTAGCTTTCTTTGTATTTTATCCTGGGTAAGTAGTATTAATAAGACTAAGAAAGTACTGGACCAATGAAATATTTTGGATGGAAAAAAATTTTTAATTTGCATTACTCTATCTAGCACCTATAGACATCTACTTCACGATATTTACACTTCAACATGCAGTGTTCTGATAACCATTATGCTATCGTATCATTTCCTTTTACCTCATTAAACTATTGAAAGTGATTCCTTATTTAAAATCTCTTTCTTGAATCATAGGGAACAGCTTTTGGAGTTGGCATCGTTAAATTACGTGTTGCATCGCATACTGTAATTTATGACGACGGCACATCAGAAGCTGATTATATAACTTCTAATCAATCACCAACATACGTCATTTCAAATTCTGCTATTTAACGAAAAAATTTCACTATGGTTTTTTAGACCACACTAATTACATTATTGATCAATAAATTCTTACCCGTTTCATACGTTTACTAACTAGGCATTCTAAATTACCTATATTACTATATATTGTAATCAATTATTATAATATGTGTACTTGTAATTTTCATGATCGATGTTGTCTACCTTTCCCATCCTTACAACGAAGGCAATAGTTTTATTTATTTTTGTTTTTTTTCCATCAATACTTAATCACCAAATAGCATCACTTATATTGTGTAATTATTTGTAAATTCTTATTTATTTTATTGGTGCATTGCTGCTGTTACCCATTAGAAATAATAACGTTACGTTACGAGCAAGTATATTTAATTTATTGTTAGTTTAATTTAAAAAATGGTAGCAGTGACATTGATCGATATATTTAATTAATCAGCAATTCAGTATACTTCCAACTTGATAGTGATGATTAACTGTAAAAATTATTAATCACAACTGTTATATCACGGCTCATTTGTGTTTTGGAAGTATAAAGATCTCGAATTATGGTCAGCCCATGCGTTACCTCAATGATATATATAGCTCTTCACTATGTAATTACGCTCATTGTATTCATTAGTTGAAAATAAGATAAAATTCGCAGCTTGTTTTCAAACTAACCCACCATTTTCTACTTACAATGGTCATCTTTATTAAGGCATATTGAAGTCAATAACAGCTTACATAAAAACCGTTACACTATTTTAAGCCAATCGAAGCAAAATAAGCTTTGGGTGATCTACCACGGTGATATCAACTTATTCTATTGTCAAAGCTTTCATATCGAATATATCAATATATATGAGATATACTGTCTCTATATGTACACATATACAAACAAGAATACAAATCTATTATAAGGAATTAACTTCCAACCAAAGATATTATGATAGAGTCATCAGGAAATCATATTGAATTTGCAACATAGTGTAACTGTAGTACAGCAATAAATTTACGCCAGGAATGCTGTTAGTAGTAAATGATATTAAAACATTCTACTGTTCTAAATTGCAACAAAATCGAAGGAAATCAGAACCATTAGCATTTAATAAAATTAATCGCCAATCACATTGCAGTATCGCCGTATACAGAGAGCACTAACATGAATACAATAATTATACATATCCTATAGTAGAGTATTTATAACCAATCTATCATTAATTGTAGCCATAATCATATTTATACACTATTATGATGGTTTTTCACGTTTCTGATAAAACAACAAGTATGCACTTGATGTGACTATATTGCTAGATGCAAATGATACCTTGCTGTCGTCAAATAATCTCCATTCTATGAAATGTTGAAAAAATATATAAGTTCACAAAATGTCTTACTAAAACCGTAATTATTTGTTAAGTACTACTTACTAGAGAAATTTTCTCCATTCTTTCCTAGAGGGAATCTAGCGAAAGCTGTATAATGACCACCCATCAATCCACCATAATGATTTACAACAGCATATAAATCGTATATATATGATTCATTGCTATTGGTCGATGCAGAATCGGATATAAAGTCTCGTAAATCCAAGCCACTGCAACAAACGAACGATTAATAAAAGTACCAATAATTTATGATTAAAAAATCATTGTTATCAGAGATTATAATTTGTATATACGAACTCTTCTGGAAAGTCGATAAATGTCGTAACTTTATCGCGAAACATGAAGCTTCTAAAAGAAAATCGTTTCAGCTGAATTATTAGAATAGACGGCAAGCGCCAGAGTGAAAGTTGCTTTCGAGCTTCTCGATGTTCCTTACAAGCTGGACAATACCTTTAACCCATGCAACATGAAAAATGCATAAAATATTTGTGTCAGCCAGCCCCACACCAAACTATAAAGTCAGCAACAAAATTTACAAGTTACCAAGCTTCCTCTGGTAATAGAATTTCCGGTACTGTAAACAACTTTAAGCAATCATATAGCATTGTCGTCTTATCGAACTCTACAACAATACAAATAGATTGTAATGGTAAATTTTTTCTGTTATTGTATATCCAATCAATATTAGATATTAAGGTTGAGTAGTCTCACCAATACCTTCTTCATAGTCCTATTAATAGTATTATTTCGATTAGATTTAGCCATGATTTACCGTTAGTATAATTTTAAATAACTTACAGAAGAAATCGCAGAACGATTTTCAATGCGTATTTGATTATGCGAATTGTTCCAATCCAAGTAAAATTGTGCGATATCTTCGATGTTGACGTCACCTATGTACAAAATTTTATCAATATCCTCCATTCGCTAAAAACACCTTCATTACCTAATAATGGCATAGTCACATTAATTTTGAGTACTAACCATTCTCTTTGTAAAAATCAACATCCTTAGCACTTAATCGGAAGATAGGTGCCGGGACTAAAGTAAATGGTGCTGATTCTTCATGTAAAGAAATAGAAATTTCTCATATTACTAAAGCTATTGCTATATACAGCAGCAACATAATGCTATCATCAAATTGAACTGATTACGTGTATCTACCTGGGCACTTTATATCCATTTCATCCGCTGAATACGTTGTCATCTCGACATCATCCTTATAAACAGTAACCGATTTTCTATAACAAGAAGATTGATAAAAAATTTAAATTACAGTAGATTTATTGCAAGAATAAAATTTGCTTCATTCACGACATCTTCACTTCGATACCATTACATTTGCTGCTAAATGGAATTTAACTTCACTTACATTCCCACTTTGAAAGCTTCATTTAGCAAGTTCGGTAGTGATAACTGTGTTTCAGGTATTGCCAGTATTGCTGGAAGACCAATTACTGTTGGAGTTCTTGCACAATTACGTTTGTGAAATTCCCAATCTTTACGTTGGCACTCACTAAACCATGGAAAAATGTTATTAATATCTTATCATTGCCATTAATTGAATCATTCCTTTCATATCATAACGTACAGATCACAATAAGCCACTGATTCACATTTGCTACATCTTTTCAAATTGCCATTGCTTTCATCTTTATAACAGGCGTTACATTTGTGAACACTAGGAGGGCGAAGAACTCTCTGCAAAGAAAATTGATTATTTAACCTTAACGAATAAACTCATAACGAATTTGCCTCAATAATACATATTCGTATTGATCTCCTTACCTGAATTAAAGGTATCTTTATAACATTTTCCTCTTTACCTACTGGTGAGTCGCTACGACAGTCACATCTACATGAAGTCGATAATTAATAATCCGTGAAAAAATTGAAAGTAACAAATTCATTAAATTGTATAAACTTACGCATAGAGCACATCATATCTGGTCATGTAACTTAGTTGGTCTTTATCTGTAAGCAGCTTACATCGATCATCAGCGTATATTCCTATTAATACAAACTACAAGCAGCAAAATAAATTAACCAAACGTTCTATCGTAAATATTCTATGATACATAATTTTGTAAGACATAAGTGTTATTGATACACATTATGTAATCCTCAGCACAAGTTGATTTAGTTAGTTGGTAATAATTTAATAATAAATTACTAACGTCGTTAGGATGAATATCCTTAATCCAAAGCGATATTTCAACTTTTAATGACCTAACAGTAGCTCCCTTTTCGACCATAAATGTCTTCTACAATTTATGCGTATAACAATAAAACGATAACTTAGACATGGAATATTTGAATTTTAATAATATTCTTCTAATCAATAGCATTACCTGAATACCAGTTCCTGGAAAATTATTTATCACAGGAATAACTTTGATAGGAACTTTTACAGCGGGAATTGGTAATGGTAGGACCATAAACGGATCAAAAGTAGTTGATTTCTATGGTAAAAAGTGAAAACAATTCCAACTCAATAATATGCATAAATATTTCCTTAGTTAAAATTAAATAAAACATAAACTAATCAGGTTCAATATCAGTTAGACGATGGAAGGTATAAGTATAACCTTATCACATTCAGGACAAATCAAAACAGATTTGAACTGGCCAAAAAAGTAGTCCACAATTAACGAATCATTCCGTTTCCGATGTACCATCCAGGCTTCATTTGCTACTTCCTGCAAAGTATTGAAAATAGAATAATTACTTAATTTTACAGATAAGACAATAGATAACTAACTTCATCTTACTTCATCTGGTCTCCCAGCACCCTCAACTACTTGCGTAAGGGGTTTATTTCTTACACGGTTAAGATCCTATAGAGCGGATAGCATTATTGACACATTACGCTTAGTTAGGATATTTAGACACTTGCATTAGGTTGAATATCATTGGCAATTAAGTGACCTCATGAAGTCCGTCCAACAAGTAAGCCATAAACTCTTGCGCATCTTGCTGAGCGTAACCCATAAATTGGGTAGCTTTAGCAGCAACTAAGGACTATATGAATAGATCGATAAAATATCTTGAATGAAACATGTTTACAATATCCAATTATTAGCCAACTAATATAGTAACCTTTAACTTGCTAGGAGAATAACTATGGTATTTTCCACACCATAGAGTCCTTATCAGGACAGCAAATGCAGCCACAATTGCACCTTTACTACCCAATGGATTATCATAATTGATTTCGTTTCTGAGATCACATTCTAAATTAATAAATCAGTTCAGAAACACGATCATGCCGAAATAATGAATTATGAATGACTTCTTGCAATATGCACGTATTTATAACTAATTAAAGATGAATTGATCGCTTAACCTACCCAAGAAAAAATCTCGAAGAGGGCGAGTGTTTGACATGCATTGCAAAATACTATTCATAAAGCAAGTATTTCCAAGGTTATTCAGCCCGGTCATGCCATCTCGGACAATTTTTAAGTCGTTTACAGCCTATTATTAAATTTTTTAATGATCGGTAAATAAGTACCAGTACTAATCATTATAATGCTAAAAGATCGTGAAATACATTTATGAATCTAAATATTATAATTTTAATACTGGTTAGTGTTTGAAGAGAGTTTCTGGTAAGTCTTAACTCCAGATAAATTACGAAATTCATAGATTTTAATTAATTAACGTACATCATCGTAGTCTCCTAATTGCGAATTTCTTAATATTTGCAATGGTATATCAATTGACGCGAAAATAGGCTGGCCTTTACTAATACTTCTATCTGTTGGATTTAAAATAAAATATAAATTTGCATCATCAGAAATCCATGCCCAGGATTGACACTGTATATTTAAAAGATACGCAGCAATCGACAGCTCCGCCATCAATACCGTAAAGAGCCTGTTCCAGATTATGCCATAAACCAGCCACTTCCTTATGCATTATGATCTGAATACCATCGTCCAAAGGAGAGTAAGAAGATTTGCTCGGTAAAATGGTATGACTACAACAATTAATAATACACGATTCCCTTTAATGACGAGGGCTAGAATACGAACTACCAGCAGGAAACTAAGCGTTGCCTTGAAAGTATTTGTATAAGAGTGTTTTACCATAGGTAAATTTCCCATATAAAAGTAGTGGTCTCTGAACTGTTAGGATGCTGCGATAAGAAGGCATTATCTCTATATTGTGATATCAATGATTAAAAATTAGTATTGTTGAATCAACTACGAGTCCAAGCTTAATTAATTTTAAGGTTAGTAGGATGAAGTAGAGGTGTATGGTAACTGCTTTACTGTAGTAAATTTACGATCAAATATTTATACCGCGTTCGAAACTTGACTCGTAAATTTCGTAGTCCAAAGTCAATATCAAGATCCTTTTTAATCAGATTCTTGATAAAAACAGTGATCGACATTTCAAGATCCTCCTGCAAATAGATACAACAAGCAATTATCTGAACCAGCCCTAAATAAATAAGTATAACTACCAAGATATCATCATAGGCTTACATTAGAATCCTTCCAATCGTGCGATAGATAACTTAGAGTAATATTTTTTTCTAGGTTTAAAATTTATAATGCGTAACATAGATTAGCATATTTATCAAATCTGATATACTATCGCAACGAACTTTATTCTAGGGTATCATGTAGATCCCCCTATTTATATCTTTATGCACATCGGCGTATACGTATACCATTGTATATATACATAAGAAATGCTTTAATCCTACGTTATCAAATGGACTTGGTAATATTTAATATCATACCTTTTGCATCGCCATTGAACAGAACTGCATTGCTTCTTTCATTTTCAACAGACTAAGTTTCCACATAAGGAAAAGTAAATACATGTAATTTAATTTTCAGGTTCATATTTCATCTTTAATATTTAATTATTAACAAAGTCATTGTATTGCTACACGTGAAATCACTCCGTTTACTGCATTAACATACCAATAGCTTGATCCAAGAGTAGTTAAAATAGGTCTTGGTTAAGGTGACCTTTAATCGATCACCATCCCAATCCGTATCAAATTCTTTCGGTCGGATAGAATCGTATAATTTGAATTTCTTTAAGGTGAATTTATCTATTACAATAGCATCGATGAAGGGAAAAGAAAGTTAATTAAGTGTAATAATATCATTCTAGGTTGTATAATGATTAATTGATTAATTAACAAATTAATGGTCAACTGCATTAAAGTATGAAAGCCATCATTTATTGAATTCTCGCTGAAAAGCTTATAAAACTACGTCTATTTGACGCTGCAATGCAATGTAGTCATGCAAAATATGCAACTCTCATCTATATGGACAAACCTTCCGTATAGAAAATAATTTCTTTTTCATCAAAACCGAGTAAAATTCTAGAAATCTCTTCAGCTATCTTGCCAAATTTGAATAATAGGACAATCTGATTTTGGTCTTGCTGCCAGTCTTCGTCTACTTGGACTATAGAAGACGAAGTACAAAAAAAAGATACATAAGCTTATACAAACAATAATCCAATCCAAGTTTTTAAGTTGATATTACATTCCCATTGGCATGCAGCACCTTGAAAGTATTTATTAATGGATCAATAACACCCTATCTAATGCTGAAGGAAACCATTTGACTGTAAGAGCGAAGCAATTGATAACCTCATGACAACACTTGGAGGTTGTTTAAGCTCTATACGTGACAATAAGCGAATTGATCAAGATGAACGTCTAGCCTCCATACGTGACGACTGCAGTACTATTCTAGGTCTAGAGTACAGTACAGTATTGCAGTCTGCTTATCCCTGGCTATCCATGGCTACTTTCCTTTTATCAACTCGATCCATACTATTCAATACTGATAGCATGATTTCTCATTATCGCGTGTAATCTACGATGGTTGAGAAGATGATACAGTCTGTAGCTGCAATGTTTACTATTGGCAAGACTTTTGCCATTGAAGTTGACAAAAGACAGTGAATGCGTACAAAATTTTGTGTAGACAGAATACTCAGCATGAACCTGCTAGAAATGATCCTTTCATGTCGATGTAAAAACTCTACCTAAAGCAATTTTATTACTCAAATCAATCAAACTAAGGCAATAGTCCGTGATTCATCGAAACATAGAGAGGATTGAGAGTTTCTCTTTGGCATTGAAATTATTGATCGATCTCTCTACTCCATCTCCATGGATCAGTAAGTCCGATAACTAGCGTCGCATGAATCAATCAATCATTGGCAGCCTACATACCGTCAAATTTTTTGCCTATCATGTTCCAATTGGGTTCTGTCAACCAATTTCCAAGTTTCCATATAATCAAAAACAAGACCAGACCTAACAAGGATGTCAATGGATGAGTAATAATCCAATAAATACCAGCTGAGATATAGATTCCAATTAAATAAACCAAGGAATGGAAAAAGGAGATGGAGGTCGTCATAAATGGCGTGCGCACATCGTGCACTGGCACTGTCTTACTAATGTGACCAGAGTCAAGGCAGTCAGGCCAGGTTGAAGTCAGACCTCAGCCTAGTTTGCTGTACGTACTGTATGGAGTGTCAGGGTACGGGCACGGTTGACGCAAATGTGACGTCTCACCCACCAACGATACAACCACCGGGAGACTGGACTTGCTCTCTAGGTCTCTCAGGTCAGCGCTTCGAGTTGCTCCCCTTTGGCTGCAGTGAGACTTGCAAGGGGGCCTTACGAGAACTTCTACGCTACAGTCTCTTGATGAAATTCATACGTATCTGAACAACTTCTACAGTCTCTCTATCAAATGCCCACTTCTCCAGTATGTGTGTACTGTACACAGTATACTGTAGGATGCCCAACTACAACCATCTACTGTACATTACGTACAGTACAGTGTCGCCAGGTCATCCACTACAAGGCATGCGCATTGCACATGGCCACTGTGGTAGTACAGTACCGAGTACTGTAGAATAGCAGCGTTTCTTCGAGCACCTTGAGACAACGCACCTTAGACCTGATCGGATTTCAATGGCGCAGCAACAATCAAGTCATTCTTATTTAATGAATTCATTTAGGCGATCAAACCCTACTATATAAATTATTTACAGGTTAATTCGACAGTAAACTATCAGTTACCAATACAAGTTGTATTACTGAATTCTGTCAGTAGGTAGAAAACCACCCATCACTGTCTAGACGTAGCTTGGAACCGTTCAATAAATCATGATTGAAAAAGAAGCAGCTAGTCCACATCAATATCATCCAATAGGGGAGACAGTCTTGGGCAAATTTGAACACAGGTTGAGGTTTTATCCTTTTTAGCCTATAAAAACATTGGCAAACCTACTGTTTTTTAGCATTTCAATGCTATTATAGCAACAGTAGCAAGGTCAATAGTCTATAGTCGAAATCTTCCATCATTACTGCATCTTATTGACCTTCAAGTCAAAGCTTATGCAAACGGGGTATATTGCTGTAGAATGGGAACAATTGAGAGCTCCATTCATGCAAGTTAAATGCATCTTCAACAGAAATTTTAGTCCATTGTTGTCTATACGACAGCTATAAAATGGAGAAACATATTATTGTCCACTGTCCCGAAGTTTCCAGTATAAATACCGAGTCTGTATAGTAACTCATTTATTCCAAACTCTTAGCCAACGTACAGTACAGTATAGCAATCTTTGACAGATTCCAAAATCTACACGTTAGCACCATGTATGCGCCCCAAAAAAGGATTGAAATTATCCCCAATTTTTTAAATCTGTAAATACTGCAAATGTATTATTGCTGGATATGAAGGGTAGCTATCATTCAATACAGTAGCAACAAAGATTCCACCTTCAAAGTTAAACTCACTAACAATTATATACCGATTACAATTAGCAGCCTTCCCTACTAAATAAGATAGAAATGAGGACTCCGTTGCCATGACTAAAACAGTATACATAAACTATGATAGATGAAGAAGATAACTTATTCTTATAGACGTAGTACGCAATTTATGGACACTGCGGGTCTATATATTGATGAGTGCAAGATGTTAAAACAATTACCAGGTGTGCAAGATTGATCAATTATTCAGAGAATTTATTTACACAATTTTCCATATAAAATCTACTAGATACAAGAAAACATCAAAAATTGTTGTATCAACGGGCAATTGGACATTACATTCGAACATTCAATAATATTGCCCGATTCATCTTATTAATTCTACATGTATAAGCGTATATTTACGTCAAAATAGCCTAGAAATCATTTACTACAGTAGAAACAGCAAATCATCTAAAGCTATCCTATAATTCAGTTAATAAATGTTATTTTCACACATCTGATGTTTCACATTTCAAATTGATAATTAGCGACAAATTTTGCCTTATAATTACAATGCCATTGCCAGCTGCTAAACTACCTTAAACACATGTAGACTTCCGTACAATCAGAATAAATAATTTGACGAGTCATCACACGAAGAGAGCTTTCACTTTTCCATTATTAGAATATTTCATCAGGTTGCAATTACTAACTCTATTATAATTTCTATATTATACATTAGCATGATACTAGATGGATATAGTGCAAACTAACGAGATTTTCGTACCGCACAATTAGATAATTTCTGTACCATTGGCTTTAAAATTGTGCCGTCATTGACGTGCATAACAATAATTCAACTGTAATTCCCATCTACAGCAATCGAATAACGGTGGTAATAACAATTAGATTTTTGGAGCACTTCGATCGTTGGTAACGGCTTTCCTTAACTTTGAGCCTTTGCGAATATCTTTAAGAAGAGCCATGGTATCTTTTCCTGCCGACTTTGGACGAGGAGTCGATTTATATTCAACATTTGGTAATTTAGGTGCCGGAGGAGGCATCGGAGGAGCTATTGGTATAGTCGATTTGGGGGCTTTTGGTGCTTGAGGTGGCAATGGAGGAGCTACTGGTGTAGTCGATTTATGTAATTTGGGTATTGTTGGAAGTAGCGGGGAAGCTATTGGCGTTGTCACCATTGACGAAGTTTCCTGAGGTTGTGAAAAATTTAATGGAGTAGCCGCTGATACAGGCGATGACGCTGTTGGGCTAGAAGGTGAAGCAGCCATACTCCTAACTCTTGCGGCAATGCTAGCCATGAGATCTGCCCTTGGGTCCGGAGCAGGTTCTGGCTGTGATCGTTGTGAAACAGTTTCAACCCTGCGATTAAAGCGTCATATCGTAAACTTCCTTTGTAGCTATGGTAATTTAATGCATAAAACATTTAGAATGATATATCTACTCACTCTGAGGTCATAGAAGATATTGTGTCATCTTCGACAAGAGAGCTTAAGCCAGGATTGCTGATAGTTGTATGTACTGCAGGTTGAGCCCTTACAAATAGTAACGAACGATACAGATATTAGTCATATTGCAATGCTAGGATCAATTGATCCTACATCAGGGTACCTATCAAGTTATTTAAAAGACTACAAATTTCAATTGTAATTCGAATTTACCTTCCTTTTGAGCTCCTCCTGCGATTAACAAGATTTAGTATCATTCGTGCATCTTCTTTGATATCAACCTGTGCAAAAGATTTGTGAAAACAAATTCTCATTGCTATTTCGATAATATAATATACATGTCTACTGAAATACGAGTCGCTCTACATATAGTGTTCTACGACTTCGACAACAATTTACGTTAACCAATTAATTCATTTATAAACACGGTTATTGAAAGGATCATACTATGACTTACCTGTCCGTAACGTTGTTTTAATTCTTCAAGTTCAACATCAGCAAAAAATGTATGTGTAACCAACTGAATAAATTGAAATAGGAGTCGTAACGTTACTTATTGCTTATTTACATCAAATCATTTTATGCTAAAATAAAAGAAATTACTTAAAAAAAAATAAAAAATAAATCTTGTGTTATAACGCAAATCATTTGAAGAAAGATTATATATATTCTAAATACGCATATTCCATCTCAGCACCTTCTGAAATGATGGTATATTTCCACTGTTTAAGCCAAAGGTGAATTCTAGTATCTATATAAATTTGTAATGTAAAACCATTATTATAATCCTTATATTTATAACAAAGTGTGAATTTCACAATATGTGAATATGTCTATAAATTTAAATCAAAATCGAATCCATATTTATTTACATTCGATTTTTCTTCATTCTTGCATCTTTGAAGATCTTTTACAGAAGGCATTCCTGTCTGTAATTCATAGCCAAATATCATTTCATATAGCATATGACCTGAAAATATAGGTATGAATATCGATATAAGCCAATTCATTTGCCCTTAAAGTTGGATTTAAAAAATAAAGCCAGTTCTCATTTCCTTACCAAAAAGTAATACATCATAAATCTCCGATTTATTTTTAGCATATTGGCTAATCAGAGAGTGGTTACGGGCTTTTCTACGCAATAAGAAATCCTGGTAGCCCAGCAGCCTACAATGGAATTATTTAGCTTTATTCAAGGTTTAATTGGTATTGCTGCTGATCTACCGGCACAAGGGTACCTCCTAAAGCGTTCTCTAATACATATTAATGGATTACTTACCGACAATTTCCTCTTTCTACCATAACATTTCCAGAGTGAATATTATTATGTACAGTAAATCCGTTATCTTTCAAGTATAATATTGCCTAAAGATATCACAATCCATTATAACTTTTGTGTGTTGAATAACAATGCAATCGTTTTGGTTGTAGCTATGTATTCATGCTAACTATCAAATCTTTCGTTAGTAATAAAGGTCTTGATTTAAGCTTGTTAAAATCTAACAAACCTCTAAGATCTGTCTTCCATATCGTTTAATCATGTTTGTCGATATTTTTTTCCCTTTACGACAATATTTAGTTCCCCAGGTACTACGTGGATCAACCTATAGCAACAAAAAATTGTAATGAACAGTTAAGGATCAGCAAAGTGTTACTTGTTGCTTGATCTTTGGCAAAAAATTAGCTTTGAAATATCACGGAACAACCGAATATCAACGTAATTCTAAAGACTAACCAGAAAATGAATCTACCGCAATACAGTTATTTATCTTAAAAAAATTAACCTATAACTGCCGCATCAATATAAATTTTACGTATTTTTGTGCTTACGATAAATGCTATCAGATATCTATATATAATTCAACTAATTTACATGAATTGTACGAAGCTAGAAATTACTATCAATTTAACAACTGATCTATATGCATACTTGATAAATGACGTCTTTTAAGGAACCTTGAGTAGAAAAGGGTTGAATTAAAATCACTTTATTGTACTTCACCATGAAGTCAAATTTGGTAGTGGGCCAAATATAAGGATGCTAACAAAGAAGATCAATTTGAGCTGAGTAAAGATTTAAATTAATTGACGCTTTAATGTCCTTATTGAATTGAAATATTGATCATGCTGTCAATGAAATGTATGAATAAATATCAATGGATAAAAAATGAATTTACAGCGAGATCAAGTAAATTATAATTAATTAAACAGCATGCACATGTAATTTATATGCCTAATAAGTGGAATACCCTAATCAGTTCTGAATGGATGTAAAATAAATCGAAGCTTTTTGAAAACAAGTGCAATCAATTACAGCCTTGCAGTATCATTATTGCTATACAAGTTGCATCATTACGTTCAAAGAAGTGAATAATTCATCCAAGGAATTTGCAGTTTCAGAGGTAAAAGGAAACTTTATGTGTTTGGGTTTGTTTAATAGCTTTAAAAGGCATGAACCCTGTAATTTTCTGTGTCGTACTTCGTACCAGTAGATATCAATATCAGCGCCTAGAATTCCGTGCATTAAGAAAAAGTTGTTGGACGTCAAGGAAAATTACGTCAAGTATTCTACTGTACTAGCAGAAACAACTGTAAGTTTTTTAACTCACCAATTTCGACTAATTCCTTAACAAATATAAATGAGGTGTTGGAGCGCAGATAGAACTGGGCATTCAGCAGAGCCGCATCTATTTATGGTGCAATCAAATTTGCCAACATTTAATAAAGCAATCAGCATATAAAATTACAAGTAGTTAATCATGACCTTGTTTACTAATTTGCTCTTGAAGCTGATCATTATGTAATTTATCAGCAAATCGAACAGTTTCATCGGTTGATGCAATAAAAGTGATACGATCCTTTCTTCTAAATTTATGATACAAATAGCAAAGGTTAGCGATTGACTTTATCCAATTGCTTTCTCCACTGTATTGCGTATAGTAAGGAAAGCATGATTTACAGTTTCTACAACGAAACAAACGATCTAAGCTGCAGGATGCACACTGTACAGTACATTGGTGTGTTGATATCTTAAACAAGTTGATTTTTGCAGTTGTTTCGATAAAGTGAAAGTATCAAATGAATCTGTTGTGTCTCCGGCCTTTATTCCTAAACTAAGATTCCACAAGGTCGGACCTTTGTTGATATCATACACAGCCGGATAGATTACATCATACGAGCCATATGGAATCATTCAATTAACAAGCATGTTTGTATTCGATGACTACGTAACATGACGGCGACCGCTTTCATAAAAAAGGCACTTTATCTATCATGGAAGTGATAATCAACTATATGTAGTAGTACAGATACCCGATATTCAAAACCTTCTCTTTGGTAATATCATCAAGAAACTACAGAAGGATTTGTTTCACGTCTATTGTGAATTACACTACCGATAGTGATTCATCTTCACTATGTATTCGTAAAATAAAACGCAGTCCTTGTTTTTTGGGCGCTATCTGATAATCCTATCGGCGCTACCATTTCGTATAGCGCGAATTGTCATTTCTCATGATACGAGTATGTATACATTAATATTTAGCGTGATATTTGGTAGCTATATATCGCACGCATATTCAATGGAATTTACAAACCTTTTGCAGACAACGACTAGATATACGATTGCCGCAATTAGAAGACCTCCTACTATTACACCACTGGCTATGATAAGGAAAACCTATCAGTAAATTATCAACGTATTACATCATCAGAAAATACATCATAATTATGCAGTGTATGCCATCATTCATGAAATATTGACTTATTGCAATATTATCTTTCCTCTCTAAATGAAAGCCAAGTGATTCATTGTAACAAAAAATAAAAAATAAATCATTCAAGATCATAAATCGATTGTTTCATTCCATCCCTTACCCAAACGATAGCAAGTTCCATGGTGAAATATTCAACTTGTTTGATGGTAATAATACACGTCTATTGGATAGTTGATAGCTATAGGTCAATTATGGTTTTAGGATTCAATTTGTAAAAGCTAAAGCTGCTGATTAATCTTCCGTTTACTACAGTACACTCATGTTGCCATCAGCCGTTTTCTTTCTCAACAAGGTCGTGACGATCATTGCATCAGATTCGTCTCGCTCTGATATAGTCCATTAACACGCATGGAACATCAAGTCCAGTTCAATTAGAATCATTTTCCAATTTCTTCTACCAATAAACAAGTTGTTTTGCAACACTCTCTCCTGTATCGGGCCAAGACTATCTATATCTATCGCTATCGATAAGGGGTCATCCAAGTCGTATCTACGATACTCTTTCTGCTGAGCCTATTGTCTACGACCGTGTTATCATGTGATAAGGCCATTCTTGCTTGCCCTTTTGCTTGTACACTGGCGGCTGCGCTGTCATGCACAGTAGAGACGCTAATAGTGTACTGCACCGCTTCAGCTAAGTATGCACAAGTCAGTACTGTACAGTACTGTACAGCACAGTACAGTACTGTAGTAGAGCATTTTCATTCGCTACGCTACAGTACTAAGTACAGTCAATCAAGATCACGGGACCAGGAGCTGACCTTGTCCAGACGGACGGATGTCATTCTTGCTTGTCCTTTTGCTTTTATACTGGCGGCTGCGCTGTCGTGCACAGTACAGTACAGTAGAGACGTTAAGACTCTAGTGCACAATAGTGTACTGTACGGTCTGTACGGTCTGTACCGCTTCAGCTTTGTCAAACAAGGAATAGAATACGCAAGATGTCATACGAAGCACAGTAACAAGGTATACAGTACTAAGTACTGTACAGTCAATCAAGATCACGGGACCAGGAGCTGACCGCGTCCGGATGGACGGATTCCCCGGTTAATTGGTTGTGGCTAGACCATACTTGTGGCGTAATGCGCCGCACTACAGTACAGTATACTGGCAACATCTCTGCCGATACGGAGTAACTGTAGCCAGCACTGGACTCAACTGCCGTAACTGTATCGCCGCGGAGATCGTCCTTGACACTCCATAGAAACTCGATCCTAAGTACAGGAAAGTTTGAGAGCTGGTCAACGACTCACGACTGGACTCGTCTTTTACTCGATGAAATCTAGTCTAGACGAGATGCTGACTGCATACCAGTCCTTTGCAGCTTCCTTCTTCGTCACTTCGAAATGCGAAGATAGTTCACCTTGGACGATCCCACTCCAATCTGAAATACAAAACACGTTTTCTAAAAATTCAATCTGAATGCACTACTAGGCATAAATCGCGCTATGGATAGAATGAATGAAAATAGGTCATTCCTCCTATCCTCGAACGTTAGCATTTCACGCATCATCTAGAAAATGCAGCGTGTGGCACCTTGCGTAATTTTAGAATCATCATCTCCCACTTCATTTTAATATTTATTTTCATCTATTTCTATTGGAATAGTTTTAATACTTTGGAATGCATCGTACATTCCAAGTACTGTCACAAGGTCATGGTATCTTGCATGATTTCTCTTGTTCAATATAGTAATAGTTAGAGAAGCGAAGCCTTGTCACTCTATTTCAATAGTCAATAGGAAAGAATGACTCTATGGATATTACTATCTTTGATACGAGTATGATAGCAATGGAGGCTACAATAACAGATGGAAATGACTTCATGGATATTCTCATCTTGGTCATCGTCGTATCCGATGATGCTACCGTAGAATGAAAGATAGAAATGGCTCAATTGATTTTGCCATCTATGATATCATAGTAATGAAAGCTACAATGTGAGATGAAAACAACTCCATCGATATGGACTCCTTTGACAGCATTGCATTTGAAAGCCATGATGATGCCATGAGAGATGGAGATTATTCAGTGGATATTGCCAACGTTGATATCATAACATCTTAAATTATCATGAAAATAGAAATAACAAAATTGATTCTCATGATAGCAATGGTTACCAAGTCGTCGTGATAGACAGAGTGACTCAGCTGATCATCCCGTCGTAGACACTAGAGCAATTGATAGTAAGCGGCAATGCAAGTTAGAAATGATTCAGTTAATATTGGCATCCTGATAGCATAGTAACTTAAGCTATTGTAGCTGATGGAAATAACTGTAATTGATACCTATCTTTAGTATCATAATGACCTAAGCTACTATGGAAGACAGAAATGACTCACTTAAAATTACCATTTTCGTTATCACAGTAATTGAAGCTAGAGTGAGAGATGGAATACTATTCAATGAATACCCAATTACCAACCCTTGATACCGAACACCATACTCCATGATGAAAGCAAAAGGTTGTAAAGTTTAAAATTTACCTTATTAATATTTGCAAACACCGTCGTTTTACAGCGAAGGCAGACGTGACTAAATTAAAAAAGAAGTAGCTGCAAACACATTCTTAACGTTTATTATTCACATCAGATCGAATAGGTTCTGTCTTTCTTAAGTGTAAACCAATTCATAAATTACTGTGAGTATTCTCATGCGCTATAGCGCCTAACAGAACGACTAAATTGTAAAATTAATTGAAAGGCTATTTTTAAAACTCTTCTCCGGAGGATCGCTAACATTAATTCTAGTCCTTCAGTAATAGTAGAAGCTGCTTCGGATAATATTACGTAGTCGAGTAGCATAGTTCATTGTTACAAGCTGCATTTATGAAGCATTTAAAGAAGTAAACCGCTATGCTATATTGTAGTACCGCTTTCACAATTGCACATGTTCGCCATATGTGAAAGATATTGTTCTAAACAGGGTCTTCTAACTCAATGGTTCAGAATTAAATTCGTATTTGCACTCTCAAAGCTTATTTCCATGTAGGTCTTTCTATTTTACGCTACGAATTACACTAAGCATTGAATACGATATTGACTTAAATGAGTATTTAATAAACTGAACACATCGATTCTAGCTGCAGTACCAATGCACAGCTAGATTTATGAACCGCATTAGCAGTATTCCAATCACGATATTATCCTGTATTACTGTATACGATTATGCTACTAAACAGTAAAGACAAAAAGAAACAGTATGGTATAACCTATATTCCTCCGAAATGATCCATTTAAGTGACACTGTCACCAAATTACCTCATACATTATGTAATTAGGCTATTTTCATAATTCATTTCATCCTGAAACGAAATAAATCTGATTTATATTTGCATTGAAGGTTTGGGGTTTAACCTATTTCAATATTGACCAAATGGACCTTAGGTCTAAATTTTTGCAGATTATAAAAGAATTTTTCAAATTCAGTTGAAAATCATATCATTTATGGATAATAGCAAGGACTTTAAATGCATGATTAGGGCAGATGAAAAATATTCAATCTATTCTGGAATTAGGATAAAAGTTATAACATGCATAATATTTTAGCACGGCGATAGTATTCGTATCTTAATCTCCATGGGATGAAAAATTCTTAGCCTTCTGCTACTATATCCCCAATTTGCTATACATCATCTTAATGATAAGGTTAATTTATTTTATTTTATGCATAATGGTTATAACATCACTTTACGACCTTTTCATTATAAAATTAAACAAAATTAATGACTTTCTGTTCAATTAGTCTAAAGCCAATTCACCAAGACATTACAAATTGCTTTCATTGTCCGCAATGTTGGATTACGCTGTAGTATATCTCTAATGAAGCTAGTATTTCCGGATATTGTTGTTTTAACAGAACGATCAAAAAACAGAATAAAAGCTATAAAGTGGCCTACGGGGAGCCATTTAGCTCCGAACGAATTAATTCAATTAGCCAAATTCCTGACCATGACATAAGTTACTACTATTGACAAAAACATGTCCTACACTAAAATTGAATAGAAATCGGTTATCGAATATTGATCTCCTCTGGCTAATTACAGATCAATTTCAATTTCATTCCATACATATTTAACATTATTGTCAGCATAACAGTACCAATTTCAACGTTTTCATTTTATTGAAAGAAATGCACAATCGTCATGATTGCTCAATTTACCTTGAAGCATATTAACACTTGAGAATTTTTACCCTTGTATACAGGTCCTATCAAATATGGAGTACCAGCGCTATGGAGTGTACCTCAGTTAGTAAGTAAGTCATTCTTTTTGATTAATTATAAAAGCTAGGGAATGGCAACTAGTCTGTCAGTTATAATATAATTATACCCGCATCAAAGGCAAAAACAATTGCTATATCGTTAACATGAATAATATTACCAATCAAGCATAGCAACAGCCATGGATCTGGTATTCGCGATATAATAACGGTACTAGACATTCTATTCTCCAGCTAATTCCTAAGCCTATGACAGGATAATTAAGTTATTTTCAATTTATTCATTGCCCACAGCTTCAGGGCATATATACCATGGGCAAGGATATTAATTAGATATCATAATCAGTAAATAGTTTTCTTAGAATATCTATTTGTAGAGCGTAAAAGTATGCGGTTAGTATATAACGTGTATACATCACCTTTCACTATTTAGTCTGTAAACAAGTTGAGAATGCATTGGTTAAAAGTAAACTAGAATCTTTCATTATCTTCTATTGCATAAAGCAAGAACTGCATGATAACTGAAACGATATCCTATATTGCTGTACCTTATAATATTAACTTCGTAATTTTAATAAAACTTAACTGCTCGTAAAGATACTTGATTCTTCACTTTAGTAAATGATGTCATAAATTCACACTCGGAATACTATGCTAGTATGGTGCTGCATGTTTTCCCATATGTAGAGTTATTAATACGCGACATAAATAAATTAATTTTCCTTTATTATTCTCTTATTGAGACTATGATATCATGTTTAATAGCTAAATTGGCAGTATTCCAGCGATTAATAAATCGTGGATTCATTTTGCTCTTTTACCGCAAGTGTTTGTGAGTAGACATGAAGAATTAATAGCATCATTCCTAAAGTCTGTAATGGACTTCAATAGACAACTTCATAATAACTAACCGTTCGTTTTTCCAAGTGATATAGATCGAGTTTAACTACTTTTATAAAGGGGTTCTATCGGATATAACGTAGAAAAATAGTTTTCTCATAGATGCATAACTTGTATTAGTAGTCTCATTCTGTTCCCAATTCAATAGCTATTGACAAGATTATCCATAAATAGCCGTATGATAGATATGTCCACCTTAATAATATAAAATATGCATGTAGAAATTTAATCCTACAAAGCAAAAGCTAAGAATTTCTTAATGAATCAACCACATCGATCACTTTGTAGAGTAATTATATACCATTGAATCATTCATTCGTTATGGCCTACTAAGCGTTTAATATAGTGCGTAAACTATTCATTTTGAATGAACATAGTTTGCATAACTTAATTATCTTCTATAGCTACTACTATTGATTCTCTCAGCAGTTCTACTGGCATACTGTAGTTAAGGTTTCAAAATATTCCAATAGAACTGTTGGTATCACCACACCTGGTTGAATAGCATTTTTATCCAATCAATTACTTGTCTATATTCATTTCTTCCCTTTCAAAAGTATTCTAACCCTGTAGCATTCAACTCTATAGGCAATTCCTCTACATGGGATTAACAATCAACGGAAAAGATATTAATCTAGTCTAGTTTAGAATAACAATAAGATGGGCATACCATTTATATCATGAATTCGAGCCAGCATAACATCTTGCCTCTCAATGCCCAACACCCAAATAGAAAAGAAAATATCTTTACCGTTCATTGCACAGTCTTAAATCGCTTTCCCTTCTGCTATCTAATGGATCTACTTCAAGCAGCGTGTTGGGCAAGTTGATCAAGTTATCCATCTTAAAAGGACAAATATTGAACGACCAACCACAGTAGAAATGGAGGATAGGCAAGACTATTGTGTATCCTCAAAGAAAGTGTTGTTATGGCCGATATTTAAATAGTAAACGATATTATCACATGCCAAGAAGAAACAATAGAAAGTAAACTTAGCCATTACTCATCATGTTAATTTGAAGAAGAAACAATAACTAAGCATCAAGGAGCAGGCGTGAGAAAATTGGCTGCACCACTCATATTATTTGGCTATGGACAGAAATTAAATTGAACCAATAAACAAGAATAAGAGTTAGAACAAAGTAACTGCCCCCAAGAAAATTGAAGGAGTGACTATTGTAGACTGTGGCAATGCTCCATGATCGATACAGCCTATACTCCATCACCTGCATTAACAACTGTTTATTCTACGAACAATTCTTTACCTATTCCTTCAACTAGACTGGCATACATTAAATCCAAAAGAATAGACTACAACAAACTATTTAAAGTATTAAAATCGACTATCAACCAATCATTTATCCTTGAATTTTTTCCCATTCTGTAGTATCTAGGTCAATGCAATCCATGACTCGTTATCCTTTCTACCTATAGTTTAACCACAACATTAAATTGAAGCGTTGAAAATTTCTCTCCATTCGTGCTAGGATAGACGCATTAAACCAATTACTTTTGATAAATCGAAAAAGTTTGCTCAAGGTAGAATAATCAATACTTCATCATGGTTGTATAGACCATTTTACAAACTTGGCCTCACGGGAAGTAGGAAAGTAGAATCGATCTGGCGAGTTGTGTCTCATTGTAAGGAAGAAATTAGGTAAGTGGCATAGAGTAAGAAAAATCAATCCTTCTATACCTAACGGAATTGGACTCCATCATCCAATTAATCTCAATATCATAGTCACTCTTCTTTCGATATAACAGCGATGCGCAATTAATTAACGGCTTGTTTTCAACATTTTTACAAGAAATCAAAACTTGATATAATGTAGTTTAAAGTAGCAAAACAGTGTTGTGTCCATTTGATTCCCTCTTTCTCTACTGCGGCATTTCGTCCCAATTTTTTCTTGATGACTAAATTTATCAGTTAGGACTTTTATCGCCTTGATTGTTCAAAATATTCATAAATTCTACGCCATGAGATGCGTGGCTTGAGTTTCATTTAAAATCTCAGAATAGTTCTTTCCTATTTTAATCGCATTTTTCACTACACCTTTAGATATTACAGTTAATTTGTCGGTTACAGGCTAATTACTACGTCAATCTATCTTCAGAGAAAGTCGTTGTCTCCATTTCATTCTTTATCAGGAATAAAAATGGATCCAATTAATTCAAACATAACATCAGAAATTTAAACCGTTTCGATCAGTAGTGCCGGCTTGATACGGTAGAGATTTAGATATTATCCATCATTATCAATGGATCTATTAGCAAGATTATGAGCAACTATCGCAACAAATATATCTCATTATCACACCCTATATCCAGGTAACTAACTTTCAAGTGATTCACTCTTCCTATCCACTCTCCTTTCTCTATCCTTAAATCATGGTCAATCAAAATCATTATTTCAATTTTACTAATAGCACCATGCTTTCATCCTCGTATACGGGTGTATACATAATGCTTCTCTTCCGACAACGTGAATAATGTCCAATCCTGAATTCCTGTAATTAAATACAAAGTAGCTATTCTTGTTTGCCTTTAGCATCAGATTGATAGATTGCTTATGGTACGATAAAATATCATCTATTTTTCATGCCGTTATGAATTTTAAGTTGGGTCATGATTCGTAGAGTTGGACGGTTGTCCATGTTTTGAAAGCAAAATGGTTTCATTCTAAAAGTTTTGAACTTTGAGTAGTCCTAACTCAATCGACGTAGATGTTAAACTAGATTGTATCATGGAAAAAGACTGCCATAGATCTTACTTATCCTTATCCATCGGTTATCGTCTTTGGTATTCTATCCAGTGCCCTTTTGGGCGCTTTTAAAGGCTACGGATAGGGATGAATTTGACGAAACCTGAACGGTGAAGTTGTGCAGGCAATTACACTCGTATTTAGGTCATGGTGACAAATTTATAATGAATTGGGCAAAAATCACTTATGAACACGTTGATTACAATCTCAACACAAAAGGATAAGCATCTCCTGTACAAGTAGAGAAATCAAATAAGTCGTTTTACTAATCGGATATTTTATTGAAACACAGTTTACCGATAGATTAATCAATCTACAACTTCATAGAGAAAAATTTTTTAGTCATTTTTCTGTACCGGCCCCGAGTTTGGGGAAACACCATGGACACATTTTCCATGTAATTGATCGCCTCGATTTACAAGTAATAATCTACGAGCATCATGTTAATACACTGTTCATTTTCATGTTACCTAATTCATTTTTATTCATGAAACATTAGTGAATACATTACAGATATTGATCGTCATTGACTGTAAAATGGTGATTTAAAACGATTTAATTAGTACAGTAATCAGTTTGGTTTAAGAAGTTCTTCGTTTTATATTCATTGTGTTGAGCTTATTTTCTGTCATCAATGACGTTCGTGAAAGTAGTAGAGACTATTGATATACATACACATCGAGAATTGTATAAAGAATTTCTGTTGGAAATCGATCCTATTTCGTCATTCTCTGAATTTTGTAGGAAATTTTAAAAGGGCAATAAATCAGTCGATCAGGTAACAATTTAAATTTTCATGAAATATTGATGACAAAATAGTCGTGATTGTCGTATCAATACGATGCCAAAGCTCGGATGCGCTAAATGGTGTTATATTAAGGCTTTATAATTTCCTCTTCTACAATAGCACAACTATAGTAAGTTACTACTTTACTCAGTTGGGTACTAATCCCTAGCTACTTGTCAGTCTGAACGAACTACATAACTTTGCTGATTACATGCGAATTTGGTCAATTGATGGACAACGTTTAATGAATGATTGATTAAAAGTGATTACTTTATAATTTTATTTGTGTTGATTCTCCATTTATCATCTGCTTGAACATTTAATTACGGAAAATCAGTTTGCTTTAGACTGTTATCGCTAACTTGGCAAGACAATAAATTATTCCTTACTGCAAATTTAATCCTGATTTATTGAAAAAAGCTACACTAGTTCTTTCCATTATACTGTCTTCCAACGATAGGAAAAAATAGCGCTATAAGCAAATTACTCCTACTACTCATTCTAATTTGTCCCCATTGGATGAAGAAGTTAAATCCTATTATTTTATAAAGAAATTCTCAAATTACATAATATTACGTGACTTGTTATTGCATCAACAAAAAATCAAAAGAAAGAATAGGAAACGGATTGAATTGAATCTTTCCCTTTTTAGGATAATTTGTATTCAAGTAGAACATCCAGTTAGTATCATAACACCATCGACTATGGCTATCGTAGCAGCTAATCACTTTAATGTAATACATAAGATAATTGAAATGATTATCTAAGCGATTATCACCCAAACAAAGCTCAAATGACTCATAGGTTATGATGTAGTTTATGATTTAAAAATCCAATCTATTGAAACACCACCAGTATGGCCATCTTAACTGCAAGGGTCGACTTTGATTTGTTCAAGGGATAATTTCAATTTTTATCACGTGTTATCGATGAAAATATCTTGATAGAACTAAATTTTCAACTGTTGCAGAGGTTGGGCTATAGCAAACTTTGGTTGCTATGTTTAGCGATTAAATATCTTGTTATATCATAATCTCATCAAAGTCTATTGTACTATTGCTGTCATGATTGAATTCAAAAAATGGTTGGAAGAGAATGAGGTAACAAACTTTTTCATCATATTAGAACGGTGAAATGATGATGATAATGGAAGATAAAAAGAATTGCAGGTTTCGAACTTCCTTTCTTGGCCAATGCTTTTGAATACCTTAATTTTGTCTCTAGTAAATGAGAATCAAACGGATTAACGTTACATAATGATGCTACAGGATGATAAACAATTCAAGTTTAAACCCCATTGAGTAAATCGATTGATCTATATCTAATGAGAGACAGATGAGTACATGACCATCATGAAAGAAATCGGAGGTGATGGATGCGATCATCATAAAAGTTGAAAACCTTCTTTTCTCACACATGCACCGAAATATCAATTTCATCTATACTTAATATGAAACTGACAAACTTTCAATCCTCACCCTATAAGATAACTTTCCTACTTCACCTACGCTCATGATTGCATCAATTTTGTCTATAGTTAATTAGAAGTAGGTAGAAAACCGTGATGTGATACAATGTTAGATGATGAAATAATTTCTGCTTAGAAGCTTTCTTGCTAGAAAGAGTGAGATCGAACTTATCGTATGAGAAATGATTCAGTATCAGATTTTAAACTCTTTTTCTGCACCCATGCTATTGAACGTATCAATTTACCTAAACTGTAATTGGTAAGAAAGAAATGAGATTGAATTTGAGACTTTGAAACTTATCTGCTCATTAAACATTATAACCTTCCATCGTCATCATGTTATTGCCTCGATAGCTTTACCACCTTCATTATTAGATAAACACAATAGTAGTATGACGAAAATATTAATTGAATGATGTGATCTTGGGATAGAAAAAAATAATATACGGTAGTCATCAACCTACTATCAATTGGAAATTGGGTGATTCCAACATTGCCGAGGTCTACATTCTATTACCTCACTGATGATGAATGCATTTATAGAATACGCTTGCATCATCTCTTACGGAAATATCTGCGTCATTAGCGTTTCATAAGTATTTAGAAATGTTGACACCAACACATATGAATTGAATATTCTAAATATTCCCACGATAACATGAAATTAATCAACATTTTAACCAAATGTTATCGTGTACAGTCGGCTATTTAGCTCGAAATAATACCGAATTAATCATGTTAACAGTACTATGATGAACGATAGCTTTAACCAGCCACGAAATCTTTCCTTAGCCAATTCTTCACTAGTGATATAAACCAACATAACGCTGCTAAATCTTAAAATCTGTATTATGTTGCTGCTTGAAAACAGTAACGAATCACAACTTATAACAAACGTACGAAAAAGTTCAAAGGTTAAAATAGCTTGAAATGGATCGAATTTCCACTTACCCCAGTGTAAACAAGCTAAACTAATCATTTTATAGCTACGCTATTTCAATTGGCCCTAGATCAATTCAATTTATATTTTTATTTCCGTTTGAATATTACAAGATTGATATAAGTAGATCGAAAACAGTAAAAGGGGGAGCAATTCAATGTGGAAACGTATAGAATTTTGGATATCGAGAAGCGATATTATTATAGTTAATATCAAAGTTATAATTGCTTACTGATACAAATATGATAGCTGTAATTCTTAATAGTACTTATGATCGCCAGCCAGCGCTATATTGACTATAGACGTGGGATGAAGTCGATAATCAATAGATCAATTTCTTACCTCCAATAAAAAGATTCATCTTGCTATATTTAAACAAAATAAACGCTAATTGTTATTGAAGGAAATTGAACGGTAGATTAATGTCGTATTGCTTGAAAAAGTAAACATGATATAGCCTATCGATTGCAAAATTGAGCTTTCTATCTAACTGTATTCGAAATTAATCCGATTAGGAGTGAAGTATTAACACTAGCTATTTTTATTTGCTTACCAAATGCAATTAAATCATGTAATGGGCAGTAACTATCCTACACATACTCTATGCAAATGATCGAGTCAAATGGTTCATTTTTGGATTGAAGTAGTAAAATTTCATCAGTTTATGTAAGATAACCTACACGATTTTGGTGCATCCTCTGTCATTACTAGATATAAAATGTTACTTTTTTAAACCGTTTAGCGTTGAATTAGAACAGCGGAACCCTTTCCTCATTCTCAACGTTATCCTATGAAGATTATAGACTTTCTGTAATTGCGATGCAGAAAACTTTTAAGATACATTATAGGACTATAACGTCTCTGCGCCTATTCCTTTCCCTTAAAATTCTTCTTTCATTTTTACATTGGCTAAGTAAAATTGCCGCACATACGACAATCCTGGAAGTATTTTGCTTAATTCTATGCTACAACTAGCAAAGCATTACTTGAAATTAAAGCAAAGATATCGTGAACTCAATACGATTATTAACTGGCCTTGCATCCTTTAGCTTGATGAATATCTCAGAACTTCTTTAGTAGATATTTATACCGTCGAAACAAATCAAGTCTCTCTACATTACCCTTAGGCAATATCCATCAAAAGACAATATCTATAGATCAAATTTGCTTCGTAAACAGATTACAACTATCCTATCGAATTCAGATCTTCACTTTTATACTATCAGAAGGCTATAAAAAGTAAACTTATTAACTACTAATTTAATACACATAAAGTCTGTACTGCAACTTCCTATCTCTGATGTAATGGAATGTTAAACCATACAGTGTCTTTAAGTTAAGAAAATTACTTTCTTCGACCGATTACTACCGTATACGCTAATATTACCTTGTTAATTTAAAATAACATTCAATAGAAGGATATGTTGTATGATGCATTTCGATCTTTCATTAATATCGAAGCAAATAATAGTCGTATCAATTTCGCAAATATTCTTTACAATAATTCTCTAATGTCGAATTCAAAATTACGTTTGAACTTAATGATGTTATTGAATTCCTCCTCTAGGCATTTCATATTTTCAATTCACTTGCTATTCTCATAATTCAACATGTTCAATAACATCTGTTGGGTCTTACTATTGTCATCCATTGGCATTGCCTGTGGACAAACGCCAACGGCAACATATACCAGTCCTAATGTCAATTCAGTTACTTTCCAAAATATGGATTTAGATGAATCAGCTGGGCGGATTTACATAGGTGCAAAAAATGCAATCTATTTGTTAAATTCAACCACTTTAACGATACTAACATCTGCTTCAACTGGGCCTGTACAAGATAGTCCATATTGTGCGCCATTGCCTGATTCATGCTCGTCTTCACGCAATTTAAGCGACAATTATAACAAGATTTTAATAGCAGATACTAGCGGTCAACGACTAATCGTTTGTGGTAGTGTTAATCAAGGTCGTTGTCGTATTCGACAATTAAATAATTTGGCTCTAATTACTAATACAGTGCAACCGTCGTATTTCGTGGCAGCAAATCAACCATCAGCATCGACATTAGCTTTCGTTGGATCTGGCGTACCTAATACCACAAAAGTCCTTTATGTTGGAGTTCAATATACTCAGCGTAGTTTCTTTAGTAGTGCTGTACCAGCACTGGCCGCAAGAAGTTTATATCATCAATCTAGCCAAAGCGATTTATTAAATTATGCTAATTTATTACCCTCAGAAAGTAACATTAAATTCACTGATAGGTCCTATGAAGTTCAGTATATTAACGGTTTCTCACATGGTGGTTATACTTATTTCGCAACTGTTCAGAAAGCTGTTACTTTGACATCAACAACAGCGAGTATTGCCAATAATTATATATCCAAGTTAATACGTCTATGTAATGGACCAAATCAATTTCAGTCCTATGTAGAAACACCTTTAGAATGTCGTGGGGCTAATTCTAGAATCTACAATCTATTGCAAGCAGCTTATCTGACGAAGCCTGGTAGTAGTTTAGCAACATCATTACAAGTCTCAACATCCAGCGATATTCTTATTGGTGTTTTTTCGGCATCGAATGAAACAAACTCTCGATTTCCATCAACCGATGCTGCTGTTTGCATCTATACCATGCAAAGTGTCAGTTCCGTTTTTTCTACTAATATAAATAACTGCTATGGCTCACAGATTTTGGTAGGGCTGCCATACATTGTTAATCCGACAGCACGATGTCAGGTAAGAAATATCTAGAAATGATTTTATTTCAAGCATTTATATTGGAAGTGATCGTCACCATGCAAATATCATGACAAATCACGAATGCCAAAGAACATGCCAAATTAACATTTTGCAAACAGATAAAATAAAATTAATAGGATATACAGTTATACCTAATATGATTGTATTTTCGCATATTATTAGGTTAGCCAAGTGCCTCAATGTAGTAGTCAAACCAATCCAGCCATTGGTGGATCTCAATCAATTTATGGGCAGGCTTTACTAGAATTAAAGCAGCATATTATTACCTCCATCATTGCGACGCCAGTTCGTAGTAACACTGTTGTATTTCTAGGAACCAATAGCGGCCATATCTTAAAGGTAATTCATTTAATTATCTAGGCGCGATAAATTAAAAACGATAGTTTAAAGTAAGCCATAACTTGGTACTATATTGAACAAAATTTATATATAGTAATATGTTCATTATCTAGTATGCAATAGAAAAGATAAACGATCGATTTTTCCACCGACTTTACTTAATGTCGACTAATATAATATTATCAAAATTATTTCCGCTCTAGTTACGAGTCAACTCAGCAACAAGTGCATCTCAATATCAAGATCTAACAATTGATCAGAATTATCCAATTATTTCCATGAAATACACTAAGAACAAGAATAGCATCTACACACTATCCACAACTAAGGTTAACTAGGGAATTTATCACCTATTTTATAGATATGCTTCTTTTATGATAGAAATTAGCACGATAAACATATTTCCAATATTAGCGCTTAACGAATCTCCATCAAACTACTATTCTGCTTTAGCTTGTTTTAATCCCAGTTCATGACTGCAATACTCACAAGAATTGTGATAACTGTATGAACTCCAAAGATCCTTACTGTGGATGGTGTACCATTGCTAATAAGTAAAGTTGTAAATTTTAAGATCAATTGATCAAGAATTATTTTAAGTTACTTAATCCAGCATAAATAATGATAGTATTATAATCCTCTTAATCGCTGATATGACGATATCATTACTCTATATTTATTGTAACTAAAGCTAAAACTGTATGATGACTAGGTGCACAAGTCGCTCTGGCTGTTTTACGTCTAATGAAGCATTTTGGACTCAGTCCGGAACAACAGCTCGATGTGTAGATTTATCATTAGTAGTGCCTGCATCGGCGCCAGTTGGAAGAGTAACTTCGGTAAATAAGTCTTATAAGTGATATTTAATCAATTTCTAGTTTCCATTTACAGCTCATCTTGAGTCCTGAATGTATTTTAATTTATTACTGATTCAAAAATTTATGGAATTTTTATGTATATTTAGCTGAAGGTAAACGTAGCCAATTTACCTACTAATACACAATATCAATGTCGGTTTGGAAGCTACGGGACTACAGATGCTGCACAACTAGTTGATGGTGTTCGTTGCAATACACCTTCTAGTAATTTACTGCCAAGTATATTAGGACCTCAAGGTTTGTTCTATCTTAATACTTTTGGCTTATTTCTTGAACGCTTGCAAGATTAAAATTGCAAAAGGAGGTTGGGACCAAATCAGTGATTGCTTTGTAACTCCGATATAGATAACATCATCATTTCGTTGTCGGTGGTGGATAGATCAAGCACCTTTACCGTTGCTACAACCTCGTTTACTTTCTACAATTGCAGCGTTAATTACGTTTCGTAAGTAACACTATTCACTATAGTTCGATTAAGTTTAACAACGGCAGCAGAGAATTTTTAGATCTTTAAAAATTTACGGAGTTTCATTTCTGCTTGCCCATATAGGTGTGGTAAATGTTTGCAAAGTGTATACAACTGTAATTGGTGCCCACAAACAAACCAATGTATCGATGGAAGCACAAGTTGCACGTCGTCAATTTCTTCAATCGATGTTAGTATCTTAAGTTTATAACGTTAAGGAGAATATGAAAGTAATTAAATCTGTTTTAATAGAAAAGCAAATTAGGATGAAACACTGAATTCGATTATAGAGCTACAGCTAGCTAGAGTAATTTCTTACCATATATGCGCGTATCTTTAAAATAGGGTTGTCCAGCTTTACTTAATACTACAGTTTTATTATCCATTGGAACAAGAAGAAACTTTAACCTTAATGCACGCAATCTTCAACCCATCCCTTCCGGTAATGTTGGCTATGAGTGTTTATTGAATGTTGATGGTACCCAGTTGGTATTATTAGGTAGAAGAATCGCCAGCAACTCGCTAGAATGCATTGCTCCACTTCAACCGGTATAGTATTTAATAACTTTGAGAGAATGGATTAATTTCAGGCAACTATTAATACTAAAAATCTGATATCCATATTATTTTAAAAGTATAATTACGGTAAATCCGTGGAGAGTATTCAGGCAAATTTGCAAATCCGATATCTTGGTAGATTATTAATCTATAATGAAGGAAATGTTACAGGTAATCATCAAAATAGTCTATTCAAATAATCGAACATTAATGGCTGGAATAATTTAATCTATGTCATCAATTTATTAATTACGTTACTATTAAAGTATTGATGTTTCCTTATTATTGAATATTTTAATTTTTAGTTACTTTATATAATTGTCGATTTGGTCGGAGTGATTGTAGCGTATGCTTAGCTGCTAAGCAAACCAAAGGTTATGATTGCGGTTGGTGTCAATATCCGTCGCAATCACTGCAAAGTTCAATCTGTACTCATGTTCAGCAGTGTTCCTTTCCTGGAAATATCCAATCCCAATCATGCCCTGGCCCTAATATTAACTCGGTATATTAAATAGCTACACCAGATTTACATTTGTAATATATAACCTAGTTTCATGATCATCTTTAACTAATTTGAGCTCTATAATTAAAGGTCATGCCACTACGGGGTCCAATCGAAGGGGGAACCGTTATCAATATTACTGGCACTAATTTAGGTATCCAGTTCTCAGATATAACCCGCATCACCGTAGCTGGCTTAAACTGTAAACCACTTCGAGATGGATATGTAGTCAGTTACAGTATTTACTGCAATACTTCTGCCAGTTCGTCGGATATACAAGGGCAGGTTACTGTGAATATCAGAGGAGTTTCAGCGTCATATATTAGAAATTGGCAATATGTTAGAACGAGCGTCAGTAGTATCTATCCTTTAAAAGGGCCGGAATCAGGAGGTACCAATGTCAAGATTACAGGACAAAATTTAAATGCTGGATTAACAGCTAAAGTGATTATCGCTGATAAAGCTTGCAACATAACGAAAAGGTACGTAGGTGTAGTTATATCATACAGCAAGAGATTATAAGCATAAATAGCTCAGAATTTAATAGTGATATCCTGCGAATGTAATTAAATAATTATTTACTGTTATTAATTTGAATCCTACTGTGCCTAGTTCCTTGAATTTAAATTTTAAATTTTATAACTAATGTTCTTGTAGAACTGCAACGGTGATAGAATGTTTAACAAGCCAAACCAATGTAACTGGTTCATCCCAATCTTCTAAGAGGAGTATCATGAAAAGGGATATTACTAGTAGTGTAACTGTTCAGATCGATGCTGCAGTAATTACATCAGCTCAAAAATTTACCTACACTGAAGATCCTACCTTCGTAGCAATGTATCCTAATAGGGCTTTTCCAGCTGGTGGGTTAAATCTTACCGTCTATGGAACTAATCTCGATAGTGTTATATCACCTCGCATTATAATCTCGACAGGAGTACAGCAACAGACAACCGCATCATCAATATGTAATAATAATTTCCCAAATGGAGCTATGATGCGCTGTCCATTTCCCAATATTACAGAGCTGTCAAACGGACTAAACTCTTTCACAGCTTACATATCATTAATTATGGATGGTGTTACTAGCTTAAAACAGCTCTATATTTATAATGAAGAAGGAAGCAAACTATATTATACGCCTAATCCAAGTATCAATGCGTTTGCTAACGATGAAGCTAGTGTTGGAAGTAATCTTATTTTGACAATGACAGGAACGAATTTAAATCGTGCTGCTAATACAACCGATTATAATATCTTGATTGGAGGGCAAAAATGTGCAGTATCTACACTGAATCAGACCCATTTAACTTGCACAACTACTCAACTTCAGTCTAAAATTGTACAAGTTACCGTTACTGTGGGCAATTTAATCTTTCGACCGGGGAAAGTACAATTTTTTTCGGCTGAACAACAAATCAGAACAACTATCATTATAGCTGTAACTACATCAGTGGCAATTATACTAGTTATTATCATACCACTAATTTTCCTTTATCGAAGGAAATCGGCACAAAATCGTCGAACGAAAGAAACTTTACAAACGCGCTTAGATCGTATGGAATCACAAGTCGCTCTAGAATGCAAAACTGGTATTTAAAATTGATTTTGATATAGGAATAAGAAATTGCAGATAAATTCATACCTATAGCTGATTGAGCTACGTTGGAAATAAAATGACTTAATTTTTTTGCAGCTTTCGCCGAATTACAAACTGATGTTTCTGAATACTTGAAAAGCGATTTATCTAATTTTTCCATCCCATATTTGCCTTTCAATGGCTACGCAATCAAAATACTATTTCCAGATAATGAGGAATATGCGGTGCATCATTTCTTGGTAAGACGACACCTATTACCACTACACTTTATTTATATATTTGATCTATTGATTGTTCATTGAAATTAATATACTAATTTTAATTTATTATTACCAACTAGAATCAACGAGAGGGAAGGCGATATGATGACGATGATGCAGTTCTCTTATTTGCAGATTTACTATATAAGAAAAAGTTCTTAAAAATTTACCTTCATACGATAGAAAATCAGCAAGACTTTAGCATGAAAGACAGGTAAACTGTTGCACGAAAATTCTCTTATCTTGTTTGGCATAGTTTAATTTATTAATTATTACTAAAAATGAAATTGAATTGTTTATTTTAATATTAACTTCATGTATTCGCCTTAGGTGCAATGTGGCTTCTTTATTAATGGTGGCCTTACAGCATCGGATGGGTTATGTCACGGAGTACGTAGACTAGCTATAGATGAATACAGGGAAACTTCTAAACGCTGATATTTTTCATCAACACTAGAAACTAATATATCCATGTACATCTATTATTACACTTAGAATTTTGTGCCACTTACTGCGAGAATTAATCCACAAGTCCGTTGCCAAAAATCATCCAAAATTAATTTTAAGGAGGTATGAATTCAATATTGTTTATGGCATAGTAACTTCTACAGTAGATAGCTTACATTAGCATTACTTTTGCTTACTAAGTTACGAATAATGGTTAAATCAAGAGATCTTAAATAGAAAATTATAAATTATATTATATATTTCGTACCAGGAAATATTTTACTTTCTAAGCTATCATATTCAGATATGATATATTTATACTATTAGCAAAGATTAACGGATATTCTCTAATAGAGAAAGATATTATGAGCCAAATTTAAGTTTACTTGCATTATATCTCAACAGTAAGCATTAGTAAAGCCTAATTATTACTTTTATTCTCCTATACTTATAAATATACCTTACCATATACTCGTTTTCTTGATAAACAGAACTGAATGTATCGCTGAGAAATTGCTAACAAATTGGTTGTCTTTCTTCTTTTACCCTTACCTTTTCGTAAGTCACACATTTCTGGCTAAATCGTCTGCAAATTACATGATTAAAAATATTTATATTAGTATCGCTAAATCTTTACAAATCTTCTGTTGCAGAATAAGCTATATTATGATAGAATGAAAATTAAGTCATTACACAATTTTATTACAGGGAAGTATCGGTGATTCTTTATACGTTTTATATCAAGCAATAAAGCAACAAGTTGATAAAGGTCCAGTCGATGAGATTACAGCCGATGCAAAGCATTCCCTGAGCGAGGATAAATTAATCAGACAAAATATTGATTACCAAGTAAGTTCGAGGGGTAATATATAACATGTGAACAGTGTCTATTCCGTTAAGAAACTCGTATGGAATTAGATACAAATCATTTTTTAAATTTTCAACATTTTATAGACGTTGACGCTCTCCGCTCACTTTGAACGAACGACGGAATTGGTTAAAGTGCTTGACTGTGATTCCATCACTCAAACGAAAGAAAAAATATTAGATGCCATCTATAAAGTATATCATCAACCATTTATTATATTTGTATCGGTATTGCCTGATTAAGTGCTAGCACTTACTCATTTCATTTTATTCTTTAATTACACAGAGTGCAGCATATTCTAGACGTACACCAGCCGAAGAAATTGATTTAGGTAGAAATACTCGTATGCTAATTAAAATAAATTAGCGCATGCTTTCAATTAATTATTAAATGATGACAACTTAGATAGATTAGTATGATCAATAAATTGAATGTACTAATTTTAATTGATGCCAATGTTAACAGAATGGATACGTGACACTCCGTCTGGATTGGTGAGAATTATTTTGAAAAATGAAGATGACAGCAGTAATATTTCTGGCCGTTGGAAGCGAATTAATACTTTAAAACACTATCAGGTACCCTTGATCAAGTAGTTGCTCTATATTAATATCGTGCTAAAATTTTATATAACTTACGCGATTTCATTTATCGCCAGATACCAGATGGAGCCTCTGTAGTTGTTATTCCACGTACCTCTGCTTCAAGCTTATCAGTCAGCAGTAATTCCTCGACAAGATATCCTGGTAAACTATTTCTTTAGGATTTCTCTATTCTTATACCACTAGAATAAATATAAATATAAAACAATTAATAACTTATGTAGCTATGATAGATTGCCTATAGTATATTTGCCTAAGCTTTTATTCGACTTTGTGCATTTAGTTTCATCACGTAGTCTCCTTGGTAGATTATCAGTCGATGAAAATGGTGAAACACATTACAATTTATGGCACCTGGTGAGCATAATAATTATTATTAAACAGTAAATTTATCAGCTTCTGGTTGCATTACGTTTAATAACCTTCGTTAACATTATTTTAGATAAAACCAATGGATGAAAACTCTACAGATCCAAATGCTAATAAATTGGTCTCTGAAGTCTTCTTAACAAGATTGCTATCCACTAAGGTAAGAAATCATATAAAATTTAAAATTTTTATTCCTGTTTTACAATGTTATTGATAACTTTTATATCTAATTCTTTATAGCATATTCTGCAAACGTTTGTCGACGATCTGTTTTCTCAGATGTTTACCGTTCCTCAAACGCTATATCATTTCCCCAAAGTCATCAAATACTTATTCGACTTTCTTGATTATGAAGCTTTTAAACTAGGATTTACTACTGAAAATGATGTTGCGCACACCTGGAAAAACAATTGGTAAATTTAAATCTGACTATATAGAAAACTCTTGCTTTCTTTACACTGTATTAACTAATACGCATTTTAAATCTATTACAAGCTAAATAATCATACTAAACTCTTATGGTATTTCTAGTTTACCGTTGCGGTTTTACATTAACATTGTTAAAAATCCACATCATGCTTTTGATGTCAATAAATCTGGTACCGTTGATTCATGCTTGTCGGTTATTGCACAAGCTTTCATGGATTCTTGCTCAATTACGGATAACCGTTTAGGAAAGGTAAGGAGACGTTTTAACATAGCGTTTTCTTCATTTCGTATTTATATATTGATGAAACGTAACTTACTATAAGAATAATAACTGATTATTCTTTAAAATATTTGAATAGGATTCACCATCAAATAAGTTATTATATGCTCGAGAAACGTCTGATTATAAAGCTAGAGTACAAAAGTACGTAACATATCAATGTCTATTTGAATAGATAGCGATATCTTTAAATATTGTAAAGTAAATATGGATGACATATTAATCATTATGCGATAAATACATGTAGGTTTTATGCTGATATACAATATATGCCACCTGTTTCATTGGATGAACTCTTGCATACTCATGAAGATATGATGCGAAGATTTAGAGTTAAGAGAAATTTTAATAGTCTAAATGCCGTCCATGAATTATTCACGTATGCGACAAAGTATATCACTGAGGTAGGCAGTCCGATATTAGTGTAAACAGGAATTTATTTTCTCCAGCGCATTAATAGTTGATTACATGTTATGAACATGAAATTCTTATGCACAGTCTCCATTTTCTTTACCAAAATTATAGTTAAGACTGGCCTTAGAAGATGCCGGTATGCCAAGTTTAGCAGATAAATTAGCTCTGTTGATAAAGAAATCTAAATACGAAAGTGAATGTTAATATATGAGCGTATTAATAGATAGTTCAACAAATGACAATTTTTTTCTTGTATCCACCGCTTTAATAATTTTGTTGTTATATATATATATATATTGACATGACCTTATGCTATAAAGAAAGATATCATCTAACACACCGTATTACTGGCATAGACTATATGCTATAAGTATTTTGAACTATATGATTCATTGCTATATCAGCAGCTTTTCATAGTATAACTCTCTCACGCTTTGATATAGTCCATATTAACTACCGTAATGTACATTTTTATATAGCCTTGTAGAAAATTTGATTTATTATAACACTGTATTTTGTACTTGGTACGAGATACTCTTATAATAGATTGCAAATGGTATGATTTTGTACGTATTTTACTATTGAAATGGTCGTTCAACACTATCCTATTCCTACGTATACCCATTCCTTGGTGATTAGATGGTAATTTTACCACAACTCAATGGAATTTTATAAGTCATGGAAGCGATGCTTTAGGCATATTTTGCCATTCATCTTTTATACTCAATATACTGAATGTATGTGTATCATCACTGAAAGCGTCGAAAAGAAATTTTTACAATTGAATTTCAAATCGTTGAGTTAACTACCGCTTGATAGAATTAATTAATAATGTGGCTTTACTGGTATAAGTTTACATTGACAACTTTATTATTTGATATTGATATATAGAAATCGTAAATAATACTAAAGTGGTATGTGATGGTGAGTCTGAACGTTCTACCATTGTATTATGATAATGATAAAGTTAATAAAATGAAGTCAATACAATTTAAAGAATTAATTTCTACTTATTTTCTAGTTTCTATATCTCAAATTTTTCTAGTAATGATCGGTTATAGCACCGATTTACGGGCAATGTTACCAAAGTGTATATATATATAACGGACAAAGTTGCAAGAATAATGATATGAAGAGAATGATTGCGATATAGTGTACCATTGACTAGATACAATTAGCCGTTAAAGATACAGTAGAATACTACGGATCGATGTCTTCATTTGGCTGCTAATGTTATTAGAGAGAAGAGGTTCTGTTATACAAAAAATTAATTTTAAAACTTGCCTTCGTTTTAGAATACCAAAATTAATTACAAAAAAATAGGATAATAATTATTAAATGCATATCAGGGAAGCAATACCTATTGTATGAACTAAGCGAATGGATTTCGTATAGGGCTAGTGAATCATGGAATCATTTCGTGGATCGCAATAATTTGACAAGAGGGGAAAATAGCTTGAATTCATGATTACTACGAGGGGAAATGAACATTAAGTAATCCTTTGGAGAATTTCGTTGACAATACAACGATTGGAGGCATCTAGGTTGATATGAACAAGGATAAAAGTAATAGCCTTTTTCATAGACTAAAAGTGGAATACGTGTATCAAAAGTGACACAAATTGCTGTAGAGCTTGATCGATGCTTATTCAATTCTTGTTGATCAGATATCGAAAGTCATATCATTGACTAAATCTCCTAGTAGTCCATGGTCAAAGTAACGTACAAGTAGAGCTCGATTATTACTACCTAGATTCCTCTTTCGGCTGTTTTGATATCAACATGATCGAAAGTGATACTAACTAAGCACTACTACCGAAATCGTCTATCACACTCTTGTCATCTATCTGAATCTTAGACTTGGTTAATGTCAGTATTGTTGCCCACGAAAATATACAACTCTACCCTTGATATCATGGACTACTACAGTAGAATACCGAAGCATCCAATTTGCAGGCACTTCTGAGTAGAAGTCTCTCGAAAGTGATACTAACTATGCACTACTACCAAAATCGTCTATCACACTCTACCCTTGATATCATGGACTACTACAGTAGAATACCGAAGCATCCAATTTGCAGGCACTTCTGAGTAGAAGTCTCTCGAAAGTGATACTAACTATGCACTACTACCAAAATCGTCTATCACACTCTACCCTTGATATCATGGACTACTACAGTAGAATACCGAAGCATCCAATTTGCAGGCACTTCTGAGTAGAAGTCTCTCGAAAGTGATACTAACTATGCACTACTACCAAAATCGTCTATCACACTCTACCCTTGATATCATGGACTACTACAGTAGAATAGCTAAGCATCCAATTTGCAGGCACTTCTGAGTAGAAGTCTCTCGAAAGTAAGTGCCTGAAATTAGGATGGCAATCCATCAATTCAGACAGACAGAGTTGTAGTGTAGCACTGCTTTCCGTCCGTCTGTTTACTGATCTACAATTCTATAATCTACATTGTACTGTACTGTACAGTGCCTGACTGATCACTCTTGGACGGACAGACATTTTCTGCTTCATCTCACCAAAATACTGTGCCAAACACTTCGCTATGACACTACTTGAGTATGAAGAGAGCCGATATAGAAAATAGACAGCGAAGATCGATACTACAGTAAGTGCTGTTAATCTTTTTGATATGGACAAGACCTCATTTGGTCAAGAAAGTCCATCCGTCCGAGGGAAAAATCAGCCCAGGCCTACTACGCAGTGAGTTCACACAGGCTGTACTGAGTCAGTATGGACTACCAAAAGAAGAATCTGGGCTGATGACTCTTGGACGGACAGACACTTTCGGACTCACTTGGTCAAAATACTTTGCCAAACACGTCGCTATGACACTACTTGAATATGAAGAGAGCCGATATAGAAAATAGACAACGAAGATCGATACTACAGTAAGTGCTGTTAATCATTTTTGATATGGACAAGACCTCATTTGGTCAAGAAAGTCCATCCGTCTGAGGGGAAAATCAGCCCAGGCCTACAGTACTACGCAGTGAGTTCACACAGGCTGTACTGAGTCAGTATGGACTACCAAAAGAAGAATCCGGACTGATCACTCTTGGACGGACAGACATTTTCTGCCTCATCTCACCAAAATACTTTGCCAAACACTTCGCTATGACACTACTGGAGTATGAAGAGAGCCGACATAGAAAATAGACACCGAAGATCGATACTACAGCCTGTTCATCAGTTTTTAATGCTACAGTAAGAGCTGTTCATCATTTTTTTGATATAGACAAGACCTCATTTGGTCAAGAAAGTCCATCCGTCCGAGGGAAAAATCAGCCCAGACCTACTACGCAGTGAGTTCACACAGGCTGTACTGAGTCAGTATGGACTACCAAAAGAAGAATCTGGGCTGATTACTCTAGGACGGACAGACATTTTGGGACCCATCTCGTTAAAATATTGTGCCAAACACTTCGTTACGACAGTACTGAAGTATGACGATAGTCGATTCTGAACTGAATGTTATTTTCTAAAATAATATCATATCGAATCTTATCATTACCTAGTAAATATATATATACTATATTACCAAAGTTCTGCTTGGAAACTGCTAGATAAGATCGTAAATGCTATTTAAACTAGTACCAACGCTATACTGTAGAAAACAGACTCGAAAGATCCATACTAAGTAGTCATTTTTCCATATCAACGCAACCTCAATTCGTTTGTGGACCAAGTCCATCCGTCTGAGGCATAGTCCAGGTTTCTTCTCGCAGGAGTTGATGACAGCACCGGACTACTCTCTCTCTCTCTCAGTAGTCCCTGATGATAGTAAACACATAGGTAGATTTTCTAGCTTCCATACAGACTGTTACGAAACATACTCCCAGTGGGGGACTCACTGAGACGGCGCAGACCGGCGTCCAGCTGTGTTATCCCTAACCTATTTTTTGAAGGGTTTCTACTGAACTCTATGGTATCCACTACAGTAACAGTATCAAGTTATACCATTACCCGTCTGCAGTCGGTACTGGACTGGACTGGACTGGACTGGACTGGACTGGACTGGACCGGACTAGACCGGACTAGACCGGACTAGACCGGACTAGACTACAGCCCCGTTGTTTTCAATCGATCACTGCCCGTTGAAAAGCTGTCGGCTGCAATTCAATATGGCGCAGACGACTAAATTTACTTCCTTGGTTCAAGTCCTTACGCGCCCCACCGGATGGTACTGGGGGATATCCAAGATGTTTCGGTGAGCTATCAAGTCCAAATCGATTATTCAATAGAAAGGAGAAGAGACTGTAAGCTCAATCTTTTTCCATTCTTTCAATCATAACTAGGGAATGTGTTATAAAATTTGGAGCGTTAGTGGGTGAAGACAAATATGGAAACAAGTATTATGAAAATAAAAACTATTTTGTAGGTAAGATCATCTCGACTTGTTCAACTACTGTAGGATAATTGAGATGTAGATATCGATACACCATCCAGTGGAATGATAGCGTTGTAAGATGATACTAGATCAATCAATGGGTTACAACTTTGCGTGTCTTTGCCAATTTTTCAATAGCTCGCCATCGATGGGTAGATTACAAGGATTGGTGGAAATACGACGCTAGCGATATTCCAGCTGAATGGTATGCTAGAACCCATTTTGATGGCAATATTCTTCTAGTTCAACTGATAACGGATGAGTATTTACTATTCGATACATTCATAAGACTACGATTGCTGTTGATACTGTTGTAATCGATGCCTTTAGCAGTCACTATATTGGTAGAGCATTATAGACGAGTGGATACTGTCGACACTACAGTGTATAGTAGGATATTACAAGGCTAAGTAAATCGAACAGGAATATTCGGCCACATCCTCAATCAAGCTATATTAAAATAACCTTTTCACTTTCACTCTGATCAGAACAATGTTTAAAGTCAGCCCTTTGTATTATAGTGCACTCTTTCTTAACCCATCGATAAGTGATAGTCTGATGTTGCGGTGATTGTTGTATCCATTTTTTTCACTATTTGTTGCTTGACTTTGTGATGAGATGTGTCCTACTGTAGCTAGAGTCTGGGTAGCGCAGAAAATATTTACCGATATTGCTCATAACATGGCGCCTTGCGATGTTACTCATTACTTCCACTCTGAATTTGCATTCTAGGCATCGATGGATCCATTTCATGACGGACGACCCTCCAACGATTGATCCCCCTGTTGAACGTAAATTTCTATCTGGACATAAATCAAATATGACCGGATCATATAGGGAATATGTACCATATAGTACTACTCGGCGCAAGATCGATTCTTGGTCTCCTCCACAAAAGGAATAAGTAAAGCGACCTAGTACAACACTTATTTTATGTATATTCAGACAGGATTGTCTTCTGCTTGTTTCCATTGGGTGTAGACCATCGACCATGCTATGCTGTGGATCGATATCATAATGTTAACCCAGTATAGTTATGGCTAGCAGATGCGTTATTCAAAGTTCTATTTTTAACCTACTCGTAGGATAGGCTAACTCACTTTCTAGTGTTTATTCCATAATCTTGCAATTAAAATGATTGATTAGCTGTTGCTTTCTATATGCCTGGCCAGAAAAGTGTGAAATCAGCAATTGGATGTACAGCTTGTACGATTTAAAAGACAGCATAACAATAAAAATGTCTATTCAATCCATTCTCGCAATGGCTATTAAAGCGCCTTCAATGTTTGTCCTATTCTCTTTCTGCTCTCTGAATAAGCTTCATTTTAGTTTGGTCTTGATCAAAGTCAGAATGACATCGTTGACATTCTATGTAAGGTGAATTTGTAAAACTGCAATGGATTTGTAAGCGTAGAATGCTTTAACGATAGCTGATTCTGCAGGCCTTGGCCACCTCACTGCCCCATTTTATTTGTCAAAGAAACCAACTGGCGTGGCTTGAAATGCAGCAAATTATTCTAGCTAATGTTTTAAACTGCGGAATAAATAGTCGTTACTTGCAGTCATTTGAGAATTAGTAGGATGTTATGTAAAGCTAATTAGAAAGCAAGCGTTAGAGCCGAAGGAACAATATCATCTTTGTTAGAGTAATCTGATATAAATGACCTAAACCAAATAGTACCGTCTAATTATTCTGCTTTACAATCATGTTTAATCTAAATTATTGTTTCAAAAGTATTCGCTATGAATATCCATCTACGCTCGTATACTAGCACAAGATATTCTCAAAGATATATCCCGCGGCTTATTTTTACAATACATTTATTTTCAATTTAATAACTTCATATATATACGTACAATCTTTTAATCGCGGTAGTGTATTAGATTTGAGAGAGTATTTTGCATATTCAAGTTTATTAAGCATATACTATGTCCAAGTAAAATATTATAATTGGTATCGATTACAACCCGATAATACAGAAGACTACGAAAGATTTTAATATGGCCCAATCAATCACCCATAATGGTAAAATTATCTACATACTCGCATATTGACGAGGTATAGTAACTGTATATTCTTGACATCTGCATTAGCCAAACTGACATGACAAAGAGTTTTAGATATGAAAATATTCAACATGGCCTATTTAGCTTAGTGAAGAACACGTATAAGCTATTTTAGGGAACTTATAAAATGTATAAAAATAAATTAATAGCGTCAGAGTTTGCATTATATGGCCAAACTGATATGACAAAGAATTTTAGTTATGGAAATATCAACGTGGCCTAATCAGCTTAGTGTGGAACATCTATAAAGTATTTTTGGGAACTTATAAAATGTATAAAGTGAATTAATAGCGTAAAGGTTTGCATTATTGATATTTGATCAATTAATCTGGATTTAGGAGAATTTGATGCAAACAAAGTTATAATAAAGCAATTAAATGTGAAGAAATTAATTCTATATTTAAAAGTAGGGAAATCTAAGGCCACAAAGTATAGCAACTATGTTGTCTTTATTTATACATTGGCAAATAATAAGAGAAATTTTAAGATGGCTTAATCTACCATTCATGATTGTGAAATTATCTGCATGCTATAAAACATCCACATAACATAGTCTTGACGACGGTATTGATGAAAACTAAAGTGAGACAGAACTTCGGCAACGGAAATTTTAACATTACCTAATCTGCTTAGCATGGTAACTTGTATAGCATGCATAAACTATTTTCGAGGACTTATAATATGTGTAGGTGTAAATTAAAATTAGTTTGATTTACACTACGGATAATAACTTCATGAATTCATAAAAATCTGATGTCAATAGAGCAACCATAAAGCAGCAAAATATAAAAAAAATTTGCTCTTTATTTAAAAGTAGGGAAATCTTATGCGTTCTTTTTAACGCTATGGAGATATATAGTGATACTGCAGTATGTTACGGCGTCTAATATTAGTACAAATTTATGATTTAGACTAAACGTATATTCATAATATAATTTCTTCTTAGATGCAATTACTATATGATTGTTTAGAATATATGAATAAAAATTTTACAACTTCAAATGATGTTATAATCCTATTTACAAAATGATACTATAAACAATTAAACAGCTCATAAGTATAACTGCAATTAAATTATCCTTGGTTAAAGCCCAGTAGGATAGACTATAGTAATATAACTAGTAAGTAAATATCATAGAGAGGCATAGATATATATATATACATCATGATAAGGATAGAGAATTACTTAGATGATTAGATCGGAAAATGAATCTACTAATAAGCACGCTGATAATTATAGAAGAACTTTGCATAGCTATTAGAGCTTTACATAGACTAGTTGCTCTATTCTTAAAGGGAATTTCCAATTTTAATCTAGCTATTATACGTAAACGAGATATCGTAATACGCGGTAGTTCATTTATAAATGGCAATGAATTAATCCTGTTTAGCTTAACTATAATTCTAACATGTGGAATCTTCTTGTAGCCCATTAACCACTCTATTCACAAACACATCAAACAAATGGACTAAGTTAGCATTTCGTAAGTTGTCTTCGAAAGCTTTAATATTGCTATAGGCATAATCATATAATTGTAGTAATGCCGATGACTTGTCTAGATCATCTTTCAATGTTTCAGACAATAATTTCATTTCTTTCATCATCTCTTTCTCAGAAACGGTTGGTAAATTTTGAATAGATTTATAAAATTCTGCTACTTTATCCCTATATCTTGGTATTTCACGAGCATAGAGTAGTCGATTAGAAGGAGAATCTTTGCTGACTTTAGTGTCCGATACTGAGCAAGCATCACCGAAAGCTTGGGAAATTACTGACAGGCATGAATCTACAATTGGCGATTTGTCAATATCAAATAAGAACTGCGGATTGCGAATAATATTGATGTAATATCGTAATGGGAGTGTATTGTTTTTCCACGATTTAACCACAGCTGGATCATTAAATTGCATTTGGCTAGCTTGGCTGTTTAGAAAATCGAATAGATACTTAATTGCTAGTGGAAATGTATTGGAATGATGGGGCAAAGTGAATAACGACTCAAAAAGATCTTGAGTATACTGTTGTAGAGTTCCCTTGGTCAATAGTAGACACATTAAGAAAGCTTCTGGAAGGATACGCTCATTTGTGGTATTAGAATCGCTATGCTTCATTAAATGGAATGCTTTCTCACGAACTTGATTAGGCAATGGTTGAGAAAGATTTTCTTTATTGCCACCAAGAGTAACTTGATTGGAAACATTATTATAGCGAGCATGGAGCTGATTACGCGATGGACGAGTATATTGATAAGTTGTTGATATAGAAAAGGTGTCAGAATTACGATTATAGACACGATGCAATTTTAAAGTTGTGTTGTCCGTAATTTTGTAATGGCCGATAGTGTTAAGTTTATACCATCCATTTTCATAAACTTCATTACTACTGTCTTCATCAAACATTGGCAATCGATATGGTGGTTGACCATGTCGTACTGTAACAGCTTCTAATTCAAATTCTGCAACACTGGGTCGCGCGCTATATGGCTGATTAATATAAATAGCATCTAATATTTTTTCTTTAGCTTGCGTAATTGTATCACAATCGAATAACTTCAAACTAATTTGTTGTCCATCACCAATGGATGCCATAACTGAAATTTCAGTCTCGTCTACTTGTTCACGAAGAAGTTTTTCTTCACTTAAGCAATAACGTGCTTCGCCAGTTTTTTGATCCACTGGACCCTTAGAGATTTGTTGCTTAATAGCGTGATAAAGTAAGTACAATGGCTGACCAAAACGTTTATTAGAATATTGGTATAAGCATAGAGCTAACCAATTGGAAAGTAACTTTTCAGTAATGGAGTCATTTCTCTTAAGAAAGAGTTGAGGTTGGCCTTTAGGTGGTAATTTTCGTATCATTTCTATTAATAATTTCATCAAAACTTTGGTAACATAGTCCATATTTTCGTGCAATGCAACAATTAAGAACGATGCTATATTGCATTTATCTTTGGGTTTAAAATCTGGTTGCTTTTCTAACGTAGCGATAAAAGTGATTAAAAATTTATCGCGTAGAAGCAGATCTAGAAATGATGATAGGCTATCTTCAAGGCGTGATTTCCTACTTCCTCTGACGCTAATAGGTGCAAAAACTGGATGCATTTCGCCATGCTTAACATTAGGAAAGAGCATTTTATGGATGTAGACTCTAAATGGATGCTGAGGAGCTCCACTAACATCTAGATCATTGGCTAAATCGCACATTCCAGTTTGTAGTTCAGTAAAGGCTAAATTGAAAATGTGAATAATCATATATTAGAAATCTGCTACTACGGCACTCTACTATTATTCAAATTTTGATATAACCAATGTTTGCATCATTTCCTTATTTTTACCTCGACGACACTCTCCAGCTAAAGTTTGGCCCATTTCATCGTACTTTTGCCTAATATTCAGCACATGTTCCTTGTTACTTTTGACCTTACGACGATGATAAATTATCACTAAAATAGTAACGATGATCAAAACAGCTCCTCCAGCAATACTTCCTATGGTCAATGGGATAACTGGAAATTCTTTTACTTCGTAACGTAAGCGACCGACATGAAATTTCAAGTTACCAATTGAAACCTAAATTGAATAGCATAGAAAATAGTCTTTCAAAATTTATTGACGGCGATTATCGTAATCGATGAGATTACAAGCATTTAAACTACAAGAAGAAAGGAACATTGATTTCTAGATTTATTTAATACCCATAAGTATGAATGAGTGTAATTAAATACTTACGTGAACATTTGGATAATCTTCTCCGGCTCTTGTGCTAATTTTATTTACTGGTAATTCGCACAAGATTGCCTTTAACGGTAATGATAAAGAATTAGTTACAAATATTATTCGATTGAATAGTCTTACTTGAATTTTAAAGAGTAAGCTTACTTTTTCTTTTACGGTATATACTTGGCATTCATGATTACCAATATGAACTCGATAATCGCTACGCGTTGCAGCTTCAATTAAATTAGAACCCTAAATAGAGATTTATGCATGAGTTTAACGATGTGAAAAAATAAATTTTTCCGATTCTTGTAACAATTTTAATTATAACTGCTATACACTAAGTTGCACAAAAATGGCCGTTACGGTATTTATGATTAGAAACAAGCTAAGTAACTATTAAGCGATTTAGTAGAGAAATGATTAGGTTAGACTGACATTAAAAATTCATGATTCTATCAGCTTACATTAATAGCAAGTATTTTTCCTTCGTGCTTGTGTGGATTCCTTCCGAATTTGAAAATGACTGGATCAGGTGACAGAGCAATAGCACTTTCCTTCCTTTGAGCAACATACAAGCGTTCCATAGACTTGACTCCATCCATGATAAATCCGATATTAGCTTTAATCTCTTGAGAGCTAAGAGTTGAGCGATTAACATAAGGCGAAATATTGGGCGATTTACAGTACATAGTAGCTCCAGTTGGAATGGAATTATCGCATACCTAGTTGAAGTATAATTGGAATTTAATATTCATTAATGAGCATTAATAATGAAATCGGAGGTAGTAAATTCCGTAAATTTAGCATTAACATGAGGATAGCTACGTGTATTACTCACCGAGTCGCTATAGACTGTTCTATTGCCGCTTTTAAGCCATAATATGACAAACATGACTGGTTTGACGATAGAATTAAAGTTTGAGCCTGTAATCTTGATAGTCAATCCGCCGCTGTGATATGAAGTAGTTTAATAAATTTAAAATTAGTTAATTTAATACAAAAGCTATTCCATCATATTGATTACAAGCGAGAGTCACAATAATCACCTCTGAATAGTTCTCGGTGGATTTAAATCGGTAAAGGTTGGATCATTGGTGTACACAAAGCTTTCGGAGCTTTTCCGATGTGCTTTACCATCATAAGAAATGACTACAGATCCCGCCGCTAAAGGTGCCATCCGATTTCCTTTGCTTGGAGTTGCTATGATTTGAGATAGGCGACTTGTAATACATTCTATCTTAGATTCATTTCTCCTAAAAAATTGAGTATATTCAAAAGCTGAGTGAGAACCCTAATCAATGTTGCACGCAGTGTTATAGTATTCTATATTTATATGATTTGGTGGCGTTAATATTAGGCCAAAACTTAATGTTATCAAAAAAAAATTACCATAAGAGCTTGCATGGAATTCCAGCTGCAGTCACCACAACATTATTACCCACATTGAGATTGTTGCCCATAATAGTAAGGACGGAGCCACCTGATTTTGGTCCACGAATAGGAAAGATTTGTTTAACGATTGGATTCAAGTAGTGAAAGTTTTCTTGGCTACTAATGGTTATTCCAAATACATCCAAGTGAATTCTTGACGATAAATTATTACTACTATTTCCCGTAATGCAGACAATCTGATGAGAGATTTTGTAATTATTAGGAATAGTTTGACATTTTATTCTTCCAACAGTAATGTGGGTAACATCACTAAAGCGCGATCCTAAATTTATTCCTTTAATTGTAATTGGCGTGCCTCCTTCTAGTGGTCCATAAGATGGCGATATACTAGTAATGGTCGGATTAGGACAACGGTAACCTATCCATCGATTGTTAGAACTGCACTGATCTCGGGTTGAACACATGGAAGTTGCTCCTTGGCACCAGCCACATTCTGATCCACCTTCATAGCGAAATGACAAGCATAGACCACAGTCGGAACTTCGGAATTGGCAATCGTAAAACATAACTGTTAAAGAAGGATAATCAAGTTAGCATAGCATATGATTAGTATGAGAGAGATTATACTTTAAGTGTTATTCCTACTTTCTTGACTCTACGATAATACAATATCTGCTAAGATAGCTTGATTTAATTACGCAATTGAATGAGCTACTCGTAGGTTAGAGATAATGTCTGTCCTTTATCATGCTAGCTCAATGCTACTACAGCACAAGATGGATTAATAATTCTAACACTGCTATTTGCCCTGTCGAATCAAGCAATTTTCCACTTCCTATACTAACTTTGAGAGAAGAATTGAGCTTGGAAGTCTGAAATTGACTAGTATATCGTTGACTTTGGCAACGAAGTGTTGTTGAATTGATATAACTAGCCGGTACTTGAAAAATACTACCACCTATCTCGATGTTGCATGAATATCGCATGGAATTCCTTTCTGGTAGTAAATTTCTACCAGAAATAATAATTTCTCGTCGTATATTGAGGGGAAGGGAGATTTTAGATGCTTGAATAACTGGACAAATACTACTTCGCCATGCAGAATTTCGACCGATTGAAACCGTAGAGCATGTATTGGCATTCGAATTGCAAGTATAATCATACAAGCACCAAACACAGTTGAAAGGAGATGTTGTACAAGTGGCACATGATGATTGATATGATGTACAGTTATAAAATTGAATTACTCGGTTTGCGATAGTAATACGTTTGACTGAGTTAGCTAAATTAACACTAACGGATAATGGGATATTCTTGTAGCCATGAACAGGTACAGCATTGGATAGAGCAACATAGCGTGGTGTTAGACATTGCAATGTATCAGAACTCCCTGGTAGCAATGATGCAGTATATTCGCCATAATTTGACCCATAAGAGCAAGTGTAGGAAAGTATTGGTAAAGAATTTAAGTTGAGCATTTTAATAGAAACTGTAGCTTGACTCTCGATAGAAACAGATGATGGGCTTATACTTGTAATGTTAATACAACGGCTTGTATCTCCTCGTCCGAGCCAATAAGTATTCTTAACACATGAAGACTTTCTGGAACATCGATTATCAAATACACACCAGCCACATAATGGATCTGCTGATAGTATACATTGATTGCAGTCAAGATATTGCTGGCATTTCTCTAACGGCAAGCGATGGACGGTTTTTGAAGTTGCAGCATAGTATTTTCCTGAATCTTTCGCGAATGCTAGCGAATTGATTGGTAATTGGGCGACATGCTCCTCGAAATATTGAGTTGCAATACTTTTGGAATTGATTGATAACTAGATTCAGCAACAAATGGAAAAAATTGTATTACTATAGATTCTAGCTATACGACGATAAAATTGAGAATTTAACACAACGTTTTCAATCACTTTGATTATAATATTACCTTAACTATATCACCATCACTAGTTCCAATAAAAGCCAATGTTGTTGAATCAGCTGAGAAAGCAACAATCGACGTTAAAAGTCGATTAGAATATTCGCGAACTGCTGTTGTTGTGACAGAGATGTTGCCTCCAATACGAGGATTACTCAGGTAGCGTCGACTGCATTCAGGAACAGTATTCTATAAAAGTTTTATGGAATTAAAATAAACAAGGTAAATTTAATATCCTAGCTCGTTTATTTACTTAACAAGAAATTAATTTGATAGGAATAGGTAAAAAATAATTTCTGTATCATTTTATCCATTCTAAATTAAACCAATTAGAATTATATCTCTTTCAAATCAATTCATTATTTATGGATTTACCAAATCAACTTTGGTACATTTCTTACTACCAGCTCCTTTTGTATCCCAAGGTAAACCCCTTGATATTCCACCAGCTAAACAATTTCGAATCGTATCTCTTAAGACTTTATTCACTTGAGCAATTGTAAAAATACAAACAGCTGAAGAAGTAGAGGGTATTTTAGAGGATGGCGTTGTCGATGCTGCAAAGACACCAATTATGATATCCTCTCTTGTAGTGATACCTAGCGATGTAGCCAAAGACGATCCTGGCTTAATGGTATAGGCTGCTTGAAGTAAATTATAATTGATATTATTTCTTCCTAGGCATTTTAATGGTGTCTCGACGTAAGATGTATAAGTAGCATCCGCTGAACATAATCGTACAACTCGACTTTCATAGCGTTGATCGATGACGGAGTTAAATCCATTAATGACAACGCCTTTTTGTACAGTTAAGAAATAACTATAGCTGCCGCTAATAAATCCATAATGATAATCGATATAGTAGTTGGGATCATCATAATTAAATTGGGAATTTGTATTATCGTAGACCGATAGGGCGACTTCAGTAACTGAAATATGCTTTAATCGGCGTGTACTAACAGCAAGAACAACTTTATACCAATCGCCTCCACCATGTTGTGTATGTGTAGCGCCGACATAGAGAACATTTTCGTGATCAGGTCCTGCTCCAATAAATCCATACGTCGTAGCATTAGGATCATTGGATGCAACCGAGATGGTTGGTTCTTGTCGATTGGCTAATGTTTTCAAATCACGTAATTGGCATCTTCCCAAGAAAACACTACCACAAGTGATTAATGAATTGCCTTGATAATTAATTAAGAGTAATTTATTGATATTGTCGGTTAATTTTCGAGGATGATTGCAATTGGTGTCCGGTAAGCATAGGGGATTATCCATCTGTGGGCCAGTTGTACTATTGGATTGCCATGTTAAATTAGCTGTTAATTTAACAATAGTATTAGTAGCCCCAACATAGACATCGCCATTAACTTGATGAATAACAACATGTTGAATGTTATCGCTTTGCAAACGTTCTATATCGAATACTTCTTGGCCATGACAAGATGGATAGTAGTTCAATAAAGTGATCCATTGCAACAATAACAACAATAAAAGTTTTCTGTTGTTGCAATTTATCGTTGCCATATTGATTAAGTTGGATAAAAAAAAAAAAATTCTTTTTTTCAACCACTACCACGCTTGTATCAATGCAATATAAATAGGAGAGATCTATGATTTGAGAAGGGGGGGGGGAGAGAGAGAAAAAAAGGTGGATTAAAAAAAGATAGATCAAAAATTACAAAAAATCAACCTAATTTAATTTCATTTGTAGCCAAAATAGATGCAAGTTAAAGTGTGGAAAATTCAATCTGTGCATCTCGTGTATATGAAAGAGAATGGAATGATGAATGTTATTGAAAGTGAATTTATAACGTTAGATTATTGATAGAAGAAAGAGAAAGGTAGCCTTGATTGAACTTTAATGGCTACTGTGAATACAGTCGCCATCATCTACATAACAATACTAATTGGAATGTATCAATAGAAATTGAATAAGTAGGATCGATAAATAGAATGCATTGAAGGTGGATTAATACACAGTAATCATTAATATTCATTGCTATCCATGAATAAAATGACTTGGTAATCAATCACGATGATACCTTATGATGATGAAAAAGATATATTATCAATCAAGTCGATGGATAATAAGAAATAATATCAATATCAATAGCAATTAAAAAGTTGAATACGTTGGTAGTCCTATCAAGTAGAACAAGACTAACCAATTCAACAGTCTATGCTAAAAGACTATCCTATGCTACCATCTAAAGTAGGACTATTGATGAATGATGATGATAATATACAAGAATGATGCTCATTATGATCGTCTTGTTCAATACACAACTATGAAAACATGATAATTAAACTGATGACTTGATTTTAATGATAGACAAGATTGAAAAGGCTTCAAGATGTTGTCATTCTTTCCAATTCACATTGAGTTAACTACATTAATACACCGGATGGTAACACCTGTGTCCAATGCACGTGTTGGCATTATTGACATTGACATCATCCACGTTGAGAAAAAGGAGAAATGTTTCACTTTTTGATCCATGTCAATAATTTCATCTATTCATCAATTTGTTAGAAAACAGGCTGTTATCATGATTGATGAATTTTTCCAATGTCTAGGCTAAAAATGGAAGAGAGGCCATTTGATTTCATCTATCAATACGTATTAAATGGACCGATGGGATGGATGTTGATAGACTGGATAGAAGTAGCTCATTTTGAATTTCAATGGCGTTGATTAGAAAGTGATAGATGGTGGTCTTGTAATAGAAATATGATTGACAATGGAGATTAGTAAGATATATGCGTTAAGTGATGGCAGTTTATACAGTTAGTGGATGGGGATGGATGTTGCACGGTGTGTTGACGAAGGATTAGTTCATGAAAAAAAATGAGCGTAGTCTTGTACATGCTCTAGATGCGATTGATGGAAATGGATATGCACTCATTTGAAAATAAAATTTGATCAAGTCAAAGATTAAATGGACTCGATAGGGTTCATACACAGTAAATTGTTTCAATTTTGCAATTGATGAGAGAAAAATAAGATTGCTAATTAGAATGATTGGGCTAGAAAATGGCAACCTCTATTTGCATTGAAACAAGTATGGAAATAATCTACAATAGTACAAATTGAAATTGATTTCAAATTGAATGTCTACAGGACATTGTTTCAATTCTGTTGGTAATGAGGTCGAAAATAGAGTTGTTAATTTTCAAGTACAAGATTTGGATATGAAATTTGAATAGAAATAAGCCTATCCAATGAGACAATAGTCGATAGGAGTTAAAGTTGATATAGGAATTATACTATGGGCTAGTTTGTGTTTTGTTTTTATTCGACAACAGGTGAGGGGGGAAAAAAATGTGACGGCTAATTTTATAGTCGCAGATTTGAATATAAATTAAAGTAGAAACAAGCATCTCAAGAATACAACAGTCGAAAACAGTTGAAGTTGTTGTAGGTAATAGATTGTTCAATGTGTCGTATTTTGTTTGCATTGGACAATAGGTCAATGGTTGATTTTCAGTAGATGATTTGCATTGCCAATTTGAAATACACGTAGTCAAAAAGTATCGCTTCAAAAAAGGGATCGAAAGGAGTAATGTAGAAAATAGCTTGTGTCTCCGTATGATGGAAATGTTAACTCAAGAAATTGTTGTTGAGTTGACAAGAAGTGGAATGTCATAACCAATTTTTTCAATACAAACTAGGGCAGAAAAATGAATGTCAATAATAGCTTACGTATGTCTACGTAAGATTGGAAATGTTGACAAAAAAAAAAAAACTATTATTCAATTGAAAGGAGAATCAATTCTTCGTGATTTATGATCGGAAATTATTTCGGATGGATAGAAGCAATAGCGGAAGCGAGTTGATATACAACCTATATTATGCCGACTGTAATTGGAAATGTTAACTAAAAAAGATTATTTTAAATTGATCAGATAGTACAACCTATTCTACATGGATAGAAGCATTAACAGAAATGAGTTTAAGGAATCATTTTGCGATATCCTCTTATGATGGGAAATGGTGACTAATAAAATTGTTTTGAAAGCTATCCTTGAAGGGTGGAAGCCATGGTAGAATTGAAATTTACGTTGAAAATAGCTTATGTCCACTTAGGACGGGAAATGTTGACTAAAAAAATTGTTTTTGAGTTCATAAGATATTATAAGATATTCTTTATGGATGGAAAGGAGACAATAAGTTGATGTCATATTGACAATTTTTCTAATTAACACACAGATGGAAGATAACAGATTGACCATGTTGTCCTTGAGCTTATTTAATCGATGTCTCTTTTCAACATGGATTTGGATAGACGATAAAATCGTCCACGATTGGATGGCGCTATCAAGGGAAACAAATCGACATAACCATTTGTCATGTCGATCATTGCCTTGATGGCTGTATTGGGTGGAAAAATCAAAATCGGATCAATATTATTGAAGGATGATCACGTCGAAACAATAGAGGAATTAATGATGACTATCGATGATTACTAATGAACAACAGAAGTGATTAAGGGTAAAAAAAGAGGAAAGAATGATGAACAATCTATTCATTACTGGCAATGAAGTCATTAGACATCTGTGGTAGTGGTGTAATCACAACAATCATTTTAATTCAATAGATTGCCGTCATGCAAAGAAGAAGAAGAATACCATAGGCCAACGGCGCCGATCAATCCGTTCTTTTCTCTCTCTCTCTTTCTACTCTATTGCTTTATTTTATTTTATTCTCTTTCTCTCTCTCTCTCTCTCTCTCTTGCCTATTTCCATGACAATATAAAATGAAACAACTCCATCCTTACTGTCTTGCAAAGAATAGCGACGGCTGTCTTGAATAGCAACAATACAAACAAGATTAACTCATCATGTTGATGGCAACCTGCCGTTTTGACAGATTGCAACTCATTTGAACGGTCTGCGTTTTGATAACGTTGAATGCAATAATCATGATCAACGCCGATCGTTATTTTATCATTTTCTATCCATAAGAGAACAGCATGGTAAGATAGCACGAGATCCAAAAGATTGTTTATCCTATCCTCGATGGCAATCGGGACAGGGGGGTGAGAGAGAAATGGATTCTATCTATTGATCAACAGATTGAATTCTATTCTATTGATGTTCTCTCTACTTTGAATAGTGGGTTGCAGAACAAGAGAAGAAATTGAATTTGTCCTATTGATCCAATCAATAGCGATGCAGAGATTGTTATGGACTGCAAACAACCTGCATAACCCAAAAGACTGCAACATGGGTAGTCACATCAATCATTAGATCAACTATTGGAAAGGAGGAGGAAAAGGAGAGGAAATAAATAAAAAATAAAATAGATAGCCAATCATGTTGAATTCAATATGGCGTCGAGCTCTACAACAGGATCTATAAGAGTCGATCCGATTCTCTTTCCCCTTCCCCTGTCCGATCGACTTGGATCCATGATGGCTATTTCAATGCCTGATGTAGAAAATTGTTTTCCCACCCTTCTCATTCATTTTAAATTCAAAATACGATTCATTAAGGTAACGATTGAGGTGAAAAGATTGATTGATTTATCGGATCACCATTTTGTTGTTAATACCGTAATCAGATCAGCTAAGATAACTTTTTTCCTATCAAAAGAATACTCATTAAAATGAATTAACCAACGTTAGATTACATGCTATTAAGTGATTAAAGGTGGATAGGCAATCATTTTTTTTTGAATTAAAATTTGATTAGTCATCAAATAGACTACTTGATCAAGCTAGAATCACGATGGCGGAATAGCATCTACAAACTGCGATTATGACTTATTCTACCATTGCGATCGGTCTAGCAATGGCACATTACTCGTCTGAAGTAGTCTTGTTGATGGATCATTTCAACTCGTCATGTCTAATTTGTATGTGGATTGCTTTGATCATCTATCGTAGCTCAAATATTTTGCTATGATTTTCTTCTAATGACTATAAATTGGCTAATAAAATCGTCATTTTGACTTAATTGCTTACAGAATGAAAGATAATTACCGTCATTATTTCTATGACTACAACAACAAAAAAATAATACAAAGTCGGTCTACAAGGCCAATCTATGACATGCTTTCTAAATAAATGTCATCCTTTCTAGCTTGTTCTACAAATGAGTCTCCACAGTTGTCCTCTGTCTTCTTCATCAATCCATTATAAGGAAAGGAAATGATAGCAAATTAAAGTGATATTGCGATCATGATCGCCTACTGCGAGGTAATTTGCTAATCAAATGATCCATTCAAGATTAAAACTACTTGACAATATTCAATCCATGATTACAATCCAGTCATTAAGGCCATCGTTGGGTTCATTTTCAATCTTGGCCCTTAATGAAAGGATTTGTTGATGGATGTTATTTTATGAATTGGCGTCATCGATATTGAAACAAACTACTGAAGGATGTTAACCTTATTAAAAGAGTTTATTTTACCGTATAGGGATAGTTGTAATGAGTCATGGACTCGCAATATCCCTAACGCTCGGCATTAATTAAACTCGCGATGAGTAAATAACGAATCAACTAAAAGCTAGAGGGTC